ATGAGGTAGGTCACAAACATCATCGAGGGTATTTAGGCCCAATAGTTTGTAAAGGAGCCGTGGAGACTGACGGAGTTACTGAGTCGGACGGATCTGTGACCCGTGAGGTCACACAGGGAAGGATTAGTAGAACCACGAGGTGTTAGTCGTCCTCCTGTTAATACGTTGAAAATCCACAATGTACTTTGTCTCAAAAAAAAAAAGAATGAAGCTGAGTTAGCGTTTATTTAAATTCTATGCATATCTGGTCATCGAGGAGAACAGAATGAAAGATTTAAGAGAATCATTTGCAGTTGTATGATGTGCATTATGTGATGCTTAATGTGCTAGAAAACCAGCAGGGCTCCTTTCCCATTTGAATCATAGTTTTATTCTGAAGCACTTTCTGAAGCGGAATTATAACTAGTACGTGAATAGCTGTAGCCGCCAAACGCTGTGTATCTCATTTCACTATTAACTTAACCGGGTTCCGATGCGTCTCATTCATCCGTCTCACGAACGCTCTTCCGCATCGCTCTTTTGTCAGTTTGGATTCACTCGTTTTACCCGAGGGGCCCGGCCCCTCCCCAACCAGCACCTCCGCCCAGCTGGAGGAGATGGAGCCTCGCCTGCTGGAGTTTGAGGCGGACTCGCCCAACTGGAGGGACCTCGCGCCCCCCGACGGCCTGTCCCGGCTCAGCAAAAAGGAGACCAAGAGGCAGGAGGTCATCAATGGTGAGGAGAAGGGAGACGAAGCGGCAGGCGAGAAAACAAAGCGACGGCGTCTCATTCTGCGCTTCCTCTTCCCCCCCCCTCCAGAGTTGTTCGCCACGGAGCACGCCCACGTGCGCATGCTGAGTGTGCTGCAGATGATCTTCTCCAAGCCCCTGGAGAGGGAGGAGCTGCTGACCGCCACCGAGTTGGCCGCCATCTTCCCGAACCTCGACGAGCTCATTGAGATGCACTGTGAGGCCTTTTCTCTCTCTCGCGCGCGCGTTTCGTAGCCTCCCCGCGTTGGCGTTCTCTTTCCGTGCCCGCGAAGCAGACCGGAGAGGCTGCGTGTTGCGCGTATCGGTTGCCGTGCAGTCTTTCCTGAAACAGGCTGCACGTCAATAACCGTTTCGGGAGAGTTGATGATGGTTTTTATCTCGCTCTGAATCCAGACAACTTCTACGAGAACCTGAAGAAACTGCGTGTGGATGACAACTTCATCGTGAAATCCATCAGCACCACGGTGCTCAACAGAGTGAGTCCGACGCAATAAATGCCGTGCATCATCCTCTGTCCCGCGGACGCACAAGTTGACACAACTGGGTTCATCTAGTTCTGCTACAAAGGATTTTGTTGGTTTACGCTGAAAGCAGTAAAATAATAACACGTTATACTAGTTGCCAGCTTTTACTCTGGTCCCTTTTTAGCTCTTTGTCCAGCTCATTCGTTGCTTCTTGCTGTCAACGCGCTGTGCGACCGTGTGTGTGTGTGTGTGTGTGTGTGTGTGTTTCAGTTTGGAGGTACGGAGGGCGATTGGTTCCAGAAATTGACGGCCCGGTTCTGCAGCCACCAGTCCTGGGCCTTGGACCAGATCAAGAGCAGGCAGAAGAAAGATCCGCGCTTCAACGCCTTCATACTGGTACACGCGACACGCACGCCGACAAACCGCCAGTTCAGGAGGTCACGTGACTGGTGCCGTGCGTGCACGCTCACTGTGCGTGTGTGTGTGTGGCTCTAATCCCAGGAGGCCGAGAGTAAGCGCCAATGCCGCAGGCTGCAGCTCAAAGACATCATTCCCATCGAGATGCAGAGGCTGACCAAATACCCGCTGCTGCTGGAGAATATTGCCAAGAGCACAGGTGTGTGTGTGTGTGTGTGTTGAAGGCCGTGTGCCAGGTACATCTGCAGGTACATCTCTGTGGGACCAGATGTCCCTTAAATATAAAGGCAAGTTAATTATTGAAATTGACAAGAATCCTATAGAATGAACAGAAGTCAGACGACAGCTGGCTTCAGTAGCTCTGCTCATCAGACCCGTTCCATCGATTCCATCGGTTTGTGTAAACGAGGCGAATGTACACCAGTAAAAACATTTTGACAATGGACACTTCCCCGCTCGTGATTTGGGCTCCGCTGTGAAAGCTGCATTTTCCTCCACTCTGAGTTGTCTGTCGCTCCCCAGAGGACCCGACGGAGAAGGAGAGGATCCAGCAGAGCGCAGAGTGCTGCAGGAGGATCCTCAACCATGTCAACGAAGAGGTCAAGGAGATGGAGAACCTATTGGTGAGAAACACGCGATCCATCAGAGTCCCCCTGAGACCTCCTGAAGGTCTCTGCTTGTCAGACTTGGTCCACTTCTGGTCCTGTCCGCCCCCCTTAACCTTTCTGCGGGTTCCCAGACTCTGAAGGACTACCAGCGTAGACTGGACACGTCGGGCCTTAAACCCAGCACTTCCCTTTATACAGAATACAAGGTACGGGTTTTTGAACACGCTGTTGAACTTTTGAGTTTGTAGTTCTTTGACATCTGTTCTCCACTGTTGTCTCCTAGAACATCGACCTGACTCAGAGGAAGATGCTGTACGAAGGCCCAGTGACCTGGAGAGTCACTAAGGAGAAGGCAATCGGTAAACATCTGCTTTTGTGTGCGCATTACATCTTTTCCCAGACGTTGAAACGATTACTGATAATTCATGCAAACAAAAATATGTATTATGCTCATGCTAATATTTATGATGTGTCATTATTCACTTAAATTGCCTTTTTTATCGGTTTCCAAAAGGCCAATTATTATCTATTTTGGGATATTGGCTAAATTAGTATCAGATATGTATGTTTTATTCAGTAACTTATCCCGTCGGTTCCATTCACACGATAGACGGGAGAAGAAAGGAACGCTACGGCGATCCAGAGCAGTGGAGATGAGCAAAAATAAAAGGCGTAACTGAGTCGGGGACGATGTCTCCTCCGTCTCGTCCCGTCTCCCAGAGGTGCAGTGTGTGCTGCTCGGGGACATGCTGGTGCTCCTCCAGAAGCAGGACGACAAGCTGGTGCTGAAGTGTCACAGCAAGAGCAACCTCGCCCCGCAGGAGGTCAAGCAGATGCTGAGCCCCATCATCAAGCTCAACTCCGTCTTCCTCCGGGACGTGGCCACAGGTCGGACGCACCAGTCATTCCTCCGCTCTGCGCGCGCGCGAGACGCCGAGGCCGAGACCGTTCTCCGATGACCTTCTTTCTCCCCTCAGATCGGAAGGCCTTCTATGTGATCTTCACTTGGGACAGCGGGGCTCAGATCTACGAGTTAGTGGCTCAATCTCTTGGAGAAAAGAAGCTGTAAGTGTCTGCGTGGGGGGGGTTGTGTTACTCGTGTCTGTCTCGAGGTGGATTATGAGCTGAATTGTGTCTTCACAGCTGGACCGAGGTGATAAAGTCCACGGTGGATGATCTGAAGAAGGGAGGAGGGCTCCGGTTGACGCTGCCTCCTGGAGGTGGAGGAGTTCTCAGTCCCACCGCGTACGTGTGCGTCTGCGAGCGAGCGATTCATCGATGTCTCATGAGAAAAAACTCACTTCTTTTGTCCTCGTCTCCCACGATCAGGCTGACCGCCCCTTTGAGTCCGAGTGAGAACGGCGGTTTGAAAAGCAGCAGCGGCGGTGAGGCGGCGGCGCTCTACAAACCCGAACACGTTTGTTGTTGGTTCACAGGTCTAAACTTAAAATCCTCGTCTCCGCCCGCAGATCCAGATAAGGACGTCTTGACCGACGACAAGTCCTCGGACCCCCGGCACAGGCTGATTGATTTCCTGTCAGACAAAGGCTTCGACCTGATTGGCCACTCCACCAGCGACCGGGAGAACGTGGCCAGCAGCGCTCTGGACCAAGGTGAGCGACGGCGGTCCGTCCCGTCTCTCCTTCCCTTCACAGCGGCTTGCCCGTCTTTCTAACGAGTCCTCCTCCTGTGGTAGTCATGTCCCTGAAGAGGCTGGTGGTCGGCAGCATCAGCCTGTCAGAAGACTCGCAGCAGGCGGAGAAGCCCGGTCAGGAGATGGACGCCTGTCAATCGACGGGTGATCTTCTGTGTGAAGCCAAAGGTAAACGTGGGTGAAATGTTGTGTTCCAGTTTTTAACCGAATCGAAACAACTAAGAAGTGTTTTTTTTTTTCCGGTAACCATCTCCGAGCTTCGGCTTCATATTTAACGGAGTGAAATTAAACTATTCCTTTAAATTCCTTTCAATTTAAATATTGCTGGTCTTCATAACTTCCATTTGCTTTTCTTTTGTTCATTTTACAAATTACAAAATCCTGCCCGAATATGAACATTTTCTTTCCTAAATTCTTGCCCAAAACAATCATCTGGTATAATGTTTCTGTTTATTGTATTCGAAGAAATAGGATTTTAAAACTTATCATACTATAAAATATCACAGAGAAATGGTGACAATGACGCTTTATAATCCGCGGCTTTCTAAATCCCGTCTCTCTGCCTGCAGAAGAAAGCCGGACCACGGACACGGGAGCCGTGGAGGAGGAGGAGGAGGAAGAGAAGGAGGAGAAGAAGGACGACGACGACAACAACTCCTGTGAAGGAGAAAGCGCGGGGACGACGAAGGAGGAGGAGGAGGAGGAGGAGGAGGAGGAGAGGAGCATCAGCGCGCCCCTCGTGCTGTCCCCGGAGAGGATGGATGAAGTGTGCAGGAGGCTCCTCAGTCTGGAGGAACAACTAAAGAGCTTACAGGTGAGGAGGAGGAGACGGCGAGAGAAGCCGGGAGCAGGTGGTACGATGAAGATCGGAGACTTGACAAAAGGCTCACGCGTTTGGGCATCAAGGATTCCACCGAGGAGGAGTTAAGTACGGAGCGAGCTGTGGTGCACTTTGGGGAAAAATGGGGCCAAAATGGCACAAAAGAGAAACTAGAGAATGGAAAACCATTTCACTACTGCTGTTATTGCCCCGCTGAAAATTGCCTGGTGAAATTGGACTTCTCTGAAAATGGCTATTATGTCTCGCGCCTGCGATGGGATGTGTCAGAGCAGCAGCGAGGGAGACGAGGAGAAGACGTTAAGAGGACGGGGGGGGAGGAGTGCCTCTCTTTAGATCCTCAGGTGATATCGATTTTGTGTGTTGCAGACTGTGGAAGAGGAGCACCACAGGCTGCAGGAGGCCCTCTCCGAGTTCTCCCTGGAGGGGGGCAACTTCCAGTGAGGCACCACGGCGCCACCTGCCGGCCACTAGGTGCATTTATAACTGTGTGATTAAAGGATCGGACGTAGGTTTGACTTCAGAGCTCCAGAACGTGGTTGTGCTGCACACATCCGGCAATAATATTAATAACAAAATCTTCATTCCTGAAAAATGTTTCAAAACAGTTAACAAAAAAATGTAAAAAAGAATTCAAACAAGGAAATATAATAGATATTTAGTTATCAAAGATGAGATATTAAACAGAACACTCACAGATCATATATTATTATTGTATATAGCAGTGACACCGCTATTAAATAGCCGTTTTTACACTATTCTACATGTTCTGCACATAAAGAAGTGGTCTGCATGTGCTTTCCCATGCTTCACTTGCTGTTATTCTGAACTCGCCTTTGTCTTTTTCTTGTGTTCAGATTATTACTGGTGCTAGCTGGGGGTGCAAAGCGTAACTTTCAGAAGCTTCCCCGGAGACGCCTGATGAAGTCCCGCCTGGACCCTCGGCTGCATTCGGGGGCTTGATGCTCAGTGCAGTGGTGCAGTGATGTGACATGAGAAGGTGTCTGCATGTGAACGTGTGTCTGAACGTGTGTGTGTGTTGGTAGAGAGGGAAACGGACATCCTACTTTTGAGTGGAAGATTGTTTTTGCAGGACCCAAAAGTGCCAAAAGAATCTAAAGCAATATTTTGCTGTGAGAGAGAGATGCAGCCAACAACAAAATGTAGTGATTGTAATCTGCTGTAACACACATACACACGCCAGAAAGCAATGGATATCATTAGCAGATGAAGTTAGTGCAGTAAAGGAGGAATCCTATGCCAAGTATAGCTGGCTATAAGCTATTAACAGGTTTCAAATACTACTGCTGATAAAGTTATTTCTAATCTATGCCAAAGTACCACCGACATGCACTTTTTTCTGATGAAACTAAGTCAAAATCACACTGTTTTTGATAAACGTGTTGACTCTATTCAGATTGGCTTCATGTATGCGGGAGATTTCCTGCAAGAAAGTGTGTGTACGTGTGTTACAAAGTTTTAAATCAACGTGTGCTTGTTTGCAGGGTTCTCGCTGTGATTTGTGTCACGCAGAGACGTTCATAAATAGTCTCACTATAAGTAAACCCTGCTGTCAATAACGGTGATAACGGTCTGTTTTTACCGCTTTTATTTATTCCGACGAGTCAGTGAGTTCAGACAAAGTGTTCCAGCCCAAAGAATAAGTAAATATAGAGCTGCCAACGTCAGAAAGCAAACCTGCAACGTGTAACAGGGATTAAGGTGGAGCGTGAAGACGGAGGCCCGGAGGAATGTGGAGGGTTCAGAGGCGCCTCGGCTTGGCTGGATGGATCATGAGACGTGTGTAGAAAACAAGAGAGGATTTGTAGTGAACAAACACACGCGCGCCTACAAACGCTGAGCCAAAGTACCACACGAGTGTTCACGAAGGTCCTTTTTGCAGCTCCACCTTTCCCCAAATCCACAGCTCCCGACTTAAGATGCCGTTACGTACCGTTGGTTGCACATGTTTTAGATTCTTCTCTGGTAGCAACCGTTGTATCAAAACTGAGCACTGTCTTTGTATTTTATTCAGAAGTCGATTGTAATTCTAATGATGATGATGATTTAATGCCGTCGTAGTGGCACAACTGGCCAACATGCACGCCGCACCAAAGACCAGACCAACTCTGCTGGCGGAATGCTAATGCTAATGCTAATGCAGCAACTGCTTTTCCTCTCCTCCAACTCCAGCGAGGGCAACTTGAGGGAAGGGATTTGAAAAAGCACAAAAAAGAATGTTACAGCCGCCTTTTTAGATAAACGTAGATACGGAGCTGAAGAGCGTTCGACCTCCGTGGCCTTGATGCCAGACCGCCGAGCTGTGATTTCCTTGCACACACGTAGGAGTGATGGAAGCTTTGTGTTGACCCGGAGGACCGTTTGGTGAGCACGTGATTGGACCTGTCCCAGCTGCCAAGGAAACGAGACGAGGATGCAAAGGAAACGTCGAAGGAAGACTCTGTCAGCGTCCCTCTGGCCACCATCGCTTCCTGATTCATTCTCTCGCCCGTTGTCTCAGCGGTGCCATTAGCCGTTGCTTACGTTCCCCCCCCCGTGTCTTCTTCTTGTAAAATGTACATAGATCTTAGCTTGAAAGATTTTTTTAGAGTCCGTATAAGTTAGTGCCCCCTTTTTTTGTACTGATCTTATTGGCTGAAACACTTGTGATGGCATGTTCACCTTTCCCTACTGCACACCTTTCACCACATGTTGTATTACATTTGATTTACTTAAGCGGCTCGGGGGAGGGTGTGTTCTTTGTTTTTACAATTTGTCGTTGTTCTCCATCAAGCTTCTTCATTATGTACTTTGCATTTGGCAGCAACGGTGCGAGAAACTCGTTAATGCATGAATGAATTTCACAATTATGCAAACAGTGTGACCGTGTTGTGTCTGTTTTTTTTGCCTTTTTGTGCGCACGCTGAAGCACAAACCTCCTCTGAACTGAGGCCATCCAGCCTTCTGCTGGGATACATCAGAATCGTCTACCTGCATTGATCAGCAGGATGAAACCCACTAAGACCAGCCGACAGTCAGGCCTCCGACTGGCTGAACTCTGGTCCTGATGCGTTTCCTCGTGCATTCTATATACAGATACCTAGATGTATAGAAAATGTATTTATAGTGGTGCCTTGTTCCAATGATCAACTTGTTTTGGGCGGTTATTCACGGGACGACTGTAGCGGTAAAGTGTTTCTGTGGCCTGGATGGAAAACTGCCTTCCTGTCTATAAACAACCAATATGCAAGAACTATACTGTGTATTTGGGTTTTGATTTTCTTTTCTTTTTTAAATCAAGAGGATTTTTATTGATGTATACTTAAGAAAATTGTGGTACGTTCTGTTTTTTAATTCTTCATTTTTTTAAATAAATTGGGGAAATAAACTCCTGTTTGGTCATTTGTTATAGTTATAAGCCAAAACTATACGGGTGGAAGAATAACGCTGGAGCAGAAAGTTGGGTGCTCAGTTAGAGCATCGTGTCTTTATATTTCTTTTTTAAAATACAAGAAGAAATGAGACATGTCCAAATATGCATTATGCAAATGTGGGACGGTCCAAAAGCAGTGGAGCATAAATCCTGACCGAGAAAAACAAGACAGCGACGTGTGTGTGTGTGTGTGTGTCGGTTCAATACTAAACCAGGATCAGTGTGAAACGTACTTTCGTGCAGTTATTCACGTTTCCTTTATCTTTGGATCATATTTCCGTACACGCGATGGGGACGATCATAAACTTTCTACTCTGCACTTTTGTTGGTGAGTCACATTCATTTTCGAACATTTTTGAATACAACGCTCTGTAGATAAAATGATGTGTGTACGGTCAGTCATTTAATTAATTGTAGAAAATGTGTTGAAACTTTTGACTGGCGCCGTAGATCCACTTATCTTTTAGCATGTTTGTATATTCGAGCTCGTATCACTAAATGTGCTCTGCATGCTCGTACGTTCTGCCTCAGTGAACCACATCTCCTGCCTGAGCAGATGTCCCTGCTGTCATAATACACGTTTGCTCTTATAGTTCTGGTTCACGCTTCACATGTATGAGATATGCAATCATCATCAAACGATTGTCCCAACAGTTCCCGGTTGTGCAATCGATGCTCAGAACAATGCGATGTAATCTCTGCTTCCTCCACAGTGGCTGTCGCTCAGGCTAAGCTCCGTTTGGAGGCGGACAGGCCCTTTTTGAGGGTGCAGGTCGGTCACACAGCTGAGCTGGAATGCTGCTACAGAAACAGTAATAATCCAGTGAAATGGAGCTGGATCAAACGCGCTGCCAACGGAAGCCTCAGTGAGGCTCCAGAATCGACCCCGGTGGCCTCCAGCAGATCGTGCGGCACCTTGACCTTGGAGCTTGTCCAGCTGAAGGACTCTGGGTTCTACCAGTGTTCGCTGAAAAGCAACGACTGCGTGGTGATGTCGCATGGCACCTACCTGCAGGTCTACAGTGAGTCCTCCCCAGTGGGATGAAGTGGAGCGAGCTCTTAGCGCTGTTAACACCTCGTTAAGCCACAAATCCTGACAACGTCAGTCCGGGCGAGAAGCGACATCCGTGCATATCGGAGCTGGTTTCATCTCTACATGATCATTAATTTGCTTTAAGTAGCATCACAGATGGAAGTTGCAATCAAGCTGACGCGTCGAGCCATTTGTCGCACTGAAATTCCGTTTTGCGTGATAATCTCATTTACCTCGGATGATAGATGTGGAAATGGGGAACAACACAACGGCTAAATTGTGTGGTCTTCATACTAAAAAGTACATTTTACACCCTCTTCAAAATTCTTTCAATATTTCACTTGTTTTATTTCTCTGCCCAGAGCCGATGGAGAAGATAATACAGCTCAGCGAAAGCACCAAAAACAAGATCCTGACAGCTGAGGGAGTCTTGCTGCTGCTCTGCGTGATTGTGCCTTCTGTCAACCTTCTCTGCCAGGTCAGAAGATCCCGTATTATGGGCAGTTCTACATCATTATGCACTACCAAACAATGTTTCCAGTATGTCTCATTGATGGTAATGCCCTCATGTACACTCAGTAGAATGTGTCTCATACGTTCCCACAACATGCAGCTGGTAGGTTCCTGGTGGTAAATTGCCCAATTTCAATGCTTTGCCAACTTGTATTTGCCCTCACAGTCGAGGAGACTACATGAACTGGAGAAGAAGAAAGCGATGAAGGAAGAGGAAAACATTTATCAGGTAGTCACACGGCACGGCGTGCACGCGAGGAGGAACTCGTGAAAGTCACGTTGCTGAACACATGAACAAAGACATGAATGAGCTTAACATCAGTTTAACGTGCATATGTTTCAAAGACCTTTGTGCAATTACTTGTCACCCCTCTTTCCTTATCTAACACTTCAGGGGCTGAATCTGGACGAATGTTGGTCTGCATATGATCAGATTCAGCGCTGCGAGGCCAATGGGCCGTATGAGGATGTGGGCAACCTTAGGGAGGAAGAGGAGGAGATCCAGCTGGAGAAGCCCTGAAGGAAAGGCTGAAGATTGAGAAAGGGAAGTGTTGTATTTTTTGGGCTGCAGTGTGAATGTGTGATATCCGAATAAAACATTTTCCATTCAGTTTTGTCTGCGTTTACAGTTGCAGCATCTGATAACATAGTGCTATATCTTGTACAAATTATAGCCATTTAATGAAATATGTTTTCTTTCTCCCGGTTCAAATTAAGTAAAGACACACAGTCTAGAAAATAATAGTATACAATTAATCTCCAATCACATGCCTATCATGTAGGGGCTTTTTTTTAGTTATGCTTTTTTAGTTCAGCTTTCAACTTTTTTTTTCATTAAAAGAAAAATCTATATACAATGTCTGTTTTGATCTGACTGAATGATTTCTAAATGTAAATTTCTGTAAGTGCTCCAAGATTAAAGATACATACAAAAAAATACATCCTCGCAGTCATTTAAAGCGCCGACATTGTCTTCAAACACGATGCCGCTGCCATCTGTTTGTTGAACGTGACCAGCCTTGAATTTAAGCCCAAGTTGTAGGGGGCGGGCTTTCATCGACTTTACAGCGTCGCGATTGGCCACTGGAGGCGGCGCAGTCACCCATTGGTTTCCTTCCTCTCGCGGGCGTGGCCATTGAAGCTGGAACGCAGGTAACGTTCAGAGAGATGACAGAGGCGGGTGGGTAAACAGAGGGGCGGGGGGGGGAAACATGGCGTCCAACAAGAAGACTGGTGGAAGTAGCAGATATGAGAAAGTGTAAATGGAAGACGCTCGTCCAAACACAAAGAGGTTCCAGTGGGGGAAGTTGTCCGGGCCCACTTTATCGACCCCCCCCCCCCGTCGCGTTTCTTGTTCCTCCCGTCCTCTCTTTGACGCTCCGGAGCTGCGACCTCCCGCTAGCCTGCGTTAGCCTGCGCTAGCTTCCCCCCCCCCGGCTCCGCGTCAGCTGCCTGCGTCCTGTGATCATTTGACCGCGTTATAACGAGGTCGCACTTCGCGGAGTCTGGCGCGCAGACCGTAAAGAGGAGTTACGTTACCGACAAAAGTGTCCGTTGGACCACTTCCGCCCGCAAAGTAACGGGCGTTCCCCGCCGCCGCGGTGACGTCACGTGCAACGTCACCGTCTGACGTAGCCCTCGTAGGGTTAGCATTGCTGTAGCAGTAGACCTGGACTAAATGCCCACGCCGTATCTATATTCACCCTCTCACGTTCTGTGCCCCCCCCCAGTTCCCCCCGATGCTTGTGACAGGACTCACCTGAACAGGTACTGCAGACACCAACAAACGGGGGGGGGGGGTGGAACTGTCCAGTGGGTCAACTTCACACGGTGCGCAAATCTATTAGGCAAATGGGGTCACTGGTGAAGCCGTCATCACTGCCGGGTGGACAGCACAGCAGGGACACATGGGGACGAGTGGACAGCCCGGGACGCCCCGTGTGGATCTGCTGTGAGGACTGAACACTATTGTAGGAAGGCTTCCGTAGCTTTGTTAAGAAACTAAAAACCTGCCTTTGTCTTTGCTACATTAATACACATCACACCCTCGTGTTCATGAATGGGGGCATTTATAGTAGGCTTATTCCCGGGGTAATGGGATTAGAAGAGTTTTAACCTAATCGTACTTGTTGTGTTTGGGACCTGAATATCCCATTCAGTTTGTCTCCCTCTGCACCAGTGCATTGTAAGACTGGAGGGAAGCTCTCCGCTTCCCATTCGGAGGCTCATTGTTGTGTGTTTCCTGTTGTTCGGTGTGGCGTTGTGTGCTTTTGAATGCGCTCCCACTGGTGGAAGGGTCAGAGCCTCCTTAAAACGACGCCTCGCTTCCTCTCGCCTGTGTGTTGGCTATTTTTAAAGCCTGCTTCCTACGGACACACGGTGGAGTTTAACCTCTAACAATGTCTGGACCCAACGTATGGGGAGACGTATCTGCTCTGAAAGGGATTCAGCTTCAAGGACCTGCCTTTGTGTTGCGATGTCGTTGAATTACCCGGGCTTCATGTTTTTCACCACATCATTGATAAAGAGGAATTGTGGGAAAGGCACAAGTTGGAACCAACCACGGCAAGATCAACACACTTAATCATGCTGACGTTAACAATTACCTACTCATTGATTCTACCCAGAATCAAAGAAATCAGGAGCCCACATGACCATGTAGGTTCCAGGACGCACCTCCAAATGTGATCGATTTAACATTTAGAAAACACTCAGCACTGCACATCTGTGTCAGCTATATATTCTAATAAAGGATTCGCTTATTATACCCCATAACTTGAGTTTGGGCCCAGATAACATCAACATACATATATATATATATATATATACACCAAAAGATAAAGACTGAATACAGCTAAAAAGTTCTTCACAGCTGTGTACAGATTAGTTTGTTTCATTTACGTAATGTGTCCAAATCCTAATGGGTTTATAAGACACCAGAAATACAGCTGCAGTGGACACGGTTTTTATCGTCATCCGGCCAGATAAATCGACATGAATGGAAGTCCCTTTACTAAAGCGTTCATCCCTCGTGTCCTCGTGGATGGGGGCAGTGAGACGCTCATCACAACAAACGATTCCGTTTGCATCTGGCGGAATTGAACCTCCCGTCTCGGAGGCTGATGACGGCGTTACTGTGCACAAGTTTTGTTCTTTAAAAAAAATAAAGTTATTCTTTGAGAAGTTTGAAACTAGTTCACAGCACATCAACAGCCCACTTTTTCCTCTATGCATGAGAACCTGGTTGGTCGTAATCCCCTCGATAAATGACGCATCGCTCCTAATTAACAGAGTTTAAACTTTCAGCCAAGGGGTGCCCAAGCAAAATGTCCCTTTTGAGACATGTTTAGGCTTGAATCAGTGCTGCCGGCTGTGTTGGTCTCCCTGTGAGTGGGTGAGGGGTCACGTCTCCCAATCATGCAGCTGCCGCCTGTGATTTCAAACTTGAGGTCATATCTTTCCAGAGGATCAGGCCTTCGATGTTCCATTCGATCCTGTTTTTTTTTGGGTGTCCACACAGCGTGCTTGTCCAGCATTCGTTGCCAAGAATTCGTATTTCTTAACGGTTGACAGAGAGCACATTTCTGCTGCATGCTCAACAAAACAAAAATATATGCGCAGAGGTGCTGCGTTAACATGAAATATGTGTGTTTTATTATGTTTGGATTGACTTGTCCCTTTCCCTAATTTAATACGCAATGAAAGTTTATGCAACAGCTGGAAAAATGGAAGCATGTTTGTCCCATAATGTCATGTTTGTGATTTATTTTGGGTACATGATCGGCTAATCGGATAAAAGGTCACAGGGAGTTATAAGCCAATAACAAAAAAGCGTCAGGAAGAGAAAGTTAACTAGGACAGAGTTGTCTGTGCCCCCCCCCCACTGTGGGAGGAGACCGGGAAGGGACAACACATTGCATCTGAGTAGAATTGATTCGGAGTCCGACACACACACACACACACACGTCCAGTGTTAAATATGAGGCAGTGACAGACGGTGAAAGGGACAGCGACAAATCAGAATACTTATCTCCATCCTCTCTGCTGTCTCTCACCCCCTCGTTCTTCTTTTCCATGCTGTCATTGCTTTTCGTGGAAGAGTGGAGGCCGATGAGGACAGACCCTTAAACTCAGATGCTGGTAAACACTTCTCCTTTTTCCAATTCTCCAATAGTTCGCCTGTACCGTTATGTGCATGCTCTGCCAGAAGCGGCCTGCAGGTTGTTTTTTAACTCATTTGTCTGTAATGTCACTGGTGTTGGTTGTTGTGCATGACTTATTAATGCCCCCCCTCATCCATCTTTAATGTGGAGAGGTAGAACATAACGGCTCCAGTGGAATTGCAGTTGCACACACAAGGGGATCGTGCTGAAACACGTTTGGATTTTGCAATATTCGCTATCGCACAACAAGCAGAGGTGACAAGGCTTCAGGTGAGTCATGCCTTTCGTCTCGTGACTCCCATCGATGGCAGGATGACGTGTGGGACAAAGGGCAGGACTCCACTGGGCCGCGCGCCGTGTTTGAACTCTACTTGGAGCTCAGCAGTTACTCAACATTTGCATCGCATCTGCATTCTGATATTCTCCCCCCCGCAGTTGGACCAGCGTGTGATGTGTTTTGCAGCAGCTTCATAAAGTTCACGGCACAGCTCTGTTGGGTGATTTTAAATCTCGCTGCCCAAACTGATTCCACTGGTGCTGCAGCCTCGGCTTGACCAGGTGGTCCGTTAATGCAGACGAGTGGTTGGGTCTTTATAGATGGTCTTTGTGCAGGTCTTCATGTTTCCAGGTTCATGCTGACGTCAAGAGTTTTTTTTTATTTTCAATGCATATTAAGTAACAGTTCCCTGTGCAGTCGGGTTCGTTGCATAGTTGCATAGTGTTGGCTGCTGAAATGTTTGCTAAATCATAAAGATTTAAATTCTATTAGTATGGCAGTGTTTGTGTATTTGCAGCCGTACAGAGTCTGTTGCTTCATGCTTTATTACAGCCGCCTCTACCTTTGTGGAACTAGATAGAATTCAGAATATGCCGCCCAACAAGAGGATTGAAATACTATCGGTCATTGAATCAAACTCCGATCGAGCTGTTCAGATGCAATTAAGGGAGTCTGTTGATAATAACCTGTTATGGATTATAATCCAAGGTTATAAATGTCGGAATGTAAATTCTGTTTTGCAGAAGAGCTTCCTTTAAAGTCATGAGACGGGTTTTTCCGCTGTTCTTTTCACACGCTTGAGTCGATGTGAAATCAGGCCCGAGCTTCTTTATTTAGCTTTGTGGCAATACATAGTACTTGATATTGTACTGTGACCCCCCCCCCCCCCCCCCCCCGGCTTTGCAGATTTGTTCAGGCCGTCTCTGTACTCGGGCCAAAGAATGCCCCCTTCGTAGGGAGCATTCAGTGCAGTCTCGCTGGTGACATCAGCCACACAAACACACACAGGGTTTTCTTGTTTGCACATTATGTCGCTCACGATCGAGATGAATTTGTGGATTCATAAATAATTTGTAGCTGTATTTGACGTTATGCATTCTCCTCAGGGTTGAAGTGGGTCGTGGTCTGCGGCATCTTTTTAAAAAAATTCTTAATGTATGCCAGCAGCAGAGAGCTAAAGTAGACCGTGTTAACGTTTGCAAAGCCCAAAAAGCGTGGCTTTGGGGTGCGGTCAGAAAGCGCTCCTGACGGAGAACAGTGACACAAGACTCTTATTTTTCATGCAATATGCCTTTTTGCTGTAAGTTGACTGTCTGATAAATGTCTCTTCCCAGATGCCAGAGGGTTGTGATTGCTCCCAGCAAACTGAAATTGCCTCTCCCATTACTCTTCCTGAAGCCCGTGGAATAATCTCGCGATAAAGGATCCATTATTTCTTTGAACCCCCCCCCCCCCCCCCCCAACCTCCTCAAAACAATCTTTCAGCAGTATCAGTTCACCTTTTAGCATGCAGCTTCGTGGCTGATGTCATTTGGGACGACCTGATTATCTATTCTAACTCTCTTTAAATGTACTGCAAGGAACCACTCATAATGAGGAGATAATGTTCCTTATGTGTTTGCAACCCCCCCCTCCACACACACACACACACACACACACATATATTTCACTTTCACTTCCCTGAGGAAACACTGGTCTGAGTTCTTTTCTGTTTTCGCTGCTCTTTTCTTCCGTCTCTCAGCGCGCCGGCCACCCAATACAGTAAGTACCTGCTCTCAGGTGTCGTGTCTCGGGTGACAGACGGGCTCAGCCCTTCGGGGGGGGGGTCTGACGGGGACATTAGGCCAAGGGTATGGGCACACTTGGAAAACAGACTCCGCTGTGTACCTCCCCTTGGGACTCTTGTCTTGTGCGACTGTGTTTGTTGTCGGTCTGTGACTAATCTGCCCCCCCCCCCCCCCCTCCCTCCCCTCCCAGGAAGATGAAAGTAGAGAAGCGCCTTTGCCTGTTCTTCCGGTTCCTGCATGTCTGCCTAGATCTCGGTGGATTTTTGTCTGCTTAGACCGGGCTTTACATGGTTTAATTGCAAGGCCTGCTTAACCGTTTCAATCAATGCCCTCCTCTACGGCGGGCCACAGGGGAGGAGTTAAACAGCAGAAAGGGAACGTTATGTACGGTGTATCCCACTTTGGACAGTGTCTGCATGCTAATAACAAGAATAAGGGTCCCGGGGCTCCTCTTTCCGCTCGCAGGAACACATGCCAGCTAACGGTGTAGTTTAACAACTACAAAGGAAGAAACATTTCATTTAAGGTGCCGCGATTGATACGAGGTTAGTGATGTCGGCCACACACAAAGAGTCACGTGAATAATGATGCAAACTTCTCTCTCTCGGCGCTCTTAGTGATGGACACCAAGGCTGTGTTTGCGGCCCTGTACAGCGTGTGTGAGGAGAATGCCGCCTTCTTCTCTGGAGGCTCCAAGGGGTCGCCGGGGGACGCGGCCCAGCGGCTTGTGGACACCATGGTCCTCATCCAGGGGCACGCTCACAACCTGGAGCCTGTCGTCTCCGGCTTCGCTGCAGTTTACCATCATTTTGACTTTGACCCACACATACCTGCCAACGGCTACCGCTCGCTGGTCAAGGTAAGCTGTCAGGATGTTTGGTGTACATGGCTCAGGTGGCCTTTGGTCTGGTACAAAGGAGGGCAGCCGTGAGGGTGACCTGCCCCACACAGCAGTGTGTTCTTATCGATATTCTCCCAACTGTGTGAGAAAGTGCTCGGCAGCGCCGCTTGATACCGCTTTGTTTCAAGGGCAGTCCATTTGTTTCACAGATTGATTTTATGCTGCAAATCAGGTTGGATAAATTTCTCCAGCTGCGGAATATCTACCCCTGCTGAACCCAGTGTACTTTCTCTTCTACAGTTATTGATGAAACATCATGACCTTCAGTGGCTGCAGTGTAGCAGAGCAGCTAATGAATGCGGCTGAGTTTTATCGCCTCCTGGATTTTAACGTTTAGAATCCTTCTCATTCCCACCGTGGTAGGGGGACTAGTGTGTAGGATCCTGCAGCTTCAGCAGGCCTTTCACGTGCTCTTTCCAGCACGCGTTGTTCAAGATGACACCGTAATCTTAATTTAAGCAGACTCACTGGACATGCTCCGTAATGCTTTGCATCCAAAATGGATCAAATCATTTTCACGAGAATTCGATAAGACTCAATTACTGTGGCATTCTTTATCCTTTTCCAGGTGGTGCGCTGCTGCATTCTCCACATCATCCAGAAGGGTCGCTACATCACCGCCAACCGCCGCAGCATCTTCTTCAGAGTGGCTCACAATGCGAAGGAGATGGAGGCCTACTGCAACGCTCTGTGCCAGCTGCGCGCGCTGCTCTACCTGGCTCAGCGCATGCTGCACGACAACAGCCACGGCAACCTCTTTTTCCAGGATGAAAGCGGCCTCAGCGAGAGCTTCGTCCGCGAGTACTCCTCAATGCACAAGGGGTGCTTCTACGGCCGCTGCCTTGGCTTTCAGGTGAGACGAGGTGGTGGGGAGGTGCCAAAGGGGAAGGCCGACAAATGGCTAATGGTTGCTGGCTGTAAATCATGACGAGTTAAAGTAGAGGAACCATCAGGCTTCCTAGTGGAGCTGAACTAGAGAGGCTTAACCCTCCTCAGAGGTCAAGATCCGACTAAAGGGAGAAAAGGATGAAGCCTCCCTGGTAATGTCTGAATCCCTTTAGACGGTCTAAGACTCCCCTGACGTTCTGATATCCCGTAGTCTGTATTTCATTTCATTAAAAAATGTGTTATTAAATGTAGAACGGATTATTTGAATGCGTTATTTATTTTCTCCTCCTCCAGTTCAGTCCAGCCATCCGGCCGTGTCTCCAGACCCTCGCTATTGGCCTTGTGGCCTTCGGAGAAAACTACAAACGCCATCAGTCTGGAATAGGTTTGCATCTTCTTGTGCGCTCATCGTGCCGTCACTCAATTGCCACTCACAGATCCTACCCGTCCCCACGACTCTCCCCACGTTGCTCTTTGGCCCCTGACTGCAGCTTTTTGATGTTGTGTGCTTCAATTGTGGATGCTCTTTCATCCTTTGGAGTCTCGAGGGCTAGCTGGTGTGCTTCTTCTATACTTCAGAATGTTTGAAAACAAGCACACGGTTATGTACAGAGGCAAGCACCATCGTACATGCATGCACGCACACACACACACACACACACACACACACGCATGTGTGCACACGTTTAACACTCAAGAAGGAATCATTGGACTCTCATGGTTTCTTGTGCTCTATGCTGCCCCCAGTGGAGGTAGGAGGCATTGCCCCATATGGTGAGTGTACTTCTTCATAATCCTCTGTAGTGTGAACAAGTTGCTTCTTTCCTCACAAGCTGCATTGATAGAAGTCTGACATGTACAGCCACTGTAGCTTAAAGGGCTTTACTTCTTGCAGAGCAATTAAAAGCAAGACATAATTTGATTGCAATGCCATGATGAATTGCTTTGGTTTTAGCATTTGCACAGTAGGTGTGCAACATCAATGTGTGAAGATAAAGCTGCGTGATATCGATATAGTGCTGTGAGAAAAGCCTATTCATTCTCAGTTTGATGCTTTTTCTCAGGCCTAAGGCCTAAGGCCTTGTCTTGACGACCTGCCTCTCCTTCTATCCTTTCCTCGTTCTAAATCGTGTTGTTCTATACAGTCACTTACTGCAATTGTCCCCATTGTCCGTCCTCCGTTTCTGTTTCCGTGATATTGTTGTTTTCCACCGCACATTCCTTTCCCTTTTTTACTTTTAAAAATGTATTTTTCGCCATAACCTTCCCCAGGTGTCGCAGCCAGCTCCATCTTCACCTCGGGGAAGTACGCCATCGACCCGGAGTTGAGGGGTGCAGAGTTTGAACGCATTACCCAGAACCTGGACGTCCATTTCTGGAAGAGCTTCTGGAACATCACCGAGACAGAAGTCCTGTCGGTGAGTAGACGCGAGACGCACACGCATACAGGCACACCCGTGTTGTTAACACTGACCCACGCAAACACAAAGGTAGTTTAATTTTCAAACTGTATCAAGAATATTTGACTTTCCTCGAGCAAAGGTATCGTTTCATTAAAAAGGATTTGATTTATTCACCCAGTCTGGTATCTCTCTCCACTGGCCTGACTCGCTCTCTAACATACGCTTCTCTCTCTCTCTCTCTCTCTCTCCTTCCTCCAGGGTCTTGCCAGTATGACGTCCACGCAGGTCAAGGTGAACCGGGCTCTCTCTGTGCCCCCCCTGTCCTTTGACCTCCCCCTGATGGCCGACGACACGGCATCTGTAACCATCGCTCCACCATCCGCACACGTCGGCACGGCTCCGGTTCAGATGAGGCTCATCTCGTATGACATGCGTGACGGACAGGTATCTAAACGGCTAAACTTTTGAATGCACGTTTGAGCGACCTGGTTTGCGACGGTTTTCCACCGGCTGTTTTTCAACCACCTCGCAATCATACAGATTCTTAAAATATTCCCACAGTGTAGAAGCACATGTGGTATTTTCCCGGCTCATCCTCGCAGACTTAATCCGCTTCATTATCTCACTCTTTTTCTCCATCATAGGTATGGCTTTTTCTCTCCCTCCCCTTTAAGTCTCCCCGCTCCATCCGAGCTTTTACTCCTCCTTTCTCTGCAGCTCCGCTCACAACCAGACATGGCTGAATCCCTCTCCAACCCCAAAACGTATACAAGCCTGCGTCAGCCAAAGCCCCCCCTCCCCCCCTCTGTTTGTGGTAATGAATGGGAATTAGTGTGCGTTCCTGCCGGCTCAGGGGGGGCTGAGCGCAAGCATCTGGAGGAAAGCTTGTTAATCCTCCTCTCAGAGGGGCTCTGTTTCCAACACTAGCAACGCAATATATGCAGAGTGAAAACAAGGCTTTGTTTCCAATTCCCAGTCTGTGAACAGTTGTCATACTGATGGTCCGCCCCCCCCCCACGTCCCCATCTGTCATCGTTTCATCGTCCTTCTCTCAGTGGTTTCTTGTCTTTTCTCATTTTCTGGGTAAATTCCTCTCCCCGTCTCCAGGATAGTGAGGCTCTGCTGTCTCTCGCTCGCTCTGAGGGTGGCGCCATCTCTCTGTCGCTGGGGCTGAAGACGAAGCGCCTCCCCCCGTCTCCCTGCCTCCTGGTCCACTTCCATGGGGGAGGATTTGTGGCCCAGACCTCCAAGTCACACGAGGTGAGCCGTTGCCACGAGATACCCTCGCTCTGACCAGAAAAGCAATGTGGTTGTTTCATTTTTAAGAAGAAATGTAAAACGTAATGCAGCATTTTAGAACTCAGCGTATTTATTCACTGCCTGACACGCGGCAGTATTTGACTTGTATGTAATATGTTTATAGTCAAACAGCTGGTCAAAATGTAGCACCTACACATCCAGATGCTGACAAACCGACAGCTCCACCATTGGAAACCTGGACATGGTTAACAAAGCGCTCATCCATCTTTTCAGGGCATCATTATTGCTACAAAGAAAATAAAAATAGTCAAATATTTTTTTCTCTTACTTTCTAAGTAAAGGGTTACGTTCACTGTTTTGTAATTAATCCCTGAACGTGTAAGTATATTAAAACATAAAAATCCATTCCTTCTTTTTTTCCTCCATACAGGAGCTTGTGTCCTAATTGAAACATCTAAATCACTGTGGTAGAAAAAAGGGCTTTGGCTTTGTGTCTTCAGAGTCCTGTTGGCTGTGTTCGGTCTTTATTCCATCAAACACAGTTTGTGGTCTGCTCGTGTGTGTGTGTGTGCGCGCGTGCGTGTGTGTGTGCGTGCGTGTCAGTCTTTATGTGGCATCGGGCTGATTAAAGCTCCTGGAAAAGACTCTGTGAAATCACTGTGGGTTTGGGCATCTTTCTCTCATAGCAACCAGAGGCGGGACTGAACGGGGCTGTCGCGTTGAATTAAACAGTGTACAACCCGGCGGAGAAGGATTACCGGGGGCCAGGCTCTAATGAACGCCTTCTCTGCCAGTTCTATTCCTTTTACTTACTCCCTCTCACTCGTTTTAATTACTCAAAAAATCATTTTTGCTCACTTCCTTTTACTTTTTCCTGTCCCGTCTCATTATAATTACAGCCCCTTCTTAATATTACCAGTTGCCTTCTGCTCTCTTACTGAGGCGAAACCTCAGAAAAAAGGGCTCAGGAGAAGGACAGAGGAGAACAAAATACAAGTTTCTCCTAAGGCGGGGGCCAGGGTCGTCCCTTGTACGTCTCACATGTCCCCGTGTCCATGCCTCGACTGTCTTCTGGGTGAGATGGACTTCAGGAGCTCGTGGTGCTTTGAGGGCCCAATTATGCTGAGATCACCGGCATGCACTGAGCAACTTGGGCCCGACCACAAACACACACTCCCAGCAGAGGTATGAGCTGGCAGATTAAATAGTCTGCCTGTCTGAGAGCGACTGCAGCTCCCAGTAATCCCGGCTTTGAGAAGAGATCTGGGACTTTCTGAATCAGGGTTTTTTTTAGTGAAGTGTGTGTGTGTGAGACGTAAGTTCCCTGAGTCATCGTGTAAAATGAACCAGTCGTAGTCCCAACCGAACCAAAACACACTCACACACGTGCCTCTTTTCTTGGAATCCCGTTGCTCCTTTTTATGCAGGCAAATGAAACGTCTGACTGACACACCTGTCCATGGACCTGCTGTCTCTCTCTCTCACACACACACACACACACACACTGCTTTTCCTGCCCTTGTGAGCGGATGGAGAGCTGTCACTTTCACCACCAAGCCTGTCATGACTACTGCAAAAAGGTGTTGGGATACGATAAGGACTTTGGAGGAGCTGACGATTTAATTATTTCCGTCCTCCACGGTGAGTTTGGAGGCCTGTTCAAGGTCGCTGCATTGCAGTTGGGGAGTGAAGCCCTTGCGTTCGCTTGGCACAAGGATAGTAAACACTTATCTGCACTACAGCAAAACACTCTTCTGTCGAGTGGTATTTTAGACTATCCCCGTAAACCCACACTGTCCTTTTCTCCTTCAAAGCGGGACACGTGACACCTTTCTTTGTTATTGCTGCACGAGAAGAAAAGGAATGAAGGTGACTGTCTAGACCGCAAATCAGAAACCAGGCAGATGACTTCAGAGGGACACATTTTATCCTTTCTCTTTAATGTTTACCCACGCGCATCTCACTCCCTGCCTCCATTTCTGTTCCCCGCTGTCTGACTTTTATGGGTGTTGTGTCTTAACGTGTAATATAATCACTGTCAAACCACTTAATCCGTTCATAAATCCCCCCCCCCCCCCTCCTTCTGTCTGGTGCAGCCCTATCTGAAGAGCTGGTCCCAGGACCTTGGTGTCCCCATACTGTCAGTGGACTACTCTCTGGCCCCCGAGGCCCCGTTCCCAAGGGCCCTGGAGGAGTGTTTCTACGCCTACTGCTGGGCTCTGAGGAACCCCCACCTACTGGGTACCTGCACACCTCACACCTGTGTCTGTATCAAACCACCTGGGTTTACCAAATCCCTGCACCTCCTGAGAGGGTTCATTCATCTGCAGCACCTCCACTCACACAACGTGTTGTCCTGCAGGCAGCTAGTCGACACCCTCCTCATATTCAGCAATGGAGGACAAAAAAGATGCTGCGTTGTGACGTGCATCACATTTTTCTTACACCCCAGTAGATTTCATGTAGCTCAGAAAAGGCTTAATTTAGCTCTTTAATGCCTCTGCAACGGCGTTATATTTACAGGTTGTCCCTCGGTCTGTCCCATCGTCCATGCTCTTGATTACATCACAAACATCCTCAAGTATGAACTGAGGAGGTTTCCGGTTAGCGTTCCGGTTTCACTGGAACCTTACCAAACAGGCCACATTTTAAGAATTTACAATTGAATGACGACATCAGTGATGTGCGGACACTGAACAACTGTGGTTCTGGGTATTCTTTGTCTCCTTTGCCCCCTTTTTTTGTATTCTCCTTTCCTTCACCTCCTGTAATCAGTGCCTTGTTTAAAAAAAATCTTATATAAACCTCCAGGTTGGACCGGAGAAAAAGTGTGTCTGGCCGGTGACAGCGCGGGAGGCAACCTGTGTTTGACGACGTCTATGCGAGCCGCTGCCTTTGGTGTGCGGATGCCAGATGGCATTGTCGCAGTCTACCCGGCTACCCTGCTGACCGCCTACGCATCGCCGTCCCGTCTGCTCACACTTATGGATCCCCTGCTGCCGCTCAGCGTGCTCTCCAAGTGTCTCAGCGCCTACGCAGGTAGGAGGGTTTGTTTGTTTGTGTGTGTGTGTGTGTGTGTGTCTGTAAGGGATTGTTAGTGTTAGTCTTTTGAAAATATTATGAATACAAGTGAAAAAAATATCATGTCAAAAAATATTTACAGAATATGTGATATAAAAATAAAAAATTAGATGTAATTTTAGTTCAAAATGTCATGAAAATAAGTAAAAAAATATTAGGCCGAAAAATGTTGTGGGGAAAAAAAGTCTAAAGATTAGGCTGGAAATGTTTAAAAGAATAATATGAAGTCAAAATATTTCTACAGATGTAATGTCGAAAAAAAAAAATTGGGTCAAATTTCTTTTTTAAAAGAATGTCTTAGGTCAAAATTTTAAACGTAAAAAGATATTTGGTCGAAAAATGTCTTGGAAAAAAAGTCAGAAAATATTAGGATGAAAGAAGTCAAAAATATTTCTACCGAATATGTAATTTTGGGAAGAAAGAATTAGGTCGAAAGATGTTTTTAAAAAATGTCTGAATGTTTTTTTTTTAAATGTCATGAAAGAAATTGGAAAATATTAGGTTGAAAGATGTAAATGGTAAAGTGAGAAATTTAGGATAAATGTCATGGAAGAACGTCAAATTATATTAGGTTGAAGAATAATTCCAGGTAAAACTATTAGATCAGATATTTCATGGGGGGAAATAAACGTCTAAATATTAGGTTAATAAATCTAGTCTGTATTGTTTATCTGATGGAGTAAAGCATTATATTCTGTTCATTTCCTTTCTTTCCGTTATCCCTGCATGTTTCAGCCGTCTGCTGCTCCACAATATACGTAATTTTAACAAATTGTAGTTATGGGTTTGTCGACGACGTAAATGAAGATGCTGACTGGAAACTTCTTGTGTGTCATGAATAATAATAAGTTTAGATGATTTCTTTTTAAATACTGTTTTATTATATAAACACTGTTGAGCAAAATTTAAATACATTCTGTTACAACATCAATTCAACCAATGTCCACACGGCCGATCTCGTGTGTCATGACCGTAATAATGATCATGTTAATCATGAAGCTGTTTTTGCTTTTGGATCTTGTCACCACTTATTTGTGTTGTACACAACGCGTATAACAAATAAATGAATCATAAATCTTTGGATTTTATTCTAGTCGCATCATGTCTGGAACAACAACTCAACTTATTAGCATATAGATTGTTTGTCATGTTTTGTCATTGATGTACGTATGAAGCAGATGGAACTTTCTAGTCTTCTGATGAATTGTTTCAGAAGGAGGCAAGTGGAGGGAAAGTGTTTGTCCAACTGAACAGAAGCACCAGTCACTTTCCATCCAGGTCTTCTGTCATCACCGTGCATCGCTGTTGTGTGCTGCCGATGGCTTTTCTTCACCCTGCCGTTACGCCTTTCCTATTACTGCCCTCCCTTCTTCTTCTTTTGTTACTCATTCATGCTTTTCAAGAATCCTCCAAAAAAAATAAAAAATAAAACACCTCACGTCTCACTTGTTCCACGTCTTCCTCCGTGTCTCCTGCTCCAGGCAACGAGCCGCAGGAGGAGGCGCAGGTGGAGAAAGCGAGCACGCTGAGCCTGGTGAGGAGAGACACGGCCCTGCTGCTCAGAGACATGCGACAGGGAGCCTCCAACTGGATCCGCTCTCTGCTGGACTCCAACGCCGCCACGCCCGCCCCCGCCCCCGCCGCCGCTGGAGAGAAGCCGCCGGGAGCCGCCGGTAAAGACCGCCGCGCGTGTAGTTCGGCCGCCTTTTTTGGCGCGCTTCTCTGTGCACACGTCTTCAGCAGCTTTTATTACAACATCAGCTGCATATGAGTTAATTTACAGCCCATATGGAGGAGGTTATTGAGATGGATCCCCTTTATTCAGCGTTTAACTAATCAATTATCGCTTATGCTCACCTTGTTGCGTAACACTCCTGTAGCCATTCATATCAATTCACCTCCTTGGAGCAGAAGGCCTTTGACAGTAATTGTTAATTGTAGCCACCGTAAATCGTAATTTCCCTGGTGTCCCTTTAGTTAGGTGACACCCACCCCCGCTTCCAGACCTGCAAGCACCAACTGATGCTAATGTCACACAGGTGAGTCTGCATTATTAAGAGGCCATCATGGGGCTGATTCGCTGGGGATTAGCTGTGTTCTGACATCACCCTGGCAGCCCACTTCTCTCTCTCTCCTTTCTGAAACATCCTACTTTGCGTTTTAGGCTTTTAGCTTCTGGCCGTGGACCAGAGGACGTGGGACAAGTGGAAACGGGGGGGGGGGATGAGGGATTGTGTAGACTTTGTGTACCCTTTCCTGTCCTCTAGCTGCTATTGAGCCTCATTCGGTATCCGTGATCATTGACTGTACGCTGTGTTATTTAGGGGCCTTATTGAACATCTAAAAGATTTTTGATTTCCCCAATGTCTCATTCCTTTTTTTTTTTTTTTTTAGACACAGTGAGGAAAAGCATTTCCGAGGCGTGCTTCTCTTCTCCTCACGCCGACCCCCCCGTCGCCTCCGATGCCTCCAAGTTCCCCTCCAGGAAATTATCCTTCAGGAGTCAGACCTGCCAGGACTTGGCGTCCAGCAACCACTCTGCTCCTCACAGTGCGCCGCTGCTCTCTGAACACACGGTACGCCGCCCTTCAGCGTGTTTCCATTGAGATCAGCGCTTATCTGGAAGCAATGAACAACATTGGGGACTTTAGTTTGAAGGAACACTATTTCAATGATAATTAGTAAACCATTGCAGAAGAAGAAAACACACCAGTTTTCTCAGCTTTAAAATGATTTTTCAAGCAGCTTCAAAGAGGCTGAGCAGTTTACCAGCATGCATATATTTTGGCCCGATATCATACAATGTTGTATGCCCTGCAGTGTATGTCGATGAACTCAGCTGGGATTATGTCTCCCGTGCCTCATAAACAGATCTGGCTATAAAATGCTGACCGAGTATCAAAGCGTTTCTGGTTGCACGGCTACCAGCAAAGTATCTCCGCATGTAGTTCCACACCAGCAGAGTGGATTAGTGGCTGGCTTGGGGGGGAGGAATAACGAGTGAGGGTGACGCAGCATTTTAGATGTGCTTTTCCTCCGTGAAATCGGGGTTGTGCGGCCGAGACTGTGAGGCGAGCCAAAGTTTTAAGAAGTCAAGGACAAAGGGCCGTTTGTGTGTTCGCCTTTCTTCTTACGTCCGTGTACTCCTGAATTATTTCCCGTCTCTTCTTTTTGCAGCCAGAAGATGTGAATTTCTTCCTCTCCACGGATGCAGATCCCTCCACGTGCAGGGACCTGTTTTCAGTGGCCATACCGCCCCCTGCTGGGCAGGAGGGAGCGGAGCTGGAGCCCCCCAGGGAGTTCCCCCTGGGCTTCGAGCCGCTGCGCTCGGAGCAGCTGTCCGAGATGAGGATGCAGAGCTCTCCGGTTGTCAAGGACCCGTTCTGCTCCCCCCTGCTGGCCCCCGACAGCATGCTGAAAGGCCTGCCGCCTGTTCACTTAGTGGTGAGACGCAGCTGGGGGGGGACTGACGCGGTGACGACGCCCTGCTTGGCTCCAACGCCTCTAATGTTGACGGTTAAATCCACATGGTTCAGTGGTGGCTCCCTGAACTCGGGTGTTACGGCACGTTAGTGCGCTTGAGCCCGTGAGAATGTCTGCGTTGGTTTGCTCCTGTGAGCCTCTCCAGGGAAGCTGCTGGTTCTGTTTCTTGGAGTTTAGCAGACATGATGTGCTGGGAGGGTGGATGTGAAAAGGAAGAAGTTGGTGCTGATTTGAAAGGCGCTAGAGTGAGTCAGCGAGATTGTAAAGCAAGTGGGGGACAAAAGAGACGCTCGGCTCCCCTTTCTTCAGACGCGTCTGAAGGGAATCCTAATGTGTTTTCCTCCGCTCTCAGGCGTGTGCGCTGGACCCCATGCTGGACGACTCCGTGATGTTTGCCAAGCGCCTGAGGAGCATAGACCAGCCCGTCACCCTGTGCGTGGTGGACGACCTCCCCCACGGCTTCCTCAGCCTGTCGCAGGTCTGCAGGGAGACCAAGGAGGCCGCCGACGTCTGCGTGGAGAGGATTCGCGCCGTCTTCAGCCAGGAGGACGCGGCCGCGGCCCCCGAGCCGCGCAAGCACCGCAAGCTGGAGCGGACCGACGGGGGCGCGTCGGCCTCGCCTCCCCTGGCCGACCCCGCAGAGGAAGGCAAGCCCGCTGTCGGGAATTCTGACGGGGAGGGCGTAGCAGCCTGGGCCGCGCCGAACAATACGGACGCTGTTGGTGTTGCGCCGTAAATATGCTTCGGTTAAAAATCTGCCGTCGACTCTGAAGGAAGTGTAAGAAGGCAGTGCGATTCAGAGGGAGGGAGGGGGGACGGGGGGTGAGACCAATGGCGGACGAAATGAAACCGCCTACAAAAGACAATCGCATTTTAGAATAAAAATGTAATCAAGCAACTACTTGTATCAAAGAGCAGCACTCGCCCACGCGCTTGACGGAGTGCGAGTTGGCCATAAAGCGGCGCATAAGACACTTAAGACGGAGCCCGAATGGGTGATTCATCTCAGCCCGGGCAGTCGTTTGAGCCCCTAATCAGATCGCGGAAGGCCCACTTTGTGCTTACGGTGGCGTCCCCGTCAGAGCGGCCACTTGTCCTTTAGGGGGGCCGCCGTAAATCACACTTGATCACCTCATGCTGCGTTCTGCATCGGGCCGGTTTGGTCGATTACGGCTCACTCTGAGAGAAGTAACTCTGTTGAGTCTCTCCTAAATCAAATTACTGAACGGCTCTAAACAGGATGAATTTATTCACTTGTTTTTTGAGATTCTTGTAGTTTGTAATATCATAAACTCTATGCAGTAGTTGTACTTTATTTGTACAGTCGTTTCTATTACTGTATTTAAATCCTTCAAACGTCACAGGTTTGTTCTGTTGGCAATCGCTTTATTCTGAATATTTACCTCCGCTCCTTTGCCACAGCTACTTGGACCTCGCTGGTCTTTTGAATTAAAACCAAATCCTCCTCAGTAAAGCATACTGACAGAATACGACTTTTATTAACCGCTACAGAGCCGGATCACCTTCTGAGGAGGAAAATGTCGGCCCCCGGTCTCTGTAAGAGCGAGCATTGCTCGAGAGTCTCTGGAAGACGCTAAATGTTTAAAGACTTTTTAACATTTTCCTTCTGCAGAAGTCAAGTTGGATAGAAAAACATCCCTCAGCTATCCGTCCGCATTGTGGAGTGCTATGCACGGCTCTGAGGTGCTCCGTACTCGTCTGCACTGGATGCAGTGCGTCGAAGGGGCCCCTCCCTCTTTGGACTAGATGCTTTTTATTTATTCTATTTATTTCGTCCCACCACCGGCTTTGTTTTTGATAACCGGGGGCTTCTCCCCTCCACGCGTTTCCACCGAAGCACTTTGAAATCCACCGAAATGTGGTTTGGAGGGTCGTTCCCTCTCAGGTCCAACTATATATAGATGCCCCCCCCCCCCCAACCCCTCCTGTGGCGTTGTCCTGCCCTTGTTGCCAGGTCTGCAGAGAAGGCTGCTGGGTGACGAATAGGATTGGGCTGAAGCTCTGCGTGTGAAATCCTTCCCTGTAGAAGAGCGGCGCTTTAAGCCAGCAAAGTTCCGCTGCGGGATTAAAGCTCGACTCCTCACCGCAATGTGGCTGTCAGATTGATGAAGAGAACCGCCGCCGCGTAGAGGCAGAGAGGAGCCGCCGCTGATCGTAACCCAGCAGCAGTTTGTCCGTCGTGTGTTTGAAGCTTGTGTCACGTTTCTTTCTCCGCGGCGTCGGTGCCTGTATGTGCACGTACGCGTTCCCGTGATCCCCCCCCCCCCCGTCTCTCTCGTGTGTCCGGTTCACAGGAACAAAGCCACTCCACCTCAAGCCGCCGTGGCCCTTTTTGTATTTGTTCTGGTCTGTGGGATACGCGACCGGACTTCTGAACCGATCCTGAAAACGCCGCCGCCGGTTACTTTGTTATTTAAACTTTATATATGTGAACTATTAAAAAAAGAATGTGTCAAATTCCCCCACTTGGTGTTTATTGAACTCCGTATGCCTCTTACCCATGATGCACCAGGTTCACCTGTCTGCTGTTCACGAATACGTTTGCAGTGTTACCTTTTCTAGTTCCCACATTCCTGGCCCTGATGGAGTTCTGCAGATGCATTTATGCTTAATGCAGAATTGTGCAGAGATTAATCGGCGTCGTTTTAATTAATGCTGCTTTTTCCATCCGGACCGTCCTGTTTTCTTAGAATGTCCTTGTGAGTGCAAACTAGTTCTAGTACCTCAGGTTGTACAGTACACAACAACAGTTTTACATTTTAAGGTTTGGGTTTGTTTTTTTTTGCCTCGGGCTGATTCCGTTAAAGTACAACGCAAAGTGCACCGCTGCTCTCGTGCTGAGCGAACTGCCTCCACATTACAGCAGAGCTATGCAGAAACTCACCAGCACGACTCTCCTCCGTCAGAAACGCCGTGACGCCATTTGTTGTCGCGCAGCGCGTTCCAATCACCTTGAGGTTGGAGGTCGGCGTCGGCGTCGCAGCCTGTACACGACCTGGTTACATGTGCGAGCGACCTCGACCACCTGTTTACGGACTCCAACACTCACTGGATCAGTGGATGTGTTGATCGCCAAAGCCTGCAGCCACAGTCCTGCAACGGATGTGCTGCTGTCGTCGTTTACTGTTTGTTATCAGTCATCAATGCGAAGGTGCTGGTCCGTGCTCCATATGCAAAGTGCGCTGCACTGAAAAACTCTGATGTAGAAAATAAGCCTTTAAAAAACTAAAATCAAGCCATAGACCTCACACAAATGTTTTAAGTTTACTTTTTTTTATTTGTCATTTATCGAAGTGCAAACCTGTGAATACAAGAAGAATGTATGTTAAACAATATATGATTCATGTAGTTATTTTTACTTCCAGATTTGTAATCCGATTGATTGCAGATGGATTGATTTGTTTCTTTGTTGGTTTTTATTTGAATAAATATATTCTCCCATGAAGCTGCTGTTGTGTCTGTGAATCGACTTCCATCACGTTGATCCGCCTGAAGGTTATTCACAAGAAGCTGTGCGTCCGTGGCAATAAAGCACAAATAGTATTGTTATTGTTATTGTGTCATTTAGCTTTTATCCAAAGCGACTTGCGTTGCATTTTTAAAAAGTCTACGGTGCAAATCCCAAATAAAAATTCTCTCTTCAGTTCTCACAGAATCTGTGTTGCTTCATTACACACGTGTGACCTGATGAACACATGATGAACACATGATGAACACATGATGAACACATGATGAACACATGACGGACACATGACGGACACATGATGAACACATGATGAACACATGATGGACACATGATGGAGACCTGATTCTAATCAGCCTCCGTGTTTATAATGTGCGGACGTGTCGCATTCTCAAAGCACGAGCGGAACGGGCGCGCGCACCCTTGTTCCCCTTCTCTGACATAGCCACGCGCAAGCACGCGCGCGCGCGCGCACATCCAGCTTCAAACCGCTGTAGGGGGCCCAAAGCGCGTCGGAGCGACCGCCGTGAACGCGCCCGGGTCCTCTCGCGCCGTGCCCGAGCCTTTTCCTCCGTGCGCGCGCGCGCGCGCCCGCCCGCTCAGAGGCAGCTTGCGGGGAGCGCGCAGAGCAGACGAGCGGAGGGAAAGATGGAGGTGCGGGTCGGGGAGACGCTGCTGTGTCTGAACGGTGCTGTCCGGCGTCTTCTTCGCGGACCCCGTCCTCGGGAAATACGTCAAGGGCCTCGTGAACACCAAAGAGGTGAGAGCCGCCCGTCGCTTCACGTGTTAATAGTTGCCGCCGGGGGGGGGGGGGGCGTCGCGTCCCCGCTCGCCAGGTGTCCCCGTTCCCGGCGGACGGAGACGGTTTCACCAATTGTCCGTTAAGTTGCCGGTGTCCGTTACCGCGGCAACATGAGACACTTCAGGCCGGTTCTGCCATTGACGCCGCGCGCGCCACATGTGACCCATCTGGATAGTCTTTGCCCCCCCCCCCCCCCCCCCGCTACTAACCGAGCCCCCGGTCCGTGCGTGTTGGTTCCGTTACAGGTGTGCGTCACGTGGCTGCTGCGCGCATCGATGGTAGTTCGACCCCCCTCCCCAACATTATTATTATCTCTGTTCGTATTTATTGACCTCTGAGTGTGAGCTGTGCGCGCGGTGGCTGGGGGGGAGGAGGGGGGGAGGGGGGGGGGTCTTAACAACTACCACCACGTCTCCTCTATTATTTTCCAATGATTTAAACCGTGAAGACGCTTGATGAGTCATAGTAGAATCTCTAACGTGCACAGTGGAGTTCGCTCGACCCCCACAGGGGTTTAGCTCTTGGTGGGATGTGCTGCAGCCCCCGGACCCCCGCCGGAGGGGCCTCAGGGGCCACAGACTCTCGAGTGTTGCCAAGATGCGACTTGGCAACAGAAAAAGCCTTGAAATTCTTTGCCACCAAGCGCCAGCATGTCACCTTCCGTGTGCATCGCCGTGCTGCCCCCCCCCCCCCCAATAAGAACACCGCGGATCAACCAGCCGGAATGCTGGGGGGGGGGGGGGGGCGTTGCTGACTGAACTTGACTACATTAAATTGTAAAAAGAAGAGAGAAGAACCTGCAGCCTGAGTGAGAGACTGAAGTGTGCGGTTTGGGTCGGCGGGGCCCGAGAGGAGAAACAAGTGCCCTTCTTCCTCCCATCATTGTTGAAAGAAGCGGTATCTGCAGTTGGGGGGGGGGGGGGGGGGGCAATAGGTTGCACTGGGCAACTCCCCCGTGTGTGTGTGTGTGTGTGTGTGTGTGTGTGTGTGTGTGTGTGTGTGTGTGTGTGTGTGTGTGTGTGTCTCCAGCTTCCCGAGTCCTCTGCAGGAACTAAGAGTTTAGTTTTAGTCGCCTCGTTCTGTAAAGCACAAATCAATGGTTTTCCATGAAAGTATCTCGTGCACTTCGACTGCTCTGTGAGGTCTGGTTTTCCCCCAATCAAATCAATAAATCTCTTGGATTAGATTTGAGATCAATAATAAAAAAAGTTAACAAGTAATTCTGTGATTATTAATTCAATCCACTGTTTGCAAAATCAAAATGAAGAAACGATTTTAGAGTAATAAAATGCAGACGTGCACTTTTTACAGTGAAATACCTGCACGTCTTTATAGTCTGGCTCATATACTCTTGGCTCAAGGTCGCCGACCAACCAAGAAATCCTCTTCCTCTCAGAATGACTCACACACACACACACACACACACACACACACACACTAATGGAGCTGAAGGCAGATTCTCTACCCGTGTGACCTGGCACACATAGAAATGGCCCGTTGGAATCTGCTGGAGAGAAATGAGCCCGGTGACCCCGACGCGCCATCGCAGCAGATTGGTCAGCAGCTTTTATTTTGGGCCGGTCGGTGTTTGTTGTTCGCTTTGTGGAGCCGCTGATGAAATGTGGCGGTGGTTTTTAGGCCGGCGGCAGGTTGGGACAATCTGGGAAAGGAACACAAACCGTCATCTTTCCTCTGGGACACGTCAGCTTTCTACGGCGCTGGAGGGTTTGGGGATTTTATGTAATTACTATTTCTCAGTGTCATTGTTTGCGAATTTGCTTTTATTTCATTGGCTAAAGTCGTACAACGTGGCCCCTCCTGCTTTTCAGCATCCTGCTGAGTAAATAACTAAATAAATATTTATGTGTTTGGATTTTGAAAACTGACATTTTCAATAAATCTGCCGTGGTTTTCGGTAATCTGTGAACTGAGTTTTGAAAAATAAGACGATAGAGGGTCAGATGTCTTCGGCTCTCGGTTTCCACAGTTAATGAAAATATGCAGATTAAACCAGAAAGGTCTTTGAACTTTAAATGAATGAAAATGAACAGTCGCCTCTGAAAGTTATTTTCCTAAACTAAAAGTCTCCCGGTCACATTGATCAAAACCACCATCGCATTCTGAGGGAAAACTACGTGACGGATGCTGAGGAGATAAAATACCTGTTTTACATCCTTGAATTTCTGCAAACGCACAACAATCCTACTGGTTGACTTGTTGGGAATCCTGCATGTGTAGAATTTCCAACTCAATCCCCTTTGGGGTATCATTTTTTAATGAGACCATGTGATTGGATACAGGCGTGTGCGTGTGCGTGTTTATCCGGCTGCAGATGCTCGCTTTAACCCTGAGAGACGCTGCGTGTTTGTGTCGGTGTGTGTTTATGTGTCGCAGCGTCGTGGAACCCTGACTAATGAATCATTGAGAAGCCATCAGTCCGAGGGGGGGGGGGGGGGGGGGCCCCACCAACTGAAAAATAAACCTTAAAGAGGCTTAAAAAGCAAAACGCCATCTGGAGGGAAAGAAGGAAAAAATGCCGAAAGCTGGAGATGAAAGCACCAATACACCGATGGAGAGAGAGACGCGGCGCGGGCTGATCCGATACTGCAACAAAGGCACCTTGATTAGTGGTGCGCACACGCACACACACACACACACACACACACACACACGTACACACACACACACACACACACACACACAGAGGGGGAGACGTGGCTGAGTGATTCTGCATCACGATGCGGCGGCCGCGGGGAAACAAGAAGACACCTCATCCGCTGTGGCCGCTCTCCTGGGCTCGGTTTCTGCTCTCCACTGACGCTGTAACACACACACACACACACACACACACACACACACACTGAGCCACACCAGACAGAGATGTTGGTGTTCGGGGGGGGCGGAGCTCCAACGCTTTCTACACATCAAAGCTGCTCCTCTATATGTGCAAAAAGAAGTCGCCTCGGTTGATGTCACTTGAGCCTTGGGCCTCGGTTTGGTGCCTCTGTTCAGGGGCCACAGTTTGGGGGCCTCTGTTAGGGGACCTCGGTTTGGTGCCACGGTTCGGGGGCCTCGGTTTGGGGGTCTCGGTTCGGGGGCCTCTGTTAGGGGGCCTCTGTTCGGGCCTCGGTTTGGGGGTCTCTGTTCGGGGGCCTCTGTTCGGGGCCTCTGTTAGGGGGCCTCTGTTCGGGGCCTCGGTTCGGGGCCTCTGTTAGGGGGCCTCTGTTCGGGGCCTCTGTTCGGGGGCCTCGGTTTGGGGCCTCTGTTCGGGGCCTCGGTTCGGGGCCTCTGTTAGGGGGCCTCTGTTCGGGGCCTCGGTTCGGGGCCTCGAGGCAGCGGGCGCTTGAGGTTCTTCTGTAGCGTGTTGCTCGTTCCTGCTCGGGGCTGCTCACACACACAGTCTTTGGTGCATTGTGGGTAAGTGAGGAACCAGCAGAGAACAAATACAGAAGGTGGATGAACGAAGAGGATGTTTTTTTCTACAGTAATTTAACAACTTAATGCTAAATTATATTTAACCCGAACACGCCTCTATTTTAAGTCTATTTTGCCAAAACTGATTATTCTCATTATTGGTTCATCTGCAGATTATTTTCTCGATTAATCGCTTGAATGATTTACTTAATGTCTCACAGTGGTGAATAAATCTTAATGTGAAACTAATGTGTGCGAGAAAAGGGACCAACGAAGAAAAGAGGACGTTTTTTCTCTGTGTGGACTAATCGGTTATTATGACTGCACACGCTTATGTTTTATACATCACGTGTGCTCCCGTGGCTGAAGGAGAGAGAATCCCTGCAGACCGTCAGGTGGCGTGTTGCAGTCTATTACCCATAATGCCGAGGGTGTAACGTTTGAGTGTCACTATTTGCTTTCTAATGTCGGATCAGCTGTTATCTCTTTGCATGATGTACAGAGACTACATGCGTGTGCGTGAGATGAACAGCTTGGCCTGTTGGTGTTTCTATGGCAGCTGTGAATGAAGGTGTGTGTGTGTGTGTGTGTGTGTGTGTGTGTGTGTGTGTGTGTGTGTGTGTGTGTGTGTGTGACGGATGTTTGTGGGGGATTCTGTGGTTCTGTGGCCCAACAAGGGGGTCTTTCATAGCGTGTGGTGAGTTAAATGATCCCCCCGCCTCCCGACCACAACCAGACCACCGTTCCCTCCTCTCTCCAGCGCTCCCCTCTGCCACCCCCCCCCCCCAGTTGTCATGGTCACGGCCTTAAGCGTCGCCCGGGACAACGCGGGGAGGTGCGCGCGAGCCTCGAGCTTCCAGGCGACTTTTAGAGCTCGCCATGAATCTTAACAGTGAAACGCGGAGTGGTGCACGGAGAGCGCAGGGCGGTGCACGCCGTGCACGTTGCTTTTGAGCGCAGGCCGGTGCACGTTGTCTCCGAGCGAGGGGCGGTGCACGTTGTTTTTGAGCGCAGGCCCGTGCACGTTGTCTCCGAGCGCAGAGTTTACGGAGCTCGTTTACGTGGGGGGGGGGGGGGGGAGCAGGCGGAGGTGATCACAGCATTATGCTGGTTGGAGATCAGGAGCTCATAGCGACCAATCGCAGAGCCCGTTGCAATAAGGAGGCGGGTCCCTGAAGGAGGCCGACTGGGTGTCGTGTGTGTGTGAGAGCGCCGTAGATGTTAGGAAAGAACGGAACAATTAACCTGAACTTCAACTTGTGTCAATTTAACAGTTTCTGTGTCTATTGATTTTTTATACGATGCCGTTTTGTTTTGCTGGTCACAGCTGTGAATGAAATGTTTCATCATATGCAGATAATCAATAGATCTCCAGACAGAACAAGCACTGACCCTGATGAACCCCTGAAGCCATCGGATGTAACAATACAGTCACATCTCTCTCTGTGGTCGGTATTAGATTCTTCCTCTTCCTCTTCCTCGGGAGGGTTATGTCATCAATGTTTATTACCAGTTAATCAGCAGTTTGATTGATTGTTCGATCTGTAAAATCTCAGAAAATGATGAAAAAAGTCCAGTACAGTTTACAGAAACCCAAAGGATCCATTTCCCCCAAACTGCAGCACGAATACATTCAGTTCACAAGCACCTGGTTGTTACAAAAGTCTCAGTATGTCTGTAAAACACTGACGCACTGATGTCACGCATTGTCGTGACCTTTGGTCCGGACGTTTCCTCCCACGGCCGGTGTGTTGACTTCCCACCGCGTCCAAAGAGACGCACTCCAGCGCCGACTCCTCCTCCTCTGCGCCTCGCCGTGAATTCTGGGTAAACGGGTTGGCTGACTGAAGGGAACGGCCGATTGGTTCAATCAAACGAGCCCTCAGCTTCTCGGTCGCCGCGCGTTATGAATGAGGCAGGTGCAGCGCGCTGTTGCCATGGAAACGTGACCGATGGAGGCGGCTCAGTCTGACGCGTTTTCTCCCTTCCTCTCAACTCCAGGACTGGCTGTTCCTCACCCGCTTCTGCTATCTCACGGATTTTGGACGTCTGGACTTCCGGTTCCGCTACCCGAAGGTAGGACGACCTGCTGCAGGTGTGTGTGTCTGTGTGTGTGTGTGTGTGTGTGTGTGTGTGTGTTCTTGCTGGTTCATTCACGTTACGTTCATCCTTCCCAAGAGTTTGACTTTCCTCCGTTCTCCATCCTTTCCTTCTCCACGTCTCTCCCTCTCTTCTCACCGTGCGTGGCGCTCCCTCCTCCTCTGCTCGGTTCCTGCGCTCCTCTCGCGGCGTTGCTCGGCTGCAGAGCGTGGACGCGGTTCTTGTGGCGTGAACCTCTCTGATCCGTGTTCTCTCTCTCTCTCCTCCGCCCCTCAGTCTCACTGCTGTCAGAACATACTGCTGTACTTTGACGACAGCTCCCAGTGGCCGGCGGTGTACAAGAGGCACGAGAAGGTGAGACGCCGACACCCTCTGCGTCGTGTCCTCCATCAGGTGCATTAAGTCCACCTCCATCCACTCATTCTGTGACTCCGATCCAGCATTGAACGACGAACGCGCTCAGAATAAAACAACTGCGTCTTTCTCAGTTGGTGAAGGTCTCTTCACTCACAGCCAGTGATTCGTTATTGATGACACACACACACACACACAGTGATCATCCAACGATCCGTATCGATGAGCTGAAGCTGCTTCACAGAAAACGAACGATGTGGATTTTCTGTAACGCTGTTTGTTTTAGTTTAAGCCACTTTGCACTTTATTGTGGTTCTCTGTCCACGCGAGGCCCAAACGGCGTTCATGCAATGAATCCATCCGGCTCCCTGAGGTGTTTGGCTTCATGTGATGAAGGTGTGAGGAAGGTATTCACCTGTGTGTCGGCCTGCTGGTACCATGAGACATAACAGAATACGGCCTATAAACTTGACATGAAATGGCTTTTACACCCAATGAATAATGTATGATGGAACCGTATATCGTTGCCTGCGGGATCCCATTTTAGAGCTGCGTGTAACCTTCCCACCGTTACTCAGCATTTAACAGCTTATTGTGAGCTTAAAGTAAGACTCCCATTAGTCTTATCAGGCAGTTTGTGGACTGTGTGGAATAATCTCCTCCACTGATGGAAACAAACACCAGCATTGACTGAGTACCTCCACGCTGCAGATAGACACCTCCACGCTGCAGATAGACGCCTCCACGCTGCAGGTAGACACCTCCGCGCTGCAGGTAGACAACTCCACGCTGCAGATAGATACCTCCACGCTGCAGGTAGACACCTCCACGCTGCAGATAGATACCTCCACGCTGCAGATAGACACCTCCAAGCTGCAGATAGACACCTCCAAGCTGCAGATAGACACCTCCACGCTGCAGATAGACACCTCCACGCTGCAGATAGTTACCTCCACGCTGCAGATAGACACCTCCACGCTGCAGATAGTTACCTCCACGCTGCAGATAGACACCTCCACGCTGCAGATAGACACCTCCACGCTGCAGATAGTTACCTCCACGCTGCAGATAGACACCTCCACGCTGCAGGTAGACACCTCCACGCTGCAGGTAGACATTTTAGAATATTTGTTGTTCATATATTTTAATTCTGTGTCTCCCTTCAGAACTGCTACCAGAAGGAAGCGGTGCTGAGGCCCGAAAACAGACAGGTCATCAACCTCACGACGCGCTACACCTGGTCAGGCTGTGTGGTAAGAACACACACATGATGTGTTTTCGTGACATTTTACTGATTCACACATTTATACCACCAGAACCGGTCCAGCGGGTTTCTCTTCTCCTCTCACACCTTCTGTTTGTTTCTCTATAAGCAACGCAACATGTTTGTGTATCACGTCAGGACGTGTGATTCTATTTCTTTGTGATAAGTGAATGCGTCTTCCTGTCCGCGTCTCCCAGGTGGAGGACGACGGGGACGAGGAGGTTCTGAGCTGCGTGGGCGCCCGCAGTTCCCGCTCGAGGAGGGAGAGATGGTGGTACATCGCACTCAGCAAGTGTGGGGTGAGCAGCGACCTCCGGCCCGTCTCCACGCGGGGGGGGGGGTCGGTTGCCACGGCGACGGACCACCTTGGTCACGCGGACAGATTTTTGTCGTCACGTCAGCATCATTTACCCGCCAATGATCGGACTGTTAATGACAATAACACCGTTACGTTTAATGTGTTCGATAAATAAAAAGCTTCAACATTTTAAATCAAAGTTTGAAGATTTGCAGCGAAGCAAAACAGCTTTTGGAGAATGTGAACACTCGGTAACCTCCCGGAGGAATACTACAATACGTGAAACCCCGGGTCTTTCCGTCTCTTGCTTTTTAGCTGTGATTTAGCATAATTTCTGTTCCAGTACGTGCTTCCTCATTTCAGCGCTCTGCAGCATGTTTAAGCAAACAAGGAAGTTTAACCCTTTGGTTTACAGTCGCCTTTCAAATGAGACGGATGGATGCATACGTTTACAAAAGAAATGCAATGAATAGATATTTAGGATTATAAACGCAGATTCCCAAATGTAACGAAGCTGAGGGAACCGTGCTAAAGATCCCCGCTTGTCCACCGCTTCCATCTGCCTGCTTCAGCGCCTCTTAACCATTGTGTCACTCTGTAATGGGGCTCTGTGTGGTGCTGATGCTGCGCTGGGAGCACGATCAGCCCTGTTGTTGATGTGAGTCTGGGGACTCGCCGCAGAACTCACTGCGTCCCAGGTGGTGTGTGTGTGTGTGTGTGTGTCTCCATGTTGGTCTGTCCTCCTCGGGCATCGCGCTGCCGCTGCGTGGGGCCTTTTTGCGTAGTGGATCTGCGGAGGAGGGATGTGAACACAACAGATGCTTTCCGCCGAGTGCGGCTGATCGACTCGCCGCCTAATGCGGTTGGACCGGGGGGAGCTCGTCTCCGCTCGCGGGGACAATTTACGCCGCCTCGCTTCCCGCCTGCTTTTCACACCTCTCCGTCTTTCTCACCGGCGCCGCCAGCGAGCTGTGACGCGCTGCCCGCCATGTCACCCCCCCCCACACCCGGCTGGCCGGCCTCTAATTGTGTTTTCCCTCCATCAGGCTCCTCACTTCTCTGCTCCTTCTCTGTTCTTCTGCTCTCATTTCCTGTATTCTCCATCTCGAGTGGATGCACATCAGCCCCTTCAAACGAAATACAGAAGACAAAAGACAGAAATCAGAAATTAAATCTGCCTCGTGCCAAATGACAGAGCAGGACCAGATAAAAGTTCACATTTATATGTCTTGTTTTACAGCAGCGGATGTTTTTGCATGAAAAGTATTTCTCACAAAGCCCAAACTCGTCTCTCCGCAGTAGAACATTCATGTCTTTGTCTTTGCCATTAAACCCTTTGGATGAGTGACAATAATGGAAGTCAATAGATGGAGTAGTTTATTATCGTTCTTTCACAGCGGAGAGACGGAGCCTTCGAACGGTTGTAATCAGCTCTTATTATGCTGAGTGAAAGTGGTGAAACTGGACTCGTCTTTATGGCCCCAGTAAACTGTCCCCCCCCCCCTGAAGACAGACGACGGGTCCTTATCGCCACGCTCGGTGAGACATTTCAACAAACATGAGCCTCTGACTGACTCGAGTCTTTATTCAGTGAGATATTCTCCCTTTTGTAGGAAGAAACAAAGCGGCGACGCGTCGATTGTGTCGCTCGCGTTGTTTAACGGTGAAGCCTGCGATCTTCTTGGGTATTTTCTGCACGTCCTCCGAATACACTTTGTCCAGAGCTGCATCCAAAACGTTTCACTTATTACTAATCCGGGGGTTCATTTTTGGACCAATCGATTATTTCGCCCTCGTGATTCCATTTGATAACGATTCCCCCGTCTCACCAGAGGACATGTGGCCCTGCATGACTTGTCCTCCTACTCCCACTCAGCTTGAGACGCACTGCCTGGGTGTCCCGTCAGTGTGGAAGCTTTTCCCACCGGAAAAACCAACCAGCAAAACACCCAAATCTCCCCGTGTGGTTTAATACCCGCCGAGGAGGAGGAGGAGGAGGGAGGGGGAGGAGTCTCCTCGTCCCCTCCTTCCTCGCTCCCTTCTGCCCGGCTCCTCTTCCTTCGCTCTCGCTCCCGACATCTACCGCTCTCTTCATCTCGCCCTCTTTGCTCTTTGCGTCCGGATTGATTTTGTGCTGCTCGATGCAGTCGCAGGTCGCCAGATAAATTCAAAGTCCTTTTCTCTCCCTTCGCTCCACTGCGGCGATCCGGCAGCTCCGCCGGCTTTGCACTTGTGTGCGTGAAATGAGCTCTCTGTGCTCTGATTGTCAATCCATCTTCTCCCCCCCTCTCCTTCCAAAGTCACCTCCAGTTTGACACTTATTATTTGTGTGACTGCCAAATGTTTATTTCCTCCTCAGCATCACTTCTGTATAAGTTAATACGTTTAATTCTCCTGAAAGAACGACTCGTGCATTGAAGAATCGGGGTCATCTTCTCACCGGCAGCACAGTAGCAGCCTAGATTCCTTTTTTCATTCCTACACTGGACTCCTTCCTCACTCGGTACCCCCTCCCTCCCCCCATGGGGAGGAACGCTTCCTCCTTAAAAAGATTCTTTGTCCTCGTTCGGAGGTTTATTAAACATTTGATTTTCGAGGATCGATAAATAATAGAGCGCGTTCCTCTTACTTCCACATCCAGTGCAGCTTTAAGATTTAATGTATATTTTGTACGGCTTCGCAAAGCCTGCATCAATTTTTAATTTCACCAGCGTCCTGTCTGTCTCTCTCTCTCCCCCCGTCTGTCCCCCCCCGTCTGTGTCCTCTGGCAGGGCGAAGGCTTGCAGCTGGAGTACGAGATGAAGCTGACCAACGGGCAGTCGTTCTGGACGCAGCATTTCTCTGCGGATGAGTTCGGTGAGCGCGGAGGAGGAGTCGCTGGTGGCACAAGCCAACGCCACTTAGAGAAGCCACCAAATGACAGTAACGAAGAGATGATGATGGATCGACTGAGAGGAAGTAGCTTCCCAATGAATTGTTCCTCCATCTGCGATGTTCTCATTCTCCTCCTCCAGCTCGCTCTGTATATAAATAGATGGATATCCTCTGAACGTCATTGACCGCTTTACTTTCTGCTCCTCATTCCACCACTTATGTTTGGTCAAACCTCCTTTTTTGCCCCTTTTCTCATAAATGATTCTCTTCCTTTCCTCCGTCCTCTCGTCACAGGGATCTTGGAGACGGACATCACCTTCCTGGTCATCTTCTCCCTGGTGTTCCTCCTCTCCTGCTACTTTGCCTGTAAGTGATGCCTCCTGCACTTAGCTGTGTTTCTCCTCTCCGAGCCCTTTTCTTCGGATCCATTATAAAACGCAGCAGCTTTCTTGATGCGACAGAAGTAAGTTCTCGTGTTTCTTCTTGATAAATAAAGCCGGAGCTCTTTTTCCTCGGAGCAGAACGTTTGCGAGACAATGCAAGAACATTAATCGGGAAGCAGAACGGGTGTGAAGGTGAACGGTTGGATGGAGAAGCCTTTAATGTTAGTAACACGTTCGTCACGTGGAGGTCGCAGCTCCATTGAGCCGAAGGAAGGAGTTACTCCTCAGTCCTCCAGGCCTCCTCCCTCCGGGCCGAGTGTCCTTGAGTTGACTCACTTATGATGTACGAGAAGCACGATATCGCTCAACTGCTGGTTGTTCATTCATTCATCTGCGTTCATAAAGCCAGAGGCCTTTATTATATTAATATTCACAGTAGAACACGTGGATTATGAAAGACGGGTGATGAGATGTGGAAGGTGACAGAAGTGATTTGACCTTCATGGCGAAAGGTCACTGTGACCTCCTCACTCATGTGTGAAGTGATGAAGCGATGAAGTGATGAAGCAATGAAGTGATGAAGCGATAAAGCGATGGAGTGATGAAGCAATGAAGTGATGAAGCGATAAAGCGATGGAGTGATGAAGCGATGAAGTGATGAAGTGATGAAGCAATGAAGTGATGAAGCGATGAAGTGATGAAGCGATGAAACGATGAAGCGATGGAGTGATGAAGTGATGAAACGATGAAGCGATGAAACGATGAAGCGATGGAGTGATGAAGCGATGAAGTGATGAAGCAATGAAGTGATGAAGCGATGAAGTGATGAAACGATGAAGCGATGAAACGATGAAGCAATGAAGTGATGAAGCGATGAAGTGATGAAACGATGAAGCGATGAAACGATGAAGCGATGAAGTGATGAAGCGATGAAGTGATGAAACGATGAAGCGATGAAACGATGAAGCAATGAAGTGATGAAGCGATGAAGTGATGAAACGATGAAGCGATGAAACGATGAAGCGATGGAGTGATGAAGCGATGAAGTGATGAAGTGATGAAGCGATGAAGTGATGAAGCGATGAAGTGATGAAACGATGAAGCGATGAAACGATGAAGCAATGAAGTGATGAAGCGATGAAGTGATGAAACGATGAAGCGATGAAACGATGAAGCGATGGAGTGATGAAGCGATGAAGTGATGAAGCGATGAAGTGATGAAGTGATGAAGCGATGAAGTGATGAAGCGATGAAGTGATGAAGCGATGAAGTGATGAAGCGATGGAGTGATGAAACGATGAAGCGATGGAGTGATGAAGCGATGAAGCGATGAAGCGATGGAGTGATGAAGTGATGGAGTGATGAAACGATGAAGCGATGGAGTGATGAAGTGATGAAGTGATGAAGCGATGAAGTGATGAAGCGATGAAGTGATGAAGTGATGAAGCGATGAAGTGATGAAACGATGAAGCGATGGAGTGATGAAGTGATGAAGCGATGAAGTGATGAAGTGATGAAGTGATGAAGCGATGAAGCAATGAAGCGATGAAGCGATGAAGTGATGAAGTGATGAAGCGATGAAGTGATGAAACGATGAAGCGATGGAGTGATGAAGTGATGAAGTGAGGAGATTTGGGACGGACGTAGACATAAAACGCAACTTGAATGCTTGGCCGAGGCGTTGTCCCTCCTCTGTCTCTCTATCTGTGCTGCTCTGTCTCTCCTTTTTATCTCTCTCCTCGCCAACACACACACACACACACACACACACACACACGCACACACTTCATTTCATCCTTGTCTTTTCCCTCCCCTGCAGACAATCTGAAGGGACGGCAGCTTCTTCACACAACCTACAAAATGTTCATGACGGCGGCCGGTGTGGAGGGTGAGCCCTTCAGTCCCGCGCACACACCCTAACACAGACACACACACAGACAGACACACACACACAGACACACACACAGCGAAGAAGACAATGAGCTTGTGCTGCAGCATCTTAGAGCGGAGACATCCTGGACCTTATTATCCCGTGAACAGGATCCTTTCCTGCAGTCTTCAGTGCAGCGTCTACCTGTCCTCCTGTCTCATCCTTCCTTTCTCGCTTGTCCTGCCACCTTTGTCCTCCCTCCCTCCCTCCCACTTCCCTCAAGCCTTTTGCTCCTTTTCGTCTCCTTTTTATTAATTCCGCTTCCTCTCTGTCTCGTCTCTCTCCTCTTATCTCTCCCTTCTTCCCCCATTACCGTCTCCCCGATCGCCTCTCTCTCCCTTCCGTCTTGTTTCCTCACATCTTCTCCCTCCTTCACTCTGCTCTCATGTCTTCTTCCTGCAGTGCTCAGCCTGTTGTTCCACTGCGTCTACTGGGGCCTCTACGCCAGAGACGGAGTCGGCAACGGCAGCCTGAAAATACTCGGTGAGTATTTCGCAGAAACTGACTGAGCGACTGAGGGACGCTGCAGGGAGAATGAGTGATGGACGTGTGAAGAAGTGGACTATGTTGTCTTACTGTTACGCTCCAACCGCCCAGTCGAATTCCTTGTATGTCTGACATATTATGGTAGTTATATATGTATTATGGTAGTTATATGTGTGTGTGATGACCTGACTCTAATCTTTCCCCTAATTCCTCCCCTTTTGTCTCACTTCCTGTCTCACCTGTCCTCTCTGTCCGTCTCCAGGGAAACTGCTGTTCTCGGTCAGTTTCTTGGTCTTCCTCCTGATGCTCATATTGTTGGGAAAAGGTTTCACTGTCACCAGGTGGGGATCTGCCCGTTTTCACCAGCTCATGTGTCTTTTGTGCGTGTGTGTGTGTGTGTTTTCTTTAAGCCTTCATGTTGTTGTGCTGCTCGCGTCCCCCCCACGCTGTCCCCCCCGGCGTGTCCCCCCCAGTCAGTCATGCCGATGTCAGGTGTCCTTGAAACGGTCTCTCGGTCCGCCGGCTGTGACAAAATGATTCATGAGCCATCTCCAGTTTTCCATTCCAAATGTCCGCTTCTCCTCGAGACGTTGGACTTGATGTCAGTCCACAAGGTTTGGAGGTCTTCTTCTGACCCACTGGTCTCAGCCTGGAGAGCAGCCCGGTCTTCACAGATGGACAATGACGCTCTATTTGTAACTGCAAGAAGCTTTCACTTGTGACTCCTACAGACGTTTAATATTTATAGTTCAGAGCTGAGCGCGCACACACACACACACACACACACACACACACACACACACACAACACACACGTGTCATTTTCTAGTGTTACATTAAGGTGTCTTTGCTTCGTGTAGAGCATCAATGTGTGATTCTAGTGTGAGTCACTCCGCCGCCCGTGTGGCTTTCAATGTGTTTGTATTTGTGTTTTATGTTCTGCTTGTGTACGACCTCTGACCCCGTGTGTGTGTGTGTGTGTGTGTGTGTGTGTGCGTGTGTGTGTGTCTCAGGGCAAGGATCAGTCACAGTGGGTCGGTTAAGTTGAGCATCTACATGACCGTCTACACAATCACCTACGTCATCCTCTTCATCTACGAGGCAGAGGTAACACACACACACACACACACACACACACACACACGGTACTTTACCCACAATGCAGCACTGGCGTCAAGTCACTTAATTACGTCAATCAGCTGCTAATTATAAAACAATAATAAAACAAGTCCCTTGATGAGATACTTTTCTACTTTCAGTAACTCACTAATCAACATGCTGATAATGTGAATGAGCTTATGGACTGAGACCCCCTGGTGGGGGGGGGGGGGCGGGGGGGGCTGATGGTGCGTTCAGGTACCTGCTAATGACCCAGTAGTAAGATGCTATATTTAACGGCGAAGCCCACAGACTTCTCTCCCCATATGGGCACCTGAAGCAGTGTCATTCATCTGCCCCCCCCCCCCTCACGGGAGCTCCGGATGAAAATACACCAAACGAGGTTACAATGGGGACGGACACAAAGAGCTGCCGGAGCCGTCACGCGATGCATTATGTAGAGGAGGTAACCCTGTACGGCCACCGCCGCCCAGTCACCGGACTCTAGAGGCGCACACACACACGCACACACACACACACACACACACACACACACACACACCTACCTGAGGACCCAGTGAAGATGTTAAACCCTCACACGGAGCTCCGGCTCGCTCATCGCAGTGCAGCAGCTGTAATTAGGCCACCGAGCGCCAGAAAATACTTCATTCTTACTGCAGGTTTCCACTTGTTCAATGTGTGCGTGCGTGTGTGCGCGTGTGTGTGCGTGCGTGTGTGCGTGCGTGTGTGTGTGTGCGTGTGTGTGTGTGCGCGTGCAGTTCTTCGACCCGGGCGACGTGCTGTACGCCTACGACAGCCCCGCCGGCTACGGGCTGATGGGCCTGCAGCTGCTGGCCTACGTGTGGTTCAGCTACGCCGTGCTGGTCTCTCTGAAGCACTACCCGGAGAAGCAGCCCTTCTACGTCCCCTTCTTCACCACCTACACGCTGTGGTGAGACCCCCCCCCCCCACCCCCACCCTCCCCCCCCTCCCTCTGTTTGAGGCCTCTTCGGCTTGAATAATTGATGCCGCCGTGTGAAAATGAGCCGAATGAGAAGCGGTTCATTTCACACCAGCGTCCTCCCGACATCGGGCGCCCGAGGCGATGAAGCTTCCCTCCCTTCCTGTCAGAAGGTTCCATGACAGACGGCGTGTGTGGCAGATCGTTCAACGCCATCGTGGGGCGTGCGCCACAGAGAGGAATGCTGTGTCTGTATCTCGTTGTCTCCCCTTTCCCCTCGTCGTCACATCGCTCCCTCGCCCTCCTCAGGTTTTTCGCCGTGCCCGTCATGGCTTTGATCGCCAACTTCGGGATTCCTCGTTGGGCGCGGGAGAAGATCGTAAACGGGATTCAGCTCGGCATCCACTTCTACGCTCACATGGTGTTCCTCGTACGTGACCCACACACACACACACACACACACAGTGAGGGGTTCTACAGTCATACATTATTCACCGTCCCCCCACTGGAAGTACGTTACCGTGCGTAATCCCCACATCACCGAATGCCTTCGTCCTCGTGTCCCTCAGGTCATCACACGGCCCTCGGCAGCCAATAAGAACTTCCCGTACCACGTCCGCACGTCACAGATCGGGATCCTGCTGTCCAGCCCCAAAGCGGGCGAGGGGGGCGAGAGCTTCCCCCACCACGCCTACGGGAACGGCTCCTTCCTGGGAGACTCTCAACCCAACTTCACAGAGCTCTTCTCCATCCACCCGGTGAGTGGAGCTCCTCGCGTCTGCGGGGGTCACAGCGTGCGGTTTGACCCCCTCGGGTCGTAGCTGGAGATATTGACCCCCCCCCCCTCATTTCCCCCTTGTTGCCTCCAGGACCCGGTGAAGACGGTGGAGGAGACGGTGGCCCGCAAAGCCCCCGAGGTGGCGAGGAACAGCGAGCAGAAGATCATCACCACTGCTGCCGACCTGACGGCCATTTCGCCGCCGCCGCCGATCCCCCCGCGCCCGGCCACGCGCTCGCCCCCCCCGCCGCCCCAGCTGCCCTCCTTCACAGAGTACTTCAGCATGCAGGGCGGAGGAGGGGGCATCGGAACGAAGGCGTGAGGCGGAGCGACGACCCAACTGGAGGAAATGTCGGCGCCGGTGGATCGGCTCGGAGAGCAGAGCCGCTCACACGGCAAAGAAGCAATAAATGTTTGATGTTGACCAGGAGGACGGCGCCGCGGCGGCAGGACGGTCGCTGCGGAAACGGAACAAAATTCTTGAAATACTCGTCAAATATTCACGAGGCGCCGAGGGTCCGCGGGAGTTTGTAAATAGCTGAACCGCACAGAACTAAATATAGTTTCATTTCACGAAAAGGACATTTGTTTTAAAGAGAATCTGAGGCCGTTAGATTCAAGTCGCGTTAAACTTCAGAAAAACTACATCTTTTTTTCCATGTTGGGTCTCATTTTGATAAAGTAAAGATATTACCCGGAGTCCGTCGGGTTCATTTGGTTGCAGCTGGCTCCTCTGTACTGTGGGCACTTCTGAAACACGCATGTTTGTGTTGTATTTCTTGTCAAAAAGCTGAAACATGTACCTCCACGTGACCATGCGATATCAGCGTATTCTATTCTACACTTTTCTAAATGCACAGTCGGCTTTTGTATTCTTTCGACTGGATGAATCCAGCTAATTGTCGAGTATTCCCGTCGGTGTGAGCTGAATGTCTTTAATGTGAATGTACGAACGCAATACAGCACAACAACGGGGACAGAAAGTACAACTTTTGTTACGTTTTCCTATAAGAGTAGGGGGCTTTCTTAACTCCACTCCCCCCCCGTCTGGTACCTGAAACATCCGTTGGCTTTATCTCACTTTGACGTTTAAACCGTGTGAACAAATAGGTTTTTTTTTAGCAGCTAATACATTAAAAAAAACACGTCTTGTAGAAGAACCGTGGAATCTGCAACTGTACATTTAGTCCGTCCTGCATGGAGCACTTTAATGTTCCTGTTTATTGGTGATGTCATCCTGTAGGACTGTATTCACACGCCTGTACGCGCGGTCTGAACGACGCGAACGCTCCGTTTGACCTCCAGCGCCAAAAAAACGGCCGCCAACCGTCCCCGCGGCTCCTCGCCCACGGACGGTGGCGCTCGGCTGTGATGGAGCGCTGCGGCTTCTGAGCACCAGTCGTTGTTTGTGATTGTGTCCCGTTCGTGTTTTGAGATGTCTGCTTTAATCTCGTGTATATTGACGTACAATTATGGACCCGGAGGGACGGACGTGGCGAGAGGAGATTATCGTGTGTGTGCGCATGACACTGAAACAGCACAGCTTCTAGGAGAGCACATCACCGTTGAAATGCATCTTAATGGTGTCAAATGAACATTCTAAATACGCTGTGTATACATCTGCACCTTTTTTGCCAAAATAATAAAACTGTTTTTATTAGAGGGCTCGTCTCGCTGCGTAACGTTTGAGTGATTGTTCTCACGAGAGGCTCCAGTTGGATGATTCACATCACCGGCTGGATCCACTTGTTCTCCGGCAATGGGGAACATTTCTAAATGACCTTCAGGCTGACATTTCAAACTTGTTATTCTGTAACAATTTGTAAAGAAATGACTTTTTTCCATCTGTATCAATGGGCCTTCAACCCAATTTGATAGAACAACGATGTGGGTCGTGATGAGCAGCCAACAATGACGTGTTTCCCCAGACTACCAAATTCAAACGGAAGCTCTTGAGTGAGTGAAGTGGGAGATGAAGAGCAGGTGGTTCTCCGAGATACTGCGATTGCAGTAAAGATGCAATATAGGACCCAGTGGTTTTGGAGCTTAAAGCCTAAATTAAGGATGCATCATCTGCCATTTTAATCCGTCTCACAGGTGAATCCTGAATGCTTCCGTATCTTTACGGTTTCCCTCTGACAAAAACTTCAACCGCTTTAGTTCTGTAAAGAAAGAATTTATTAATACGTAAAATGTCCTTTTGGTGGTCGTCTGCAGCCGGTTGCCGTGGCGACCACGGATGACCAGGTTGCCCCTAACTCGGCCGCGTGGACGACTCCTCCTGCTGCTGCTGCCGGTAGCCTTTGAGCAGCTGGTTGACGAGCGTCAGTTCGTTGTCTTGTTTCACGGGGTACAGCGGCGGGAAGGGGTGGCCCTTGTACTCTATGACGGCCATCTGGGCCCGGTCCAGGTTCTGCCTGTTGGGGAGGCGAGCCGTCCGCGTGTATCCGGTGGACTGCGTCTCGAACCGCGGCGCGAGCACCTTGAAGAGCTTCGGGACCAGGTCCTTTTCCTGAGGAGGAGAAAGCACGTCTTAATGTTCACCGCGCGTGACTCCAGGGCGGCGAGCGGCGCTGCAGACACGTACCGTGAGCCAGAAAGTGGCCATTTTCATCGCCTTCTCGTCGGTGTCTCCTCTTTTGGCGTAGTCCACCAGCTGCGCAGATTTAAATTAATTAATTGCATTTCAGATATAAAAAGTCTAGAAATATGGAGAGAACCTTGTCATGGTGAGACGTTGTTGGACAAAGCAATAATAATCTGCACCAAACTCTTTACATTCAAACTAAAAACTTATGGAGCCAAACACATGTCTGATGTATGACACATATATGATGTATGACATGACACATGTATCACCCACTGACTGTTTTAATCACTTTGACAACCTTTCAACAAATCGATCCTTCACCCCATCTTCATTGATCAGGGATAAAACATGGATTTGATTTGACCTTCTCGACCGTTTCCGTTGTTGGTTAGCTTAGCCAACAACTAGCTAGCTAGCTTAGCTAGCTTAGCTCAGCTCAGCTGGCTTCAGCGGGTCGCCGTACCTTCTCGGCGTAGAAGCGGACTTCGTCAGCTCGGGCCGCCGTGGTTTCGATTCTCTCGTGCCGGACCAGCCCGGTCAGAATGTTCCGCAGCATGTTGATCCGGGACTGCGGACCGAGGCCGATCCTCCGGGCCACCCGGCCGTGGGAGATCAACGCCGGCAGCGTGAGGCGCATCCTGCTGGGTTCTCCTGCGGGAGTCGGCGGCGGAGCAGCGGGGGGGGGGAAACAGAATATGAGACGCGTAATGTGGGTAGAAGCCCCCCCGGCGAGGGTCTCAGCGGGCAGCGAGTCCGGAGGTCAGACGAGTCGATGCGCGGCTCGCAGGCTTTGACGTTCTTTGCGCGTCGGCAAACATGTCCGACTTGGTCACCGAGCTGCGGAGCGACAGTTCCTCTGCAGAGCGGCCGAGACACAAACACAGTATAATTTATAAAGTTATATATATTATAAAGTATGATTCATATTATTTAAAAATGAAAGGCAGAAGGTTTGTATATTGGTTTTCATTATTCGTATTGCTATTCAATACAAAGCTCTGTTCTTTGTTCTTTAAATAGGGAAATCAAGCTCATTGTTTTTATTTATTTCAGTGTTTGCTAATGATCACTTATTGCTTCATTATTTGTACTCGGTTTGATCTAAACTTTTACAAGCAATACTGTGTGGCCTTAATGTCTCACAGCTTGTTGAGGTGACTGGTCTAAGCCCCCCCTGCTGGCAGCAGGGAAACAATGTTTTTTGGTGGTTTTAGTGGTTTCTGCAATTGAAGGTCGTTGGATGAATATATATTTTTTAATTGCTGCAACGCCAAGTCTGTGGGAATTTGTTTGAAATTCCTGCTTTGTAGTTATAAAAAGCCAAAAACCACATCGATGAACGTGTCCATAACTTGATAAGTGTGCCTTTTGAAGAAGACTCGACTACACAGATCCTAGTATCCCACCTGCTGCAAGATGTTTGTAATAAACCAGATCTCCAGTCACAAGTAGCCGTGCCCTACGTCAGCCTTTTAAAGAATACCAGCCTCCACTTGATTCTCAGAGGAAGGTTGCTGCTCAAGAAGAGCCTCTCGCGATTAACAGAGTCTTTGGAAAGGATTCTTGAAGATAAATGCAGCAGAATAACATGGACCAGTTTGACAGAGCTGAAATATATAATGATGCCCAAACTCATCATATCACACAAATGCAGGTTGTCTTGTTTTATTTCAAAATAAATTTCAACATGCAGTGAGTTTCATTCAGACGGGATGGTGCTTTGTAGCAGAGTGTGACTGGACCCAGTTCAGTAGGACGCCATGGTGCTCTGCAGCCAGTCGGTGAAAATGCATGTCTGAGGCAATAGAGAGGGAAAAGGCTTTGAGGATCTTTCCAGGTAATGAAACACAAATAAATGATTGCCGTGGGAAGCTTTTCTTTACCTTGGCGTAGACACCCGGGTGGTTCTTCTCTGCACACCCGAAGCCCCAGGAGACAACACCCTGCAGCTCCCCGTCGCACACAACGGGGCCGCCGGAGTCGCCCTGGTGGTGCAGCGGCAAAGCGGTTTAGTGTTGAGTCCCATAATGCACTTGTTTAATAGCAGAGACGCATACCTGGCAGGAGTCCTTGCCTCCCTCCAGGAATCCGGCACAGAACATGGCCTCGGTGATCATGCCGGGGTAGGAGCTGTCACAGTCCTCCTCAGACAGGACGGGGATTTCCAGGCACTGCAGTTTGTTACTGTCGGCCGCTGTGGAGCCGCAGAACCAGAGATCCAATGACCGACGCTTGAGCCACAAGCAGAAGTGTTGAATAGTCAACGACAGCGGCCCCGTGTGGAGTAAGTGTCCGATACCTACAGGAGCTCATGGTCACACCCCATCCAGAGACCGTGCACGTGGTCCCGGCGTGAGCGCACCTCGTGGGCAGAGCCACGGGCCTCACGTGCTGGTTGATGGTCGCGGGTCGGCTCAACTTGATCAGCATGATGTCGTTGTTAACCAGCCAGGACTCGTAGTTTGGATGAGGGATGACGCGGGCAGCAGGAATAATCTGTTCGTTGCCGTCCATGAACCAACGGTTGTGATCGCCGAGCACGATGTCCATTTTGCTGAAAGAGAGAAGAACCGAAGAGAGGACTTGGGACAAACGGATGCTTTTTTGGTGTTTTGTCTGGTTGGAGATGATGTTCCATTCGACCTACGACTTGTAGCAGTGGGCGGCAGACACCACCCAATCCTCGTGGACCAGTGAGCCCCCACAGAAGTGATAGCCGGAGTTCAGAGACACCTGGTGGGGCTGAGAATTCGGCGCGCACTCGCGCCCTCCAACAATCTTGTCATCCTCAGTGGCAACTGAAAACAACGTTATGGACATATCTTCAAACATGGATGGAATAGTCTCTCTGTTTACTGGTCAGGCCCGATACTGTTGCATGTTTGCTGTTTTTCTGAATCATAGCTTTTACTTTTTCAAACACCTAATCCACAATCTGAAAGCTCCACTATTTCCCCGTCTAAATGAATCCCGCTTGTTTCTAAGTTGGGTCCATACTTACACACAGCTCCAAGGAGCAGAGCGAAGACCAGAGACCTCATCATTGCTCCACATGGACAGATGACAGGTTTTTTATTCAGCTCCCTGACCTGTTTTGACTTTTTGAGAAACACCCCTGATGCCGTTGACCAATAAAAAAACTAGAGCTGATGGGAGAACTTTGCTGTCCTTCTCTAGGGGGGGGTGCATCGTTTTAATGTGGCTTTGGTTTGAGATTCGATTATATGCTGACGACATGACGCTGTGTTTTTCTTGAAGTTGGACCTGTTGTTGCGCTGAACTGGTTTGAGTAAAGTCTGTTTTGAACGGGTTGTAATCAGCTCGCTGACCTTGATTCCGGCCGGAGCTTTTCTCACGGACACAAACGGAACAACTTCAAAAATAGTTTATCAATTGGAATGAAATGATAATGTGTCACATCAAAGGGAGGTTAATACCTATTCATGTATTATATTAACTATATTATTAATAATATATTAGCAATAGAAACGATACAGTATACACCTCAAATTTATCTAACAGAAGGGGAATTTTAGATGGAAAAGATTTAACCTCTTGTTTTATATAATATATATATATATATATATATATAATATATATATATATATATATATATATATATATATATATATATATATATAAGAATATGTTATAAACACAATCGATCTAAGTACAGCAGAGTGTAAAGTAAGAAAATCTTTTACTTTGACCTCTTTTATTAAAAATAATAAAATATTGTGCAGCTAAGTATACTCACACATCTAATGTACAAAGCTGTAATATGATTACATTCGTCACATTTTAAGTGAAAAAAAACTAATTCTCAGCCTGTATATTTCATTAGCTTCATCTCAGATGAATATTATCTTCGATATTTTTCAGTATTTGACCTCATATTCTCTCACAGTTAAACATACTGCAACTACTAAAACATTACTAGACTACTGTCCTTTTTTCTTTATCCGTTGGGTCTAATTCCTCTGCATGGTTTTCTTTGCTTAATGGCTTAAATAAATTAAAGTGACATGACGCACAATAATGGGCTGTTTTCATAACTGATTATACATATCAGATATATTCTTCATTATTATAGTGGAAAAAGTTCAGCGCTTATGGAAGTGGCGCTTTCATTTAGCCACAATTACAGTTTGCGTGTAACAGAGGATCGTTTCAAAGGCTATAAGTGTTAGAACTAATTGGGACAGAGTACTGTTAAAAATAAATGTACAACCATTCTAACACTAAATCAAGCATCATAGTGCTTTTAAAGGATTTGATCTGTTTATTTGTGTAAAACGACTGAACTGGACAAATGTTTCTTTGTCTTCATTTTTCATTCATTCAGTTCTACTAATACAAACAATTACAAACCCGGTAATTGATGCAGGCCTGAAGAGCAGTAATCAGAAAATGAAGTATTGTTTCAGTTATGATAAAAATGTGATAATGTTGGACATTGAGGGCAAAAATTGAGAGAAAACTCCTTTAAAAGTCGAGATTTTCAGACTTTATTGACTCAGATGGACAAAGAATGCACATTGTTCAAAACTCAACCACAATAAAGGAGTTAGAATTATAGAAGAAAGGCACCAGAGTCGGATGCAGACGGCAGCATGAGACTTAGTTGCTGGCCATGGTGCTCTCCAGCCAACTGGTGAAGAGGCAGACCTGTGGATGGAGACAGGGGGAGGTTTGTTAGCACAGGCAGCAGGTGGACAATGTGTCTGGATTGAACCACGAGACACTTGGATCTGAGCGTGATGTTGCAGGGTTACCCTGGCGTAGACCCCGGGGTGGTCTCTCTCAGCACATCCGTAGCCCCAGGACACGACGCCCTGCAGCTCCCCGTTGCACACGACGGGTCCACCGGAGTCACCCTGAGAAGCAGAGAGCGTACGTGGAGAAAACCCAGAGTATTCTAGATGGGCAGCTGAGAAGCACTGGTCCTCTAGGACGAGGACCAATCACAGAGTCCCCTTGGTACCCACCTGGCAGGAGTCCTTGCCTCCCTCCAGGTATCCAGCGCAGAACATGGCGTCAGTGATCATGCCGGGGTAGGAGTTATTACAGTCCTTGGTAGACAGGATGGGGATGTTCAGGCACTGCAGCTTGTTGCTATCGGCCGCTGTGCAGATACAGAACCAGAGATCCGATGATAAACGAGGTTGAGAACAACACAAGGGAGAAGCTTCTCTAACTTCTAGCTGGTCACTGTGCGGATGTTACCCACAGGAGCTCATGGTGTTGCCCCAGCCAGTGACCTTGCACATTGTGCCAGCGGGGGCGCAGGAGGTGGGGAGGGCCACGGGCACCACGCGCTGGTTGAGGACGGCGGGCTCGCTCAGCTTGATCAGCATGATGTCGTTGTCGATGTTGTAGGAGCTGTATTGGGGATGGCGGATGACGCGAGAGGAGCTGATATACTGCTCGCTTCCCTCGTTGACCCTGAGGTTGTGCTCTCCAAGACGCACCTCAATGCGGCTGCAGGGGGCGAGGGGGGGTAAGCAGGGGTTTAGTGGCAGCTGCGGTTCACAAAAGCAAACTTAATACGTATCTCCACCGCGTTCCACTCACGACTTGTAGCAGTGAGCAGCGGACACAACCCAGTTCTCGTTGACCAGGGAGCCACCGCAGAAGTGGTATCCGGAGTTCAGGGACACCTGGTGGGCCTGGCTGTGGGGGGTGCACTCATACCCTCCGACAATCTTGTCGTCCTCCGTGGCAACTGGAAACACAAGACGGCAAACAGTCAACAACCAAGTGCCGCTTTCTTCGTATTGAGTGAATGAAGACGGGCCGAGGGAAATGCTTACAGGCAGCTCCGATGAGCAGAACGAAGACCAGAGACCTCATGGTGGATGTGTGATGTCGGCGATGAGAGACTTCACCTGAAGCCCCGGTTTATATCCATGGACACCAGAGACGTCCCCCTCTCCGAGCGTCCCCATTGGTCAGCGAAGGGCCAATCTAAGTCGCAGGATGTTGGACTTCGGTGACTAATTTACAAGAATTCCAGGGTGGCTTTCTTCTCAGTAGATTTGCAAAAGCATTGGGGAGCGCATGGAAATAGATCGTAACGTACACTACGATAGAATTAAATATTAATCGATCTCTAATATGTAGTGAATGTGTTAGTTTGAACCATGTTTGAAGCTATATTGTTATGTCGAGATGATGAAAAAGAACATTTGTTTTAAACAAAACCAAACTATATAATTACAATACATTTTTAAATGGCCGCACATAACAGCCAAATAGATTATCATGGAGATGAGCATGATGAGAGTGATGGTTTCCATTTAGTTCCCTCATGTGTTGCATCCACTGCGCTCAATACAGTGATCGTCTTTATACCTTTCTAGGTTTCATACTTTATATTACAGAAGCTGCATGTCAGGGAACAAGGGTTTTATTCCTCTCCATTATCAGGTGGAACATTTATTCACAGTAAATCGTCCTTTTTTAGGAAATCTTCAATATCGCTGCATTTATTTAGCTAATCCTTTAGAGCCACCAGCTGGGAGGTGTCCCTTTTTCCTCCGGTCAGATTGTACAGGTAAACACGTGGACTTTATATTTGGATGTGTGAACACGGTATCTCACAGCGGTGTGTTTCCCACCACCTGTTATCTAATAACTACATTCAGAAATGAGAGGTGAGGCTGCCTTGAAAAGCAAATGCTAATCGTTGTAAAATCTTTTTTTAGGGAGTTTTCAATAAATAGGCAGAGAAGAGTGGTGGAGGAAGAAATAAGATCCTTTACGCAAAAGTAACAATATCACAATGAAAAGAGTAAGAGTCAAGTCAAGTCATTTTATTTTGTATAGCCCATAATCGCAAATTACAAATTTGCCTCAGAGGGCTTTACAGTCTGTACACATACAACATCCTCTGCCCCGAAACCCTCCATCGGCACAGGAACAACTCCCCAAAAAATGAAAAAACCCTTACAAGAGGGAAAAAAGGGAAGAAACCTTAGGGAGAACGTCAGAGGAGGGATCCCACTCCCGGGATGGACAGACTACAATTGATGCCATGTGTACAGAATGAACAATGTATAATACATGCAATCATATGACAGAAATGATTCAAGTAATTGTGAGTAGTAAGCCAGGCGCACAGCAGGACCACTGCAGAGGCAACCACCATCAGATAGAACCACCATCAGATAGAACCACCATCAGATAGAACCACCATCCACAGAAGCCTGTGGGAGGGAGAGCACAGAGACTTAAGGAGAGGGTAATGTTGGTTTACGAGTACAGTAATATGATTAATATCTAAAATAATGATGATGATGATGATGATGATGATGATGGCAGCAGCAGGCGTCAGCAGGGCCCCGGCAGGTGTCAGGACCAGGGTCCAGAAGGAACCACGATCTACAGAGACCTGATAGGGGAGAAAGCACAAAAAAAAACTCCCGGAAAGAAGCTGAATTAGTCATGTGCATTAATAAAACGTGAATTATGGTAGAACGAGAGCGTGAGAGAGGAGCTCGGTGTGTCCTAAGAATTCCCCCGGCATTCTAAGCCTATAGCAGCTTAACTAAGGGCTGGTCCGGACTAACCTGAGCCAGCCCTAAGTATAGGCAGAATCAAAGAGGAACGTTTTAAGTTTTACTTTAAAAGAGCTGACCAAATCTGCCCCCCGGACTGAAAGTGGAACCTGGTTCCACAAAAGAGGAGCTTGATAACTGAAGGCTCTGGCCCCCAGCCTACTTTTTAAAACCATAGGAACAACAAGTAACCCAGCATCTATGGAGCGCAGTTGCCTTGTAGGGCAATACGGTGTTACAAGCTCTTGAAGATACAACGGTGCCTCACCAGCAAGTGCCTTGTAGGTGAGGAGAAGTACCTTAAAATCTATTCTTGATTTAACAGGGAGCCAGTGCAGAGAAGTTAATACAGGAGTGATATGATCCCTTTTCTTAGTTCTTGTTAATACACGTGCTGCAGCATTCTGAATCAACTGGAGAGGCTTATGAGATTTACAAGAGCAGCCTGATAACAAAGAATTACAGTAGTCCAGTCTGGAAGTGACAAACGCATGAACTAATTTTTCTGCATCACTTTGAGACAGGAAGTTCCTGATTTTTGATATGTTACGTAGATGAAAATAGGCCGTCCTTGAAGTCTTCTTTATATGCGAGTTGAAGGCCCATTCTGCATTTACTATGACACTTTTTAAATGGTTTGTGAACAAGATGAGTTACGTTGTGCGTCTGCTTCGTACTCTGTGACCTCATGTGAATCCCAGCATTACTTAACACAACTTCGCCCTGAATGCGTCTAATATTCCCCAGGGATGAAAAATACACATATCAGATTTGTTCTATAATAATGTATCATAAGTATAAAATCATTTTTTGTGTTTAGTAAAAATACATGTTAACTTAACGTGTCAAAGGTTTGCTTCTGAAGTAGAAGTATATGAGTAAATATACTATAATAAATAAATATAATAAAATACCCAAATCAAGCTCATGTACATCAACAATGTACTAAGGTTACAATACTTGTGTGTTATACCTTCATTTTATTCATTTGTTATTTATCTAATTTCCCGTTCAGTTAAGATAGTTCTTATCTCTGCTGGAAAACCGTTTAAATTTTCTATTAAAGTTGTATTCATTATTTTAAAAATACATTTTCAACAGAAAGGAAATAATACTTGAACAGAAGAGCAAACACTTCATTTCAACTCTTTATTTGTATAATATGGACTGCAGTGAAAGCGGCGCCGGCGTCCGTTATCGTGACGAGGAGGTCTGACGGTTAAGAGCCGCTCATCGTCTCCTTCAGCCACTCAATCTGCACACACACCTGCACATGGAGAGATGCCGGGTTGCTTGTTGTGTAGCATGAAACACATTAAGGAGGCCGATAGTTGTGCATTGACATTTTACCTTGGAGTAGACACCCGGATGGTTTTCCTCAGCACACCCGTAGCCCCAGGACACAACACCCTGCAGCTCCCCGTTACACACCACGGGACCACCAGAGTCCCCCTGAGGGATGCGCCACACCAACCAATGATGTCAATAAAGCCAATTTAAACGTGAGAGGAGAAGAATGTACTTTTACAGTTAGAAAATACGGTGATGGAAAATCCCAAATGCACACCTGGCACGAGTCCTTGCCTCCTTCCAGGTAGCCAGCACAGAACATGGTGTGGTCCACCATGCCGGGGTAGCAGCCGTCACAGTCCTCGTGGGACAGGACGGGCACGTCCACACACTGCAGCCGGTGGCTGTCAGCAGCTGGGGGGGGGGGGCAGAAAGGGGGGGTGTGTGAGAGTTTAGGGCAGCTTGTTTTTTTATTAATTTCCGGTCCTCTACTCACTGGAGCTCATGGTGTTGCCCCACCCCGAGACCGTGCACATGGTGCCGGCGGGGGCGCAGCCGGTGGGGAGGGCCACGGGGGCCACGTGCTCGCTGAGGACGGCGGGCTCGCTCAGCTTCACCAGCATGATGTCATTCTCCAGGGTGAACCGGTCGTAGGAGGGATGCTCGATCACGCGGGAAGCAGCGATGAACTGCTCGTTGCCCTCGGTGACCCCGATGTGATGCTCCCCCAAGCGCACCTCCATACGCCTGACGGGACACGAGCGGCGGCAGAAGGTGGGTGCGGGTGGATGCTCGTTTTTTAACGCCACGCCTACCAGTGTGCGAGGCCGCTTACGGCTTGGAGCAGTGGGCGGCCGACACGACCCAGCTGTCGCTGAGCAGGGAGCCCCCGCAGAAGTGGTAGCCGGCGTTCAGGGACACCTGGTGCGGTTGGGAGTGCGGCCGGCACTCGTAGCCACCGACGATCTTGTGGTCGTCCGCGGCAACTGCAAGCACACAGGAGGCCAAACAGCCAGCAGCCATTTCAACTGAGTAACTAGACACAAGCAGAAAGGTCATCCTGAAGAAAGGCCTTTAATTCTATAATAGTATGGTAAATACACAAAGTTGCACAGTACACAAAAGTACTTTGTTACACTCACGAGCGGCACCAATGAGCAGAGCAAAGAGCAGGGGCCCCATGGCTGCAGAGTGATCCCGTCAGTGTTAAACCCTCGTTTTTTATACACTCTGAGCGGCCTGATTGGTCCATTAACGCTCAAAGTAAAAGCTTGAGAGTGGGGTACAGACCACGAGACGAATGGGTTTCAATTCAGGTGGCTGAGAGTGATCTAATAACCGTCGAACAGCTGGATTATTCACAGAAGGCCTTCACTCAAGGCCGAGGTCAGTTTCAGCAGACATAATCAGTTATCACAAGAAACCCAACGAACCCTACGTGGTAACTGGCACATAGAGGAGCATATTTCATAATGACTTTTACCAATTCACAGACCATTTTCAGCCAACGTTGATGTCTGATGTTCAATTAAAATCAAGTGGAAAAGTGTAATTTAAGCACATCAAGTGTGGGACAAACGCGTCAATACGTCAGTGAAATGCACCTTTTCCGGTTAATCTTCCACATACTCATATATTTATCAGCACTGAATTGTAACAAATTGAGTTTTCTAACATTACGTTACGCTACATAGTCAGTTATTCTCTTTATTGATCTTTAGTCTTGAGTAACCATTTTCACTACAACAATGATAATAAAAACATTGGATTACTAAAGGCACTGAAACATAAAAATGGAATCCAGTTTAAATGAATTCACTGTGAAGTCAGTAATTGTGCGCTTCAGGCTGTTTTCATTCCCACGAATGAAGAGCCAAATTCAACCACTGTGGTTGTGAACCAGGCCATCTGCACATCTGCAACCACAAATCCATCCATGTGCAGGTTAAACATTACAAAATACACCCGGATCTGAACACAGATGCACGTAGGGATGTTTAGAATACGTGATACGCATCATGGGTAATGCTTTTTCATACGTTTTACCTTATTTTAAAATGCATTTGTATGCTTGTTTCTGTAAAGAACTCATTTTAAAATGCTTCTTAAAACATTTCACCTCTATACAACTTTCAGCCATGCAGTGGGCAAATACAGAGAATCCCACAGCAAACCAAACACGTGGATTTCTAGCACCTGTTGGCAGTTTTCCACGTTCCGGCCTGATCGGCCAAAAATAACGCTGGAGGTGTGTTCAACAACAGGAAAGCAGTCGAGCTCTATAAAGCAGGACCGCAGGTGAAGTCTCTCATCGTCTCATCGCCGACATCACACATCCACCATGAGGTCTCTGGTCTTCGTTCTGCTCATCGGAGCTGCCTGTAAGCATTTCCCTCGGCCCGTCTTCATTTACTCAATACAAAGAAAGCGGCACTTGGTTGTTGACTGTTTGCTGTCTTGTGTTTCCAGTTGCCACGGAGGACGACAAGATTGTCGGAGGGTATGAGTGCACCCCCCACAGCCAGGCCCACCAGGTGTCCCTGAACTCCGGATACCACTTCTGCGGTGGCTCCCTGGTCAACGAGAACTGGGTTGTGTCCGCTGCTCACTGCTACAAGTCGTGAGTGGAGCGTGGTGGAGATACGTATTAAGTTTGCTTTTGTGAACCGCAACTGCCACTAAACCCCTGCTTACCCCCCCTCGCCCCCTCCAGCCGCATTGAGGTGCGTCTTGGAGAGCACAACCTCAGGGTCAACGAGGGAAGCGAGCAGTATATCAGCTCCTCTCGCGTCATCCGCCATCCCCAATACAGCTCCTACAACATCGACAACGACATCATGCTGATCAAGCTGAGCGAGCCCGCCGTCCTCAACCAGAACGTGGTGCCCGTGGCCCTCCCCACCTCCTGCGCCCCCGCTGGCACAATGTGCAAGGTCACTGGCTGGGGCAACACCATGAGCTCCTGTGAGTAACATCCGCACAGTGACCAGCTAGAAGTTAGAGAAGCTTCTCCCTTGTTCTCAACCTCGTTTATCATCGGATCTCTGGTTCTGTATCTGCACAGCGGCCGATAGCAACAAGCTGCAGTGCCTGAACATCCCCATCCTGTCTACCAAGGACTGTAATAACTCCTACCCCGGCATGATCACTGACGCCATGTTCTGCGCTGGATACCTGGAGGGAGGCAAGGACTCCTGCCAGGTGGGTACCAAGGGGACTCTGTGATTGGTCCTCGTCCTAGAGGACCAGTGCTTCTCAGCTGCCCATCTAGAATACTCTGGGTTTTCTCCACGTACGCTCTCTGCTTCTCAGGGTGACTCCGGTGGACCCGTCGTGTGCAACGGGGAGCTGCAGGGCGTCGTGTCCTGGGGCTACGGATGTGCTGAGAGAGACCACCCCGGGGTCTACGCCAGGGTAACCCTGCAACATCACGCTCAGATCCAAGTGTCTCGTGGTTCAATCCAGACACATTGTCCACCTGCTGCCTGTGCTAACAAACCTCCTCCTGTCTCCATCCACAGGTCTGCCTCTTCACCAGTTGGCTGGAGAGCACCATGGCCAGCAACTAAGTCTCATGCTGCCGTCTGCATCCGACTCTGGTGCCTTTCTTCTATAATTCTAACTCCATTATTGTGGTTGAGTTTTATTAACAATGTGCATTCTTTGTCCATCTGAGTCAATAAAGTCTGAAAGTCTCCACTTTAAAAGGAGGTTTCTCTCAATTTTTGCCCTCGATGTCCAACATCATGACATTTTCATAATTATTTTATTGTCAAATTGAATAAAAAGGATGACTAAAGACTCCTACTAGTATCAGCGATAGTTATGAAAGTTCATGGCTTTATATGAATTTGTTTGTTGTCTTTCATTGATTTTATCAGTTTACCTTTAACAAAATAAAAATGTATTCAACAAGTAATGTCACAAGATAATAACAGGTAAGAAAATGAAGATAAATGGATATCACATCCATTGTTTCACTGTGGGGATGATGATGAGGGATAATCCACACTGCTGTCTGTGAAGAGCAAATGGGAGATACTTCTTTGCAACTTTCACAGATCTCTTGCTTCCACTTTCAATGTGAGTTATGACCTCAACTAACCTTTCGTGAACAAGACAACAATGGTTATTTGTTGCTTTTAATAGGAGATGATTAATCAAAAGTGTGATGCTTGTGCTGCACCACGTCACAAAAAACGTTATCAGCTCCTCTTCTATTCTGAGAAACAGCCGCAGAGGAGCACATTTTTACATGAGGACTCCCCCAGCATCATCATTTAAACTAAAGGAAGAGAGTACGAGTCCCCTTCAACCACAATACATGTAAGGACCTGCTCAGAAAACACTGTCCGTTTCATTTGATCCATTACTTTGATAAATAAGAAACCCCGGAAATCCCAAGTTTTTGGTAGTAATTGGGACTCATCATTCAATAGAAATACAACTACTTTTCCAATTATTGTGGGATTCTGGGATTGATTAATGGGTTTTGTAACATCTGAGGATTCTCAGGACGTAGACAATCAAATGAGAACAGAAGAAATGGATTGATTCACACACACAAGGTTGGATTTGCTCATGAACTCATGCGTTGTTGTGACCTGTTGGTTTTGGTGGACATGGTACCACTGACTTAGTATTTGGTCTATTGCTGCATTGGGAACAGATAGTACAGTGCTGTCAAAAATAATGTACACACTGATGCATCACAACAATCTAGGTTTTATTGATTGTGCCCTGAACCCTACTTCCGCTCTCTCCCACCCTGCTTCCACTCATACAGCTGTCAGCTGCCTCGTGTTTCCGTTCCAATCTCCGTCCTGTTTCCCCTCGCTCGCGTAGCTCTGGATAGTAGATCCCAGAGCTACGCGTATGTGGAGAGAATATCGTTGATCCAGGGCGTCAGAGAGCAGACCTTGGTGTAAACGCCGGGGTAGTTGGGTTGAGCACAGCCCTGGCCCCAGGAGACGACACCGTGCAGCTCCCCGTTGCACACCAAAGGACCACCAGAGTCACCCTGGACATGGAAGAGGTGGATAGTTGATTCCTTCTATCATTCCATCCCCGTAAACATGTTTTCTCCTGTGGAACCGTGTGGAAATACCTGACAGGAATCCTTCCCCCCCTCCAGGTACCCGGCACACACCATGCGGTCAGTGATCCTGCCGGGGTAGGAACCCTCGCAGTCCTTGTTAGACAGAATGGGGACTTCCAAACACTGAAGGTAAAACGGGTTGAACACTGCAGATATCAGCCAGAAAGAAAGAAAGAAAGGGGGAAGATGGAGGGTTGTTATTTGTCATGTTTACCATAATTACGTAGAATTGCCATATACCATCAAACCACTATGGCAACTTTAATCGAGTAAGAGAGAGCAGCTCTTTGAGTAATAAATGATCCACCACCCTTGATCCCTTGAGTCAAATTGTGTTGGAAGGTTTGAAAGGGTTCCGGATATCTGGAATGAGGAGATTTATTCACAGCAATTTCCCCTGAGGTATCTATAGAAGGCCAGAGCGTAGACTAACCACTTGTCAGGTTAAGGTGAAATCATTGCAGCTGAATAAATGTTCAGTTTTTTCATCCTTCTACCGGTTTGGTGCCTCCCCACCTTGATCGGTGTAGATGTTGCCCCATCCGGACACTGTGCACATGTCCCCGGGCGCGGGGCAGGCTTCGGGCAGCGCGACGGGCTGGACGTGCTGGTTCACGGTGACGGGGTGCGCCAGCTTCATCAGCATGATGTCGTAGTCCAGCGTCTGGTAGTCGTAGCGCTCGTGCCAGTAGATGGCGTCCACCGACATGTACTGCTCCGGGCCCTCCTGCATCCAGATGTGGTGGTCACCCAAGATGGCGATCTGTGAAAAAGGGCTAAAGTGGAGACAAAAGACAACATTTTCAAAGTCCTCTTTATCAAATATACTACTCGTACAAAAACACTGAAGGGCACACGCACTTTTGCCAGCAGTGGGCTGCAGAGACGATCCACCGGTCGTTGATGAGGGAGCCGCCGCAGAAGTGGTAGCCGACATTGAGGGACACCTGCCAGGGTTGAGAGTGGGCTTCACACTGGTAGCCACCCACGATCCTGTCATCCGCAGGTGCTGCAGCTGTGTGCGGTAAAAGGACACGTGTCATATTTATGGGTGAGGTTCTTCTTTATGGGTGAAGTTCTTCTTTATGCCCAACGTCGTTGCGCATGCTGCGGGTACCTGCGGCGCCCAGGAGCGAGACGACGATCAGGCCGAGCATCTTGTAGCCGACTCAAGCCGTCTTCCGCTCATCCGCTGCATTTATACCTCAACTCGCTGTGCTCCACCTCCACCTCCATGCCTCCACCCAATACCCACCCGCTCTCAATGCCCTGATCCCGGCCCTGAAAAATAACCTTATCTTCTCCACGTTCAGCCTCTCAGTTAATAAGTGAGCCACAGCTTGTATGTTTTGGGTGTACTCAAGTTTTATGTACTCGTGTTTTGACTGATAATCTGCCGCACATAAATAAATGTGCTTGTTCTTTTGATGGGGGACACATTTCTCCCTTTCCCAGACACACAATGATCAGTTGTATCAGCCAAACAACATAACACTTGTTATGCACTCAAGAGCTCAAAGGCTGTTTGTTTCTGGATGATACTGAAGCAGAAGAAAACAAATTGTTTTGGGACGTATGACCATTTTTTCTCTTGGCTTAAATTTAAGTGCAACCCAAAGTAAATCAGCCAGAAGACGACATTTACATTCTTTGAATAAACTATTATTCATAAAAAGTTTGGCACAGAGTCTCTTCGTAAAAAACAGCAGTTATTTCTATACTTTTCTCCTTTCTTTTCTTGAACTGGCCCAAATCTAAAGGTTACATAACTGTTTTTAGTGTTGGATGTCTCAGCTTGCCAACAATAAGTGACCAATGAGAGAACCGTAGACAGGTGTTAAACACGTCGAGACCTTGGTCCATGTTTGTAAAATAGGTGCACAGATGACATAACCGCAGGGGGTATGCTGCGATGGGGTCACCAGGGAGAGGGAGGGCATGAGAACGGAGCCGGATATAAATACTAGCCCGGATTGACCGAGGTGCCTTCTGATCGTTCATCCGACACCATGACACTGCTGGCTCTGCTGCTGATGATCGGAGCTGCTGGTAAAGACACACACACACGCATACGGAGCCGTGCATGTGCACTGTTATTTCAGAAAAAGACGCTGTTGTTGAAGATACCTTTAACCCAGATGTGTGTCCCAGCGGCGGTTCCCCGTGGAGACGGGAGAATCATCGGCGGCCAGGAGTGCGAGCCTCACTCTCGTCCATTCATGGCCTCGCTCAACTACGGTTACCACTTCTGTGGGGGGGTGCTCGTCAACAAACAGTGGGTGCTGTCCGTCGCGCACTGTTGGTACAAGTGAGTACGCTTCAGCGGAGGAGGCATTGTGCCGTGTCTCCTCGGTGCCGGGCTGCTGTGACATCTTCTGTGACAACAAAATAGTGAATTTCTTTTTGTAACATTCCACCTCCTCTCTCAGCCCCTATGCCATGCAGATCATGCTGGGGGAACATAACGTGCGAGTGTTTGAGGGCACAGAGCAGCTCATGAAGACCGAAAACATCATCTGGCACCCGAGGTGAGTACAAATTGAAAAAAATCTCATTTCATGGTTTCCTTCTTGTCTGGTTCATTTGTTCCGTGCAGAGAAACAATCTTCATCCTTCTCTGCATGCAGTTATGACTACCAGACTCTGGACTTTGACATCATGTTGATCAAGCTCTTCCACCCAGTGGAGGTGACCTCAGCGGTCGCACCGATCCCGTTGCCCACAAGGTGCCCGACGGGGGGGCTCCCCTGCTCTGTGTCTGGCTGGGGCTACACGGCCATCGATGGCGCAGGTGGGTCGATGTTTTCATCAACATGCTTAATGCCGTTATGTGTAGAATTTGTGTAGAATCAGACTTGTGTGTGTAGGGTATGTTGTTTCAAACCTTCAGTTTCTGGTGTACCAGTCGTTGTAGTATCCAGGCTTCAAGTACTTCCTGTGTAGCCACATTCCGATAAAGCTTTAATTTGCGCTTCATAGATCACAATTGTTGTTCGTCAACTTAATTCAAAGAACAGCGAGGTTTAACATGTAGCTCACCTCACTCACTGACGCACTATGTGGTTATTAATGAGCTGAGAATCCCAGACGTGCTGCTAAAGCGGTTCTTTCACTCCGCTCCGGCTGCTACAGCGAACGCGCCCACGCGCCTGCAGTGTTTGGATGTGCCGATAGTGGACGAGCAGGACTGTGAGGACGCCTATCCCGGCATGATCTCCCGCAGGATGGTCTGTGCCGGATACATGGATGGAGGCAGAGATGCATGCAATGTGAGTTTTGCAGTAAAGGTCGCAGACACCGATTGGATTCACAGGCCTGTGTGTGTGTGTGTGGAGGCATTTATCACATGCTCACTCTGCAGGGGGACTCCGGCAGCCCTCTGGTGTGTGCCGGAGAGGTCCAGGGCCTGGTGTCATGGGGTCAGGGATGTGCTCAGCCCAACTACCCTGGAGTGTACGTCAAAGTGTGTGAGTTCCTCCCCTGGATTCAAGACACCCTGGAGGCCAACCCCTGAAGAAATGACCCGTTTTAGCTTTACTTTTCTTTTTACAATCGATCCCCACAGCCCTGACTCTGCTTTTCTTTCTCTCTCCGATGCCTTGTCCCTTCTCGAGAGATGTCGCTCATATATCCAAAATTTACCCACATGTGCCGGAACGTAAAACACAAAATAAAAATATATCCAATTTTCATTTGTCGGTTTACATCGATAGTGGGAGAAAAAACTCAAGTAGTGGAAGTATGTCAGTTACAGTTTTAATACAATATAAGACAGTTTGATGTAGTTACAAAGAGGCCTTTCTCTGCTCACTCCCTCATTCATAGGAACACACTTGGGTTAAATGATGAGGTAGTGTATTTCTATTCTTTCAAATTTTCACTCTGCGGTTTCCCCCTTTTGTTTGTTCATATTATACAACATTTCATTCATTTCTATTATCTCATTGAGGGTGAAAAAACATTTCAGTTATATCAGTTCTGCACCTTTTAAAAGACCCCTTTTAAGACGATAATTGCAGTGTAAATGTTGAACAGCAGGAGGCCTCTGTTAGCAAATGTCCTCTCATTCATCACGACTTGAGCCGTGGGATGAATATAAGGTCATTTAAGGTTAAACGTGAAAGCAAACATTCAACATTGAACAACATTCAACATTCAACAACATTCAATGGGGTCCGTTTCTGGATTTGAGATATGTTAGTCACCAAGTATTCTTTATTTAGTCAAGGATGCTTTTCTATGAGGAGGACATTCGTCTCGTCATCTCTGCCGGGTCACATCCGTCGTCTCTGAGCGCCTCTTTCCATTCCTCCCTCTCTCCACGTTGTTGTCCCTGTTTGACTGGACTGGAGGGTCTGAGCCACGCTGCCCCTCCTGGACACCAACACGACAAGAGATCATACCATGCTGTGAAATAGTATGTATGTGTATGATGTGTTACCAAAGAGGATGTGAGAAGTGACCTTTTACAGAGGTTGAGGATGCTTGAGACTGAATGCGTACTCAAGCGACCATTGCATCTCCTCAAAGAAGGATTTAGAGAGAAGGAACCGAATGACAAACGTAAATAAAAAGAAATATGCAATTCATAATCTAAGTAATATTATTTCATAAAAAATGTGGGCTTCTTTTCTCAAGTTGTGGATTCTGGGGAGAATTTTAATTGAACAGAAACATTAAATTAAACGTGGGAACCAACAGATTTGAATCTTTTTACATTTTTAGAATAACATCATCTGCATAGTGTAGAATAATCACAGTTACAAGGTTATACAATGAAATCACTTACCCTCAACACTGTTCCGAGGAGGAGACAAAAACGTTGCTGGTGGGATTAATTCAGTGCTGCTTAAAACAGGAAAACATAAAATGGCAAAGTAGGTAATAACTTCAACAATAACATCAACTGCAATATCAGACCAGTGTTTGGCACGATATTCGTAAGATTAGCAACACAGAAAACATTACAATAACTGTCCCCTTTGGGTCAGAATCTTTAGTAACAACCCACAGATAAATATGTCACTTTTATTACTGCATAAAGTTTATTGTATAGATAAAAAAATAATGGGAGAAATATGCAGAAAGGAAACGAGCAATTCAAGGTGAAACGTAAAAGAGCCACAAAGCAAACTGCACGTCTTCTAAAGTCCTATAGTGTGTTCCCAACCTTGTAATAAAATTGTTAGCTGTTAAATACAATTATTCAAAATGTCTTGATGATCATGATCGTTTGAAATAACTTGTGATTGTGAATAAAACATTTCGTGGTCCTTATCGCAGTAAAACAAAAAGTCACTCTAAGTCTCTCCAAGGTTTCTAATGCATATCTGGACTTCTTTACTAATCTGCTTTAAACAGTCTTACCTTTTCATATTTGTCTGTTTTTTCTCTCTTCTACGTCCTTCATTGCCACTTTGATCCTGCCGACGAGAGCAAACATGTGAGGACGTCAGCCACTAGGATGGATGAAGGTAAACACGAGACTGACGTACTAAACAATCGTCACAATCGACTTAATGTGTAATTAGCTTATTTCATTCTCTGGCTACTACACACACTCACTCTGCTAATGGTGTGCATTCTGAACATTATCAATCCTCCTAGTTTGGCTCTGAGGAATGAAAACAAGTGTCTGTTGGAACCTACTGGGCGGGCGCGGGACTGTTGGTCCAGAGTCCTGGTTTCTGGTGTCTGGAGGCCGGAGGGAGCTGGACATTTTGGGCTCGTGCGGGCTTTAGGGGGCAGAGATGGAGCGGCGAGGCCCGACACGGGAACCTGGTAATCCAAGCTTGACTGCTGCTAAGAGAAGATAGTGAGGGACGAATGAAAAAAGAAACCGGCACGAGTGCACGTTGCATAGTCATACAATTCATCCTGAATAACTGAACTCTGAGCTTAAAGACTGAATGAGTTGAGGACAGACTCAAGCACGGAAAGAGTCTGCAGCCATGCTAGTGGTACCACAGCAATGCGTCAAGCTAAATGCTAATGTCAATATGCTAATTACAACATCATCATGGTACAACAACAGAAAACAAAGAACAATCAACAAATGATTGACCTTCCTGTGGGAAGCCATTTCTTTGATCATCAGTTCGATGTCCTCGTGGTCCTCTTCCTCGTGGTCGTCCTCAGCGTCCTCCTCGCTCTGACCGCTGCCTGGCCGGTAGGGCTCCACGAGGACGGACTCCGTCCCTCGGATGTCGCAGCGACAGTAAGGGCAGGTGTGGCCGGCTGAATTCTGCTAGATGGTGATCAAGGGCAGAGAAACACTCAATGAATGAAGGGACCCGTTGACACGCATCGTCTTGAGAACATGTTGGACGTCTCTTCAAAGAACAAGGGCAACAGTGTGTTTTCAAGATGGGGGGGTGAGCACCAGGCGTAACAGCGTAGATTGTGGTTTCCCGCAAACCAGTTGAAGAAGAACTGCAGTAACTTGAGTTGCTTACAGGCTTTGTGTATTTCCAGGTTTTATGGCATAAAATGTGTCCAGATGTCTTTAAAATTGGGATTTAGTTCAGGGTTTAAGTGCCGGTGAAGGTCATTGTTTGGTAAACCTGCTGCTGATGAGCAAGTGGCTCACAGCTTAAAACCTTTCCATTGAAGTCTAACGTCCACAAAGCACACGTACTCTTCTTTTCCTGTCTCTCTTACACACACACACACACACACACACACACACACACACACACGCGATGTGAGCGATGTAGTTCGAGGAGGATGTGAGTTTGTGCTCACACAGGAAGTCCTCAGACAAATGTCAGGACCTGCTGCTCTGCACCTCTGCAAAGACCTAAACGCCCCCAGAGCAGATCGGCCGATAGTAGTTGGCTGACATGAAGGTTGAGCAGTAGTTTAAATTCTCACTGTATGTGGTCAATGTCCTTCTGTCATTAAAAAGAGGAAGTAGGCAGACGGCAGTAAAAGTGCAACACAGGACATGTTGTCTGTTGCTGTTCACATGACGAGAACATTTTGATTTACTGGCTGGCTTTTGGGAATTTTGTGTCATGTGGTCAGATGTGATGGATGTCATTGTAAGTCAACTGTAATAGTCTGTAAATCTGTCTGAAACTCATATTAGGTAGGTTATCACGTCGCCATGGGTGCAGTAGTCAGTTTGCATCTGTTATTGACGGTAATGGTTCAATTCACAGACCTTTTCCCCTTCGAACCATTGAACCGGTGCTTGTTTCTGCGCTACGTTATCAAACTATTTGCTCATGCAAAGAATTGCTTTTTATAGGTGGAGACAGCTGCTCTTTTTGCAGCCAATTCACACGCACGCTTCTGCTGAATATTTCTTATTATCTATTGTCTTAAAAGTTCCACATAACTACGGAAAATAATGAAAATGAAGGACTAAGATTGCATGAAAAACATAACGCATGTCATATACTCCACTCAGCTCTGTCTGTCCCTCCACGCCCATCAGATTATTTATGATGAACACTATTAAAGAAGAGTGGATGATACCTTATATAATTACTCTTTTCATAGTGTTTTTATTAAGGAATTATTTGATGAGCTAGAATTGTTTTTTGGAGGTAATCCTTCATTCCAATGAAACATTTTACCTGGAGATACTGAAAGCTACTAATGTATTAGTACAAAATGTATTTAGTAGTCATGTCGTTGGTTTGTGAATCTTATTATAAAAGCATGTGAATATCACTCAAGCCTTTTGTTAAACAGGTGCATCTGTCAGTGATAAGACCAGGACGTGGGTTCCTACCTGCCAGCCTGTGAGGCAGGGTTGGCAGAGGAGATGCCCACAGGGCTGGATCCGAGTGTCCTTGTCCCTCTCTGCGCAGATCTTACACAGCTGGAAGGTGCTGCCTATGTCGCAGTAGAGCTCGTACTGCTCCTGGGTCACAGCGGCGGGTGGACGAGGGAGACAACACAGAAAACCATTAGCCAACAATTCGGTGATGTGATTTACGTCCTTTCTTGGTGAAAGGCTCAAGATGCAGAGGCAGATTCATTGATAAAGGGGCATGAAGAGCATCCGCTCGCCTCCGTGACTTTGACTTTGTCCTGCCGGGCCGCTTGATACAAGCTTGTCATGTCGGGGTTCCCGTCCCGGCCGTCTGGGTACAGGTAGCTGCACAGAAGCACACGGCGCGTTGAGGAAAAACCCGAACGAAGGTACAAAATGAAGGAGCGAGAGATGTGTTTGTCGGTCCTGACCAGCCTTCCCGGGAGCCCTGAACGAGGGCCTGGTAAAGGGGGGTATTCTGGGGTATCGTCTGGACGACGCTGCCTTCCCTGGTCACGTGGCCAATGGCCCACTCGCCCAATTTTGTGCAGCTCAGGCGAAATATGTAGCTGGGGAGGAGATGCAGATCCTTGTAAATCACACACCAAAGCAAACAGACAAGTCACTTTGATCTGAACAAAGCCAAACTATTAATGCTACACGTACTGTATGGGCCACAGTTCCTCTCATGAGCTATGAAATAAAAATTACGTATTCAAAGGTCTATGAGGCCTTTTGGACTTATACCATCTTGTGCTGGTCCTCACCTGCCAGGTCTGTGCATGTAGTGCTCCAGACGAGCGATCACCTGGTCATAGGTGAGGAAGGCCATGTAGCCTGGATGAGTCACTGCTAGCTGGTTCCAGTTCCTTATGAGAGACCCCCACGGCTGAAATGAGAGAGGGGGGCTGTTGCGTGAAGACGCAGGCGGAACCAGTTTGTCTGGCTCCATCTACGGTAACGAAAGCACAGCACCTGCTGAGTCGACCAAATAACACATTGCATTGCGCTAGTTCAGAATTGTCGGTTGTGGTTTCCACTCGCAGGGACTTCCTGCAGTCTTGTCATATTTGTGAGGTCGCCGTGTCCATCAATCAATGGCACGGCGACTTATTGCGTTGACACCCACATCATTGCTCTGATGAAACAGGATGTTGAAACACGAAGGTGACAGAGCCTAAAGTATTTATTTAAGAAAAAAGAAAAATATCATATTTCCCGCTACCTGAAAGAGCCGCGTGAAGATGTCGAACTCAAACACAGTGATGTGGTCACTGCAGGTGAGATCTATCGTTGACTTCAGGGCCATGGACTCCATCCCCTCCTCAAACGTGTGGACACTCTGCAGCTTCTCTTTGAAACTGTTCCACTGCACTATACACCTGTCAGGGCACAACGTCATGGTCGATTGTGGACACGCAACTTCCAAGCAAATAAATGACCCACACTCACTTATTTCCAAATGAAGAAATCCAGAACTCATGGGCATCGGCCTTGGTCACCCTGTAAGTGTCACCTTGAAAACCGCCCCCTGGAAACACGGCCCTCAGCTCCCAGAGCATGTGACTGAACAGCAACGACAGTTTGGTCAAGTTCCTCCTGAGAATGAAAAATACAGCAGACGTTGTGTTGCAGAAAAGAAATAAATAGAAATGATGTAATTTGTTTGGACATTTCCTGTGGCGTTTAAGTCCATTTGATCTTGGATACATAAAACCAACCTTTGGGCCAATAGCTCATTTCTTTGAGTTTTAAGTACACACATAGTGTCATTACCTTAGAATTAAGACTGTTTGTGTAAACATGCAAGGATAACAACAGTAAAAACAGTTGTTGTTGAGCTACGAATCCACTGAAAGGAATGAAGAAGATGAAAAGACGATGAAAGACCTTTTTGGGGAAACACAACTGTTGTATAATTGATGCCCTACTGATACTTTCCACTGTAAACAAGCGTTGCTGATTTGTTCCATAGATACACACACCGACACAAGCAAACACACAACAGGTCCGGCGAGCAAACAGGATGCTCTGTGCTGCGCGCTGAATACCACAGAACGTTCCAGTGGCCAGTGTGCCACTTCAGACCAGATCGGTATTCACTGTACGCTCTTTGCTCTACTTTGAATAGGATTTATAATATATATATATATACAAATACGCAATATAATTTCAAAATTCTACCAATTGTTCTCAAGCATTTTTCAACACTTTAGAACTTCATGGCGCTGTTAGCTTATATTCAAACATTAATGCTCATATTTCATAATTATTCCTGTGTCTTAAGGTCCATATAGATCCGATATTATTGTTTGTTTGATAATAGAAGTGTGGATCACATGAGAAAATCTTTTCATTGAAGTCAGCAATAAAAAGCCACACCCTGGACACAACGAGTACACTCAATGAAGCCGTAATTGCCAGTCTAATTATTTTAAATGAAATGTAATACTTTATAAAAAACATGGTAATATAACACAAAATATGATCTAATCAACTAATAAATCAATGTGTGATTCTATTCTTATGGCTGAAATGGACTTGTTGTAAGTCGCTTTGGATAAAAGCGTCAGCTAAACAACATGTAATGTCAATGTAATATAACGATTTTTATTTAGTTTCAGCTTCTAGTTGCATGTTTATTGGTGTTTGCACATTTGCATTCGATAAATTGCATTCTGTAAATTGCTTGAGCCCGAAGAGTCCGAAGAGGTCGAAGCCGCCACAGACAATAATCTCACAGCCACTAACACGGCGTTCAGGTCGCCTCCGACGCCGGCCGTATCTCACTTCTGTTTTACCTTCACGTGATGGAAAATTCACCCGCTAATGGGGGGCCGATTCTTTTTAACCGTCCAACCGTCGCCACGTCTTCGTTGCCCCGAGTCAAGCAGAAGGAAAGCGGCAGAAAAGAGGTTGACGTTGCCCTTCAAATCATTGAATTTTTACTGAATTTGCAGGTCATCTGAGCCACATTACCCATCCAGCCACATGGCTGCTCGTAAAGTGCACGCGTCACGTGTAACATGACACTATAGATATTCAAACATAAGATCTGCAGCCGTTTACTCACAGTGTGTGTGTGCTCCAGTAGAGAGAAATAGTTAATCGATCGATGGACAGATATTAAAGCAGAAGACAGAGATGTAGTCCAGAAAATAAACAGTAGAAGCGTGTTTTTTTTCTCTCTCTCAAGCTCTCAAGCTGCTCACGTACTGAGGTTGTTTTTGCCAAGTTTCCTCCACATTAACATCACAAAGTAGCAGCATTGGCCCTTTTTCCACCTTCGTCATTAGCAGGCCCAACAAGAGATGCAGCTTCAGCCCAAACTCCGAATGAATAAGTCACTCTTTTTTATTCTGCTCCAAAATATCCACTTTCTCCCGACAGAAAGCAGACTAACGTGGTCAGTTTCCTCTGCACACTGTGAGCTATTTCACTTATTGTTAATTACTCAGTTATTCAGCTTCTATTTAGGAGAAACACAGTTATTTCTGTTCATTTCATTTGCCGTTGGATGTATTCTCTTATGTTTAAAGAGCATTAGCTGAGTGAAGAGCACAATAGATTAGTTTGTAGCGCGTCACGCGGGAATATTTTGTTGCAAATGCAAACATATTGTCCATGCGAATGAGACAAGATAATTAATCAATGTCTTTGTATTTTTTAATCCACCAATTCCTCCATAATGGATAAATCAGAGTTTTTAAGTTACACTACATTTTTCCATAATTATTTGTTAATTGATTTATAATTTAGTCTCCAAATACAAAAAGAAAAATCCCATCACAACTTGTGATGGGTCACAACTTTCGGGTCACAGATTTTTCAAGATGTCTTCAGATGTTTTTACAAATAGTGCAAAACTGGAATTACCACTTTGTCTGCACGAAACCTTCCGCTTGCACTTTGAATGAATTTCCATCCACGATGTCATCATCTTTATCCCGTTGGATATTTCTGTGGATTTGCGTTGTCCACCGTATTCTAATTGGTTCATCGTTGGTTTCGTCGTGTGAGCCACGTTACAGACAATTCTCCAGAGACACGATGTCTCAAAGTGTCCCCCCCGCGGAGTCCAGGTCCCGAGACATCTCATTCCTGAGGAAACGTTCTCGCAGACGCACCGATGTACGACGGACACAATTAATTGATGAACAGAATTGTTGCCGATTAATCTTTTCGCTCAAGCAACTACTAAGTTATCGGTTTTTTGTTCCCCAAAAAGGAAACAAGATGTGACAGAACATGGCGGCGTTTTTTGGTTCCTTATCGTGAGCAACGTTGAACAAATGAACTAGATAAGAATCATAATCATATAACTTATCTGTAGATATATTATCTTAAATATATAGAATAAATGAACTCTTTTATCGTATCTTTATCGTATTTAATTGTGGCGTGAAGATGTCGGGTCCGTCTCACCTGCAGCTGGACGTCTCGTCAAACATCTTCTCGCGCCCCTCTTTGAACAGCAGCAGAGCTCGCTCCGTCTTATCCAGCAGGTTTCGGGCATGGACCCTCAGGTACTCGGCCTCGTCCCCCCGGGGGGCCCGGCCGCCCGCCGCCCCGGGGCCTCGGTAGGGCTCCCACACCTGCGTGAGCAGCGCCGCTGTGTCCGACACCAGCTCCGGCAGGTAGGGCGGGCTGAGCCTCAGGCCCAGCCGGGCGTTGGCGCACAGGTGGCGGAGTTTAACCAGTCTTTTGAGGAGTTTGTCCACCAGCAGCCGATCTCCACTGGTGGGGGGCCGGGGGCTCGATTCCGGGCTCGGGGAGGCTGGCGAACCGGCCGCCGCCATCGTTCTGCTCTTGTGAGGTGAAGGGAATTAAGAAAAAGCGTAAAAAGGCCCGACAGTAAGTGGTGAAGCTCCCACGGTTCTGAGAGATGTAAAAGCTCTACTTTGAACGTGCAAATACAGGAGCAGCTGTTCAAACCGCCTCAAGTTTGAAGTTGTATTGTCCTGTGGACATTTTGTGACCTTGAACAGCATCCGTGCTTGATCCACTCGACAATCCTCGGACGGCGTCGCAGCCTCCAACCAGCGGCGCGTTGGATTACGGCCTCTCCAGACAGCCACTGCGCTCCGTTTGCAGCCTCTCATTCCTCCGCCAGATCTTGAGAGGGAAAAACACCAAAACAACCATCAGCAGCACGACACAAGAGGCCGAGTACGAGAATGATTGTGAAAGTGCCTCCTCCTCCACACACGCCACCTTTCCCACCACACACATCTAGCACACGCACTCAGAGCAGCAGGGCGCCGTCAGCCAGCAGAAAACTGGCTTTTACTCACAACGCAGCGGAAACGTGTCCTCTGCATCGGCCAGAACGAGTCTGCTTCTTCTTGGTTTCCTTCGGGTCGATGTCCCCCCTCGCCTTCGCTCTCTCTCTCTCTCTGTCTCCGTCTCTCGCTCTCTTTCCTTGGTGCACCCTTTGATTTGTTTCCTGGTTGCAGGCAGACAGGTTTGTTTTGTTTGCTCGAGTACTTCAGGCAGAGAGCGAGAGAGAGAGAGAGAGAGAGAGAGAGAGAGAGAACCCTGTGGTATCCAGCACACACACTCACACCACGTTCTAACTGACAATGTGCTCAAAGAAATGGTCACCTTCAACGGTTGTGCTGGTGGAAATAATTAAATCAGATTAAATGGATTTGACATATGAGCAGAATCCTTCTTCTCGGTGTATCTTTACAACATTGGTTCTGGTTGATGACTTTTTTAATAGCCGACTCTCCTCCTCTGGATGATCTGTAATTACTCTGTTGAGGCCTTTCTTTATCCGCACCATCAGGTTGTAACCAAAGTGTGGTTCCTCAGTCCGGTGGTGTCAATACAGGAAGTAAAAGCATGACGATACAAAAATCACTATAATTACTGTATAATTAAAATAAAGTGGTATCTAACTCTTACAAGGTCACAAATGTCTATTTGTATTATAATGTAAACCATCACCAACAACAAATTAGATTTGAAAAAAACGCTTTCTACATTGGAATGATATAAAACAACATCTGTGGTTGGATGAATGAGGATCTTACCGATGACAGAGGAAAGCCAGATGACTTAGATAAGCATTTGATGAAAGATGCATAACTTTTTGTATTATTTACAGTATTTATCTATTTGTACACTATTTGTAAACTATGTGCCATGTGCAGGCCACGGTCCGACCCCCATCCCAACAAATAAATCCTGCCCGTGCTCTCATTCTAATCGAAACTAAAAAAAACAACTATTGAAATATATAATAAATACAGTCTAAATTAACAAACATCTATAATTATAATTCATCTTTATCAAGAATCAAAAGCTAACGGACTAATTACTAAAAATACAACTTTAACTTAGTATTTAGGTGCAAGAACCGTAATAAAATATTATAAGTGGGACTGCAGTGATTTTAATTTCTATGAGGTTAGAGATGCATATAAATAAAATGGGTACTGTCTCCATTTAATAGTTGTTTCATGATGAGTGGTGAAAAGTGCTCATCTAAACGGGGACAGGTGATTGAATCTACAGTTGTTTCCGTGAGCTGTTGTTGTCGTCGTGCCTTTTTCTTTACATTATTTTGCCTTGTTATTATAAAAAAAAAGGAAAAACATTGCTGCCTGCTCCCGGGTTCATTGGGCAGAAGATGGCGGTAGTGCACTTCCACCCTGACACCATGAAGGCCAGTGAAATTACTCCTGAGTTTAGAAACATGGTGATTTCAGGCCCTGCAATGAACCGACTCCACGCTGCCCGAGACACCGGGGACCAGAACCAGGAAATCTGATGATCGGCGATAATGCTGCTTTAGACCACGTTGCTAAAAGGCCGGCCAGCACCTGAACTATAGATTCAACATCAGCATCCACAAGAGGGAGACACTAATCGGGACCCCGTGTGCCACAGATGGTCTGTGATCATTATTCTCGGGCCACTGAATATATCACATTTACTGATATATGAGGATCGTGCTGTTTACCTGCTAGAACCTGTCTAAGTTCTTTAAAACGATCAAACCTCAGGCAATGTCTCATTCTTTGAGTCTTGTCAAACCTGCGTGTTGAGGGTGAGACGGCCGGTTGGAGGTCCGTGTTCTTCACGAACGGTGGCAGGACCCTGATGCTTGAGTGCATTGACAGCTGCACGGCGTGTTTGTGTAGTGTCGGGTTCTTTTAGGGACTTTAGACACCAATTTTTGACTTTCCGTTGCAGACTCCACACCTCAGTGGAAAGAGGAAAGTCCCAAATTGACCCTGGTAATCAGAGCGGGGTGGAGTAGGGCGAGATTAACGACGACGGGGGTGAGGGGTGCATACGTGTGACATTGAATGTGCACAGTTGGTTTACACAAGTGTTGGTGATCCGATGACCACGTGCGAGGCAGCAGTTGCTCGAATCGACTCGACGGGGCTTTTTTTCTATGAGTCCCCGTCTGCAGCCTGGTGGCATCACAACATGAAGCACATGATCAGACAAACTGCTCCTCTGATGGAGTTAAATGTGCTGCTTCTGTCCTGCAAACGCTAAGCATAACGCTCACTTGAGCTTTCTTTATTTATAACGTAATAATTTCCACGAATGCAAAAGATTCAGCACGTTATGGGAGAGCTGTGACGTAAAGGTGAGGATGATCAGCTGTGGTGTAACATGACTGAGTCAAAAGTGTCTTTTCTTATACTGCAAACATCACCGCGTGTGAAAATCCACGTTGTGGCCGATGGTTTCAGGCCCTGAGATATGAACCAAATAACATTTCATAACACCGTTGAGATTCTTTATTTGTGATTCTACCCTGATGTTGACGTTCACACATCAGAAGGGAAAAACATTAGCAAATATGCCCAATTTCATAAAAAAAAGGGGCCCATGTAATTCTGCTACTGCACGTTGTTAAAGTGGCTTTCTCGTCTTTTGGAAAGTCGGTTACAAGGTAAAGAAACACACTTCATAACCAGAGACCACTTTACCTGCAAATGTAGCTTTATTATTAACACGACTAAACAACTCAAAGCAGTAAAGAAATGGCTTGTGTGCGTGGCCAGTTCCGAATTGCAATGGATGTATGAGGTCCATGTCGACACCATGGAAGTTAACCCCAAACCACCCCAAAGCACCTGAACCAGAGCAGCATCGATCCATGAACTTCTTGAGAAATTCACAAAGATGTTTTGAACTTGCAGGCAAAGCAGACCGACGTGGAAGAGGTCGGACGTGCAGACATTATATTGACTTCAACAGTGTTTCTTTTTTTCTTTTTTTTCTTCTTCTATTCCTTCCTTCACTTTAATTTGGCATCAAAGCGAAACAAAGACTGCAGCGCTGAGAGGGAAAGCACCGCACTCATTAAAGCAGATGCGCGCTGGCGCAGCTGCTGCACTACCTGCAGTCGGTGTAGGTGCGCCGGGACGCACATCAGCCACACGCAGCCTCTGTCGGCTCTTCTTCCCAAAGGACTTTTACTTACATAAACCAATGGCACAAAGGGAAACACACTGATTTGATTGCGTGGAGATGGGGGCAAAGCGCAGGGTCGGTCTCTTTGGATTGAAGTAGTCCCACCAAACTGTCACTGAACGTGGAGACGTTTTTTTTTTCTTCCTTCAGGCGCGCACACACCTGACACTTTCTTCGGGTCCCGAGTGCCTCGCACCCCAGTCGATGCCGAGGATAAGGACCATGAACGGGGACCACCGGTCGGTTGCCATCGCGCCGCTGGATCTGCGCACCACCAAACGAGAGCGTGGGAGCGCCGGGTCGAGGACCGCGGACTGCAAAGGTCGCGCCGGGGACGCTCGGCGGACCGACGGCTCACCTGCGTCCCCGGCGCGCAGAGGGGAAGGCGGGCCGGAGACCCGGCGCCCCGCGGCCGGGGGCGCGCCGGACCCGCGAACCGGCGCCGCGCGCAAGCGGCCGGCGGACGCACCGTTTCGCACGCTGCCATTTAGGAAACGCCCGGTTGTCTTCGAGCCGGAGACACGAACGCAGCCCTCGGTTTTACCGCAGCGCGACACGGGTCGCCTTTCCGCTGCGGCGGAGGCGGACTCCCCGTCGCGCGGTCGTTTGGAAACAGCCGCGGAGGAGAGCGGGCTGGAGGCGGCGCCGGGGACCCTGCGGCGGGCAGGAGAGGCAGGGCACGCTCCGGTCGGCTCCGGATTTCCCTTCCTGCAACCGTTTGGTTACGGTAAGCGTTTCTCACAGTTCACTGTCCCCACGCACAATAACGTTTTATTGATTTATTTTTACTATAGTATATGACACACAGATCATTTCTGATCTTTATTACACTTCTACCTTTTGCTCTGAGCTCCATAAAGTACTCATGTCTGATATGACTTATGCATGGAGGCAGTAATCAGGGGGGGGCATACCCTGTTGAGTGAGACTAGGCTGTCAAAGGGAGAACAAGCACTTGCTCTCCAAGGATTGTTCGTTGGTATTGCTTCTACTATTACTACATTGTTTGGGCACTAGTGTGTCACAGAGGAAATGCAGTGGAGTCGATGCAGCCGCTGCTGAATCAATGAGAAAGTGTCCAGTCAGCTTTTCTCCTGCACTGGTTCAGTAGCTCACCGGGTCAAGTCATAACTGAACTCTACACGCAAACCCACTTCCACATCGCAAGGAGAATACGTTTTATTTGTATATGTGTCTTAATGGTGTCCGTCTCTCTTTGCAGGTCCTCCCTGCTCAGGCCCGTTCCCTGGGTACTGTCTGCCCCCCATCCCCGAGGTGAACCCCCCCCCGGCCCACCCGGACGGCCTGCAGACCGGTGTCGCGCTGGCTACACGTCAGGATGAAGACGGGGACACGTATGTCTTTAACTGGCTTTGGGTGGAGGTTTCGTCACATAAGTCCCGCATGGAAGCAGTTTTTATAATCAGAGCTTTTTAGTAAACAAAAGTTTTTGTGGGATTTCTAACAAATTTTAGGCATTTATTGTGATTTATGTAGACAGACCCGACTGATAACACCTGCAGAGGTCAAGGGTTCGATTGAGATTCATACTTTCAATTGCACATAAAAAGCATCGCTTACTTTCTTGTAATACGACTAGTGAATCCGGTAAATCTTTCTGCGCTTTTTCCCTCAGCAGACATAGTAACTGGTTGGAGTTCAAAATGGTCCCAGCAAGCCGGTCCCAGTATCAGCGAGGCACAGAACCTCAGCAAAGCTTTTGCCGCCGTGAACGTGAACGTGGTTCGTGAGACGCCTGTAATATCATCTCAGTTTTTGTTTTAGCTGGTGTTTCACTTCCTGTGAAGGGGGCTAGTTGAGTAGTGATCATCTAGGTGGATCATGAAGGCTGTGATCTTCTGGTATCTCAGGCTGTGAGGGGGGATGGGGGGGTGAGGGATGGGGGCGCAGGGGGTGAAACACTGTGCAGGACACTGGAGGAGGTCTCGAGATAATGCAAATAGTTCACAGTAACGCATGGTTACTTTACTTTGTCTAAAGTTTTTAACACCCAGCCGCCCACACGAAAACTGAAATGTCAAACTCACACGACACACACACACACACACACACACACACGCTGACACAGAGTCATATGACTGAAAACATAGCATGTCTAAGAATGAAATTACTCTGATTTTGCATCACCGTTATTTACATCACAAGACGAACCCGTGATGACCGACATGTGAGTCCCGTGATGTCACAGCTGCTTATTGTCTCATGTATCAGTTCTAATGACCACAATCAGACACCCGCTATGACAGAGTAAGACGCGACGGGCTTCTTCGCCTCCACATTTGCACAAGCTGAACAGAACTTTCCTTCACACGATTCGCCCTTCGACCTCTGCCTCTTGCGCCCCTTCGCTCGTCACCTCGTCGTGTCACTGCATCAAATGGTCCACGGCAAGTAGTGATGTAAACATTTTCTTCTGGGGAATTGATGCATTCTCATGAACTCAAACCCCCTGTTTGTTGTGCAGTTCAGACCTCGGTTGCGTCGTACCTACTTTGCGGTTGCTTGAAACTTAGTGCGAATTCAGCCGCCCTTCACATGCCCGTATGCACATGTGTGTGTGTGTGTGCGTGCGCATAATGCAAATGACAGCGAGCACGCGCCTGCCTTCCTACGTCAATGGGGGTGTTAGGCGTCTCTTCTCAGCGCCTCTGAGCCCCTCAGTTTCGGGAAGAGCAGTGAGTGCTCAGTTTTTAGACACCACTGCGGTTTCCCTCAGGTGTCTCTGTCTTTCTCATTTTTCTTCTCTGTGTTTTTAAATGAATGGTCTGAAAAAAAGAAAAAAACCCAAACATCCGCTCCTTACTTCCTCATTTACCGCTTTCTTTTTTATCAGCTTCATCTCTCTCTCTCTCTGTGTTTGTGAGATGTGCGCGCAGCTGGTAGCGCTACGAGCTTCCAGTCGGTCAGTTTACGGCACAATAACGCGATCGTGATACTCTTATCATCGAAAATGTCACGTAAAAACACATTTTCTGGGTCAGTACTGTCATCTTAGACCCTATTATTGCACATTTACTGCACCATGTGGACCCAATGCCCTGTTGTTTGTTTTTTAAATTGGACTAAAAAGCCAAAAGAGTTCACTCGACCTCGAGGTCGCAGAGGAAGCGCCGGGGTCACGAAGGTGCTTAAGGCAACGCATCCAGTTCTAATGATGTCACTACCTGTTCTCAGAGAGAACTCTTGGTGTTTTTTCTTATTTTACATCACACATTACTCAGTTGATGGTGGAACCAGAGAGAATATCGCGTTTGCCCGACGGCGCGAATGTGTCACTGTCCACAGTCCTCCGACTCGCCTCACAGGGAGGCTGAACTGACAACGCGAGCCAGAGCTTTCTATCCACGCCGACGAGTCGATGTCTGCACGATGTCTAAATCATGCGAGTAGTTGCACAACACACTCGCCCTGCGATGACTTGTGATGGTAAGAAGTGACTCTTGTGATGAATATAGAAGTGGTGGGGAAGTGAAAAACAACCAGATGACGGCACAAAACGCCGTCGTGCTTCCCGGGTTTCCGGCGTGGACCAGTAACCCCTCGTCTCTCGTTGATCGCGACGCTTCTCTCTTGTTTACTGCTGGCACTTCACCTGGCGGCCCAGCAGGTCCTCAGACCACAGGGGGCCTCAGTGGGATCCTTCGGCCCGTCTCCGCTCTCCCCCTCCTCACCAGGCAGGATACCGCACCGTGCCGCCACGCCTCAAAGACGCAGCACACACGGTTACACCGGGACTGTTAAGTGTCGCTGCGGTACAGCTGGCGTCTGCGTCACTGCTGCTGAGGCCTGAGGTCGTCTGGGGCTGTGGTCTGGCCCACTTCCAGGAACTAGAAACAGTGCAGTTTCCTCTTGTAAGGAAAAGAAAGAGATGGAAGCAGATATGTCCCTTTTTCACCTCGACCTTTTGTCTCGCATTAGACGGATTAATGAGCATGTCTGACTGCGCTGCTGGTTCGGTCGCCGCAATCACGAGCGGAGACGCCGCGTGGGGCTTTCAGGGCACACGGTGGTTGCACGTGAAGTACAGTAAATGTGATTAACAGATCGCTTTTGATTCAGATCTGCTCACTGAGCTCAGTTACAGGAACGGCCACCAGCCGAGGAACGAACCAACGCGCTCCCGTTCCAACTCGCAGTTCTGCTTTTTTCATACCTCGTTTATTGAACCTGCAAGCTGCTCCCGCACAGGAGACGATTCACTTTGAGAGTTGGTGTCCTTGCCGGCTCCTTCATAAGCAACTCTGCATGTTTGTACACATGCACAGGCAGATCATGCATGAGTAGCGCTCCGGTCTCCTGCAGCCAGTGAACGTTGCCTCGTGTCTAACGGCAGCATTATTCTGGGTTTTTCGCTGTGAGTGTAGAGATCGTGTAAAGCTGTTTGGTTTCTGTGTGTTTGGAAGAGACCATCACACAGAGTGTCTACCGTCTGCTCAAAGACAACGTTTGTATCTGGGAATTTGACTTTCACGCTGCCGAGAAGAGGTGTTGCGGGTGAATTTTTCTTTCTGATCTCGAATTCTGTTGCAAAGGGCGCTTTCAACTTCTCAAGAAGCTCCCCTGCTTCCTGCACCGCGGCTGCGCTTCTGGTCCGGATGGGACCTCTCCATCGGGCGGAGCTGACTGAGCGAACCTGCAGAAAGCCCCTTGTCACAAACGGCTCCTGCGAACGGCTGGATGTCACAGGAGCCCGGAGCAAGATAAAGAGCGCTGCCGTTGTCGCCGACAACAGGAAGTGACATCAAATGAGTCGGGCTCTTACTGGAACCTGCTTTCTTGAAAAATAAAAATGCGCACCTTCTGCAGCAGGCCCCTCCTCCCCCCCCCCCTGGCTTGGTTTTCAGCTTCTCCTCGTCCTAAACTTTGCCCTGCGTTCATGCTTTCGCTTCACGGAGCGACCACACAGCGGTTTCCCTTTAATCTCGATGAGGCCGTGATAAGAGTCGTGTGAGTCATGAAGCTGAGTTTATCTGTAAGGTTCCTCAGTACAACTGTTCCTGGGAGAACGGAGATCACGTTTGGTTCTCGTTAGTGGCGGTTTGATGAAAAGCGTAATACTTCTGAAAAAAGTCCATCTCTGGTTGGATTGGCCACCCGAAAATAAAGCCTTTAAAAGTAAAAAAAAAGCAAGTTTAATAGCTGCTCGTTTTAGATTCACCTTGTTTCTTTGTACAGGTTCAAGATATAACGTCAACTTTAGTTTAGTTAGTTAGTCTTACCGGGTGTAACCGTATATTCAATATTCATCTTCTCAAGCATTTCCCAAAATGTCCCTGTTGTTTTCTCTTGAATTAACTACCTCGCCTTTCCTTTCATTTGTCAAACAACAAATACTTTTACAAAGTTCTTGTTAAAGTGCAGCGAGTTCTCAGAAGTGTCACAAAACAAATCGTGCTGGAATGAAACTGACACACATGTCAGCGTGAAGATTATTACATTTACGCATATTCAGGTTTTTTATACATCACACACAGGAAGCGAAAGGGATTCTCCACTTGAGCCCGTCTCAGCCGGCCTGTGTAACGTTCTATACTCTGCTTCCGCCGCAGAGCGCTCCACATAGCCGTGGTACAAGAGGAGCTGCCCCTCGTACGCGAACTGATCCAACTCCTGCTGTGGGCTCGCAGAGGCCTCGATGTCTACAACAACCTGCGGCAGGTAAGACCAGTGCACCTCGAATGCACACGCATGCATGCATGCACACACGCACACACACACACGGGGGGGGGAGACACTTTGCAAATGCTGAATTTTTTTAACATTTGAGCCAAGATATTAAACGCGGCAGCGATGCACAGAAAGATCTTTTTAATGCTTCAGTCGGTGGCACAGGAGGGTCGCCGTGTCAGAGGATCGGCGGTTCGATCCCCGGTCACACTAGTGTAAGTCGAGGTTTTCTTCCCCCCCCCCCTCAGCCGAAGGGCGTCAGCCTGTGGATGGTTGAGCGGCATGAAGCGACGCTTTGAGACCCGAGAAGGCCTTTGCAGATGGACGCAGGGTAGAAAGGGAGATGGGTTTTTAACCACCACAGCATGTAAAAGCCATCTCCCCCGCTGCCTCAGCCACCTGATGACAGCAACATGGAATAGAATGAAAGAGGAAGTGCCTCGGTTTCCTCCTCGCCTTGCACCAGGTTACTGCCACACTCTTCTGGTTGTGGAATTCACGCCTCCTGGTTACTTCAGCTGCGCTCGCCAGGAGCCGCAACCATGGAGCGGCTGGGAAGGGCCGCCTGTGTTTCCCAGCTCTTTGTTTTACTTTATTATGTCACAATTCCTCTAAACTTTTTCAGAATTGGAATGTTGGGTTTTAGATGGAAACAGTGAAGATTATCGTGACCCCCTGAGATCACTAACAGGTTTTTAGAGAAACATTTCAGCACGCACATACATTCTTCCTGCACATTAAGAGCGTCTTTTACAGTATTTATTTACAGTATTAATTGACATTTGCACTCATTGAACTTTTGCTTTTCTGAGAAATAGAGACCTTCAGCTCCCCGAATAGCAACGTCGACACAAGGGAGAAAGTACATTGTACTTTACAGGAATGTGCACAAGGAATTGTCTCTGAGTGTTTCCCAACGCAGGGCTGTCCCAACCACTGGCCCCCAGCCAGCAGCCCCCCCCCCCCCGTCGCCTCCTCCTGCCCTGCCTTCCGCCAGCTCTCTTCTCTCTCGTTCCTCAGCAGTCGAAAGCACCTGAGCTGTGCAGAGCTTTAGTTCTCAGGGCTGGAGTTTCACACCGCGCAGGACACCGCAGGCCCGCTTACCAGAAATAACGCTGGCGCTCACATCGGTTGTTGTGTCTTTCCTCATTGCTGAGGCTTCAAAGCACAGCTTTTATGATATCCTGTGTCTACCTTCAGTCAGAAAACGTACGCACGCGACATACGCACACAAACACACACGCACACACACACCCTTTTATGCCACATGCAATTATTACCAAAAAGGGAGATTTTGAGGCACGGGTCCTGTCGTAGTCATTTGCATACTCGATTGTGTGGTTTTAACTGAATATCAGAACTTAACTTTTAATCTTATCTAAACAGACCTCAACATATTTTCTGGCATTGGCCGACTTCTCAAAGGCCAAACAGTAAAAATACGGCGTTTCCAATATCGATGACAAATCCTAAGTTTCTGTGGTCTGAAGTATAAGGGACTTATTGACAGAGTGTTACTATCAGTACCAGAACGAAGCAGTGCAGCGTAAGCGGGTAGTTGATTTCCCTTCCACTCCACAAACTACTGTAACGGCAGAGAAAGCTGCTTGATGCTCCCACGCTGCGCCCGCTGGCAGGCCGGCTGCACGAACGCACGCTACAGGTGACAGACTCTTGCTGCCGACGGTGCCATGCGGGGGCCATGCGAGGGGCCATGCGGGGGCCATGCGGGGGGCCATGCGGGGGCCATGCGGGGGGGGGCCACCAAAACCTGCGCTGAAAGTGCTTCAGATCAAAGAAGCGCATGTAGCTGCTACGATGCGCCGTGCAACGCCGTCTGCTGTGATTTAACATTCCTGTCACTACGTCGTGAGTTTATTTTTTATTTTTTGTATTTTTATTGTTTGTTTGCGTGCATTCTGGTAAGGAGGGCGCGTGCACCCGGCGAGATATCCGCGTGTCTGTGTGCGCTTTAGTATCCTCGTTCCGAGAAGTCACATGACACCCCTCCCCCCCCCCCCCCCTCGCCTTTCTGCTTTGGGCTGTTTCTCAACATAACTCGGTTGAGAGGGTAGTTCACGGGGACTTTCCCTTACTGTGCGTCTCTCTCTCTCTCTCTCTCTCTCCCTCTCTCTCTCCCTCTCTCTCTCTCTCTGTCTCTCTCTCTGTCTCTCTCTCTCTCTCTCTCTCTCTCTCCCTCTCTCTCTCTCTCTCTCTCTCTCTCTCTCTGTCTCTCTCTCTGTCTCTGTCTCTCTATCAGTCTCGTTGTGTTGGTGCTGCCCTCCTTCATATCTCTTGCTGCATATTCCGTGTGAGAATCCAGCGCCTGTGACCGTGACCAGTGAGCGGGCCGATGCTGTCGGGAACGATTGTCAACAACGCCGACGTCAACGCGCGTGATGTTTGTTTGTGCGACAGGCTTCTTTGCGTTTGCCTGCGGCCTGCGGCTGATCTTCATGCCCGCTGCTCTCCTCTCGTCTCCATGCTGATCCTCCCTTCACGCAGGCATGCGTGTGCAGGAACGGGCGCGCGGGGGGGAGATGAGGGGTTTTCCCTCGCCATCCCGCGTCCTTTCCCTGGACTTCCCTCCATGTTGCTTCCGTTTCTTCCTCATTCCTCCGTGTCTCCGCCCTGCACCCCCCCTCCTCCCTCCTCCCTCCCTCCCTTCCTCCTATCTTGCAGGATTTTAGTTTTAAATGCTTTGCAGGAAGCCACAGATAAACTCCTCCAACTCGGAGGTCTAATCTCGAGGCCTTAAGAGGCCTCACTGTGCAACGTACCTTGTTAAGAGGATTCTGCCAGACACATTTCCTCAGCGCCTTTTTTCATGATGTCTGATTGTGGGAAGAAAGAAACGTGAATCTTTGATGGGAATTTGTGTGTGTTTTTTGCTTTTGTGTTTGTGCGTGAGTCACCGGATTCAGGGAAACAGAAGCGGTGGGGAGAATCACTGGCATTGAAACGCTGAAGGAATTCCGCAAATAGTCTCTCACTGCAACGCAACTTTTCAATGTTCTTTACTGGAACAAACCCGCGGCACACGCACGCCCACACACACACACACACACACACACACACACACACACACGTACAGAAACAGCACAGCAAAAGAGAAACCTGGACCAGCCATCTGTTCCCGCTTGTGCCAATTGTGTAATCTCCACTGCGGCTAAAAAGTCCGGTCCAGAGGACTTCCTTTTATGGATGAAATATTGCTGGGCTTGATTCCAAAGGTTGTCAGTAGCCTCCCTGCCCGTCAACAGGATGATACACGCTGCTCTCCAGAGGAACATCCCACATTGCTCAAGCTAATTCATTCTGCACTGTTTTGCGTAATTTGTGTTTTTCCTGCATATTTACAGGCTGTTTCTCACTACAGGTTCCTTCCAATATAGAATTAATCACACAGTTTATTGCCTTGGTTGTTGTTTTTTGGACTTTGATTTAATTGCTGACAAATATGAATATTGACTTTGTGTGTGTGTGTGTGTGTGTGTGTGTGTGTGTGTGACAGGCCTGCAGCACACAAGCGTGCACCTCATGATCTCATATTGTGTGGTAACGATAAGTGCACCAGACACGGTTCCTTGTTTATTTACCGTATGAAGGCGTTGGCCTGTTGGTACAGGCATAGTTCCTATTGTGTCTCTGACCTTTGACCTGCAGAACAGGTTAGAAATGAAAGACGGCCTTGACTAGAAACGATAATGCTTTTCCTTTAAACTCACTTGGTGATGATTGAGGTGAATTCATTCGCACCGCGTCATTTTTTCTTGTTTGTCATTCATTCCTTTTAGCGTAGATATTCAGGATTTTGTCGCCGTTGTCTCGCAGCGGGAACACCTCAACAACGCGACTGTCCGCTGAGAGTCGGGGGAGATCATGCCGCTCTCGTATCTCTATTTCACACATGCGCATGTTTAGCTTAGTGGATGAACAGCTAGTCTCTGTCCCGTCTCTGGAGGAGCGTTGCGTGTGCTGCAAAGCGAAAAACCCTTTTCGCAGACAATGTGCTGACTCGCTCTCGTCCTCCCCCTCAGACTCCTCTTCACCTGGCAGTGATCACGCAGCAGGCCGCCATGGTGGACGCCTTGTTGAGGGACGGGGCCGACCCCGCCGCCCTGGACCGCAACGGCCAAACGGCGCTCCACCTCTGCTGCGAATACGACCAGCGCGCCTGTCTGTCCGTCGTGCTTTCTCACGCCCAATCCTCCACGTGCTTGGAGACGCGGAACTACGAGGGTGAGTCGCAGTCGACGGGAGAAGCCCTTCTCTCACACGCGCGCTCGTGACCTAGTTTTCATTGACACGCGGAGTCTGCAGATGCTTTGATTCAGAGTCATTTGCAATAGAAACGGTCAAATAGGTAAACAACAACACAGACAGTCCCACTGCTTTGTTGTGGGACGTGAGCTCTGAGCAGAGGACGTGTCCTGCGTCTCTATTCTGGTGTGGTCGGGTCACATTGACTCATTTCCTTTTGTGTTCTTGCGACGTCACAGCACAAGAACCGTTTATGCCGGCGTGCAGGAGAAAGCCCCCAACATATTCACGTTGGTTATGTGGAACTGGAACTGAGTTTGACTGGAGGGATTAGATCTAACAACATGGCCGCCAACTTCCGCCGAATGACAAACTTTACCATCACAGATTGATTTTCCCGTCCGAAATAAAGCATCCCGGACAAACATTTATTTATTTTCCTTCAGATAGAGAAAAAAACACCTCCAGAAGATTTATTTGGCCGAGCATCCTGCGCTGAATCATTTTAAAGTTCTCTTTGAATGATTGTTGTTGTTGTTAAATTTCATATTCTGTACATCTCACGTGACAACAAGCCACCACTTTACCTTTGTGTAGAGAACTAGCCATGTTCCACCGATGTCTCTGTGAGTTTCTACTGTGTGTTTCAAGCAGGAGTGTGTACGTGTACTCACGACGTGTGCACGCTGCATGTGCGTGTTTGCCTTAAAGTGCATGATGCTCCCTCGTGTCCTCAGGTCTGAGCCCTCTCCACCTGGCGGTGCTGCGTGGACAGAAAGATCTGACCAGGATGCTGCTGGAGGCCGGCGCTGACATCAACGCCATGGTGACAGCCAAGATTCACAACGTCACAACCGCCGATGGTTACCGTCTGTGCGTCCTCTTAACTTTTCCCCTGGTGCTTTTTTTTTTTTTTTTCGTCCTCTCTGATCAGGACGTCAAGAGTGGCCAGAGTCCCCTCATGCATGCGGTGGAGAGCAATGACGTAGACATGGTCCACTTCCTCATTGGGGTAATGAGGGTGTTTGGGTTGGGAGGGAGGAGGGGAGAGAAGCGATGTGACTCAGCTCGATCGGATCGTTCTGTTTTCTTCTTTCTAGCTCACAAACTTCTTTTCTCGTTCTTTTCTAGCCCCCAGACAAGAGCTTCCGATGATTCAAGCTAAATAGTCGCAGTGTCGCCGTATTGTCGGGGGGCTGACGGGTTGCGCGTGGACATAATTATCTCTTCTCTTTTCTTAAGCTCTCCTTTCTTAGCATTGCCTCTTGTTCCTCTCTCCCGTGTATTCTAACTCACCCTCCCAATCTATCTATCTGTTTCACTTCCAACGCCTAACTGCGTCTCTGTTGGCTTTCTTGATGACTCACATTTGGCTCAACTTCTCGTTTTTTTTTTTCTCCTGCAGGGAGGCTGTGATGTCAACAGTCAGTCCTACAGCGGGAACACGGCGCTGCACGGCGCCTGTGGCCGAGGTCAGGTGGACACGGTGCGCCTGCTGCTGAAGAGCGGGGCTGACAGCAGCCTGAAGAACTACCACAATGACACCCCTGTGATGGTGGCCAAGAACAAGAGAGTGAGCTAAAGCGTCCCTGAAGAAAAAAAAAAGATAAATTCCATTCTTGCGGTATTGTTTGCGTTGCCATTTCGTATGGTTGCAGGCCGCTGCCTCAGGTCAATTCAGACAAATAGAAACTAAAGGGTTGCCAAATTGAGAACGAACAAGTAACTTGATATTGTGAAAATTTACAATCAGTCAATGTAGTTTCTCTGATGGAAAATCCCACCACTAGTTCAATGCCCGGATCAACTCAACTGCCAGATCTACTTGACTCGTCTGGGTTTAGATTAGTTGGAAGAAATGGTTGGAAATGTAAAATAAATGTGTGTTTCCTCCCCTCTAGAGGACAGAACTAAATAGTGCAGTTTTCTCCAACAATGTCGCGTTGACTGAACGCTTTGTAAGCAAATATTTTTATTTTGCAGATAATAGATGTGTTACGAGGAAGAGGCTCCAATGCGATTAGAAGTCCAGATCAACACTGTGTGTCCGTCTCACCACATAGGAGCAGCTGCACAGATAATGGTAAGCACTCGCACACAGGCGATCAGGCACAGGGTGATACTTGTCACACACTGCAGTAAGAAATCAGAAGACATTTTTCACAATTTGCTTCTCCTTTAGGGTCCCCGTCTCCCGGTCACAGCCGTGGTTGTTCACCTTTGGACACACAACACACCCCTCATCATTGCACCTCCCATTCTCCGACGACTCCATCCACACTTTTACTAGCTCAACGTTATTGTTGAGTGCAATTTGAAGCTATTCCTCCTCTGAGGCGACCGTAAAAGAAGAAGGTTCGGCTAACGGGACGACAAACTAGCAAAAGAGTGCACCTGAAATTAAACGTCCCGACAAGCTGATCTTCTTCTGGACTCCACGGAGAAACATGCATCCTTCCTTTGAGTTCAGGCGCCTCCCTGACCCGTACCTGCTGATTCTGCTGCTGGGACCCAACCAGCAACTGGAAAGCTGCTGCGGGATTTCTCCAAATGCATCTAAGCAACATGAACGTGCCGCTGGTGACAAAAAGGACAGTAAATGAAAAGCACGGGCCTAAGCTTAGTGAACCCTGAGTCCCTCTTCATTCATGTGTTTTGCACCTTACTTCTGTTCACAGAATGACTTAGAGTGATCACAGAAGAAGAAGGGGAACACAAATAAAATTCATCACCATATGTCTTCTGCTTAGAATACGGATGAGCCACGTGACCTGACCTGCATAGTAATGCAGTTACCCACCTTCTGCCTTTTACAATCACACACCATATGGGTGTCTTTGTGCACCTGTGTGTTGTTTTATCACTGTGAAAAGCTGTCGATATGTAAATATATATATTTTTTACATGAAACGTACGTGTGGCCTCGGTCTGTTGTGGGATTTGAAAGCGGCGTTCTGATTGGTCGGTGGGAGGGTCCTCCGGAGCCAACACACAGCCCAAAAACGAGCGCGCGGCCATGTTGAATTGTCAATATTCCGAAAGAAGAGACAAAAGAGTGAAAACTCGGTGGATTTCTCCAAACAGCGATTGTTTACCAAACTCCATTAAACTGCCGATGAAACGTTTAGCGGCGACGCAGCGGGGGAGACTTTGTGTGTCTGTGGCAAAGTGAAGGTAGCGTTCCTCTCCGTCCATGTTTATGCGTATTGAGTTACTGTGTAGCCTGCGTTAACACGGTCCGGCTAAGCTAACGATAGCATGCTAACGCGAGCGTTTGGTCAGGTCAAATAAAAGTATTTAAGTAACCGTGTTGAACCGAATGGATCCAGACGGGCTTCTTTTGTTTGCGCTCATCGATATAAAGTTTTGAAATAAGTTTAATCTCAACCGCGGGAAACGAGGGGGAACGTTGCTGTTAGCATGTTAGCTGGACGGTCAAAAGCCACGTTGCTATGCATAAAGTTGTAACGTAATTTACAGCTGTAACGTTGCTAATTCATTTACCACCAGCTAACTTTGCTACCGAGATCGGCAATAAAGTGACCGTGAGAGTAGATCCCCGCTGGACAGCATCGCCGTTGTCGGCGTTACTTCGTATTTGGTTCAATGGGGTTAAAAAGTGCAGTGGCTAACGTCAACCAGCTAACTTTTAAATCCAACTTTGACGGGTAGTTTAGTTCCTAGCCTTTAAATGCCGCGAAGTTAGTTAGCGCCAGTTAGCTCGGGTTTGCGTCGTAGCCACGATGTCCGCACCAAGCCGCCCGGGTTAGCGCTTTGAATCGTGTTTTCGTGTCGGAATGACGACGTCGCTGCGGCGCCGTAATCCTGCTAACAGCGCTTCTGTGACCACATCGCTGCTGCCTTCCTGCCGTTGGCTTTTGTTCCACAATATCAGATACCTGCCGCTAATACGCACACTTCTGGCCGTGTGTGGGACTCGTTTGTGTTTGCCGTTGTTTGTGTGATGATGTTTTTCTTCCTGCCAGTTAAAGCTTTGCAATGTGCTTATTTGTTTGGCAGGTAACCTGGATTATTTTTTTTGTTGTTGTTGATCGGCCCTTCCCGAAGCGCTTTGCAGACAGTCATCTCAACTTTGGCTGCTGAAGTGAAGGAAACCGGCTCAACAAGATAACCACAGACATTTAAGTGGACTATCCATGTAAAAAAAAAAAAAAACATTTCCAGAGTGACTGTTTTTGAGCCTCAGCAGAGACCTTTTGTGGATTTTTTGATGTCAAAGGAACAAATCGTAAGAGTCTGAGTCGTGACCAAGCAGAGCTTATTTTACTACTGGCTATTTTGAATGTTTAAACTTGGCACTTGGACGGATAAATCCAAGATACTCAAAGAACTCAAAAAGAAAATTCCGGATCATCAGTACAGCGAGGATAAGCGTATTCCTTCAAATACCTGTGAAGGAAAGGAGTTTATGTTTAGGTCAGTTATTTGATTTATTTATTCACATGAATGTTAATTTCTCCCTTTTTTGGAGAGTTTGTCTTGTAAATAGACAGAATTCATACGCAGACTTCTTCTTTTCAAGAGGTCTGAACGTCAGATTGTGTACAAAATACATTCTTAAAAAAAAAAGAGAAAAGGACATTTTTATTTTTTTACACACCGGTGCATTAAGCAAAACCTCAGCGAACAAAAGGCAAAAATAACATACTGAGGAAACTTGCCAGTTCACCCATGGCGACAGCAAGGACGGCGAACCCAGCACCCATGATGGGATTGAACAAACCAGCAAACGGGCAGCTCCGAGGCCAGACGGGGCTCCTCGCCGCCGGCCAACAGCCCAACGCCCTCCAGAAAATGACCAGCGCCCCTCACAGCAGTGGGGGCATCAAGTAAGATCCAGTTGCATTTTCTCAGACCTGCATTGAAATAAATGCTTTGTGTCAGTTAATCACTCATATTCGTAATAATAATAACAACATAGTTTGCACATTCATAAGCTGGATACAATGATCTGCAAAATGTAAATTATTTCTTTGCAAAGCTTTTAGTAGGTACGTCTTGAGACCACAAACCTGTTTGAATCTAAAAATGAGCGTCTGCAAATCCACGATTTCTCTTTTCAGTAAAGTTAATTGCACCCGGATTGTAGATTTTAAATGTTCATTGAATAAGCCTTTTTTTCGGCCAGCATCCCAGTCTCGGCGCAATATATCTTTAATTTTTTCCAACCTGTTGTCTATATATGTGTAACTTATTTAGACATAATGCTAATTCTTGCCATCAGGTTTGGTGATGATTGGAAGAAGTGCCTGGAGCTTCCTCCAAGAGACACCCGGATGAGAACTTCGGTACGGCTACATTACCATTTGCCCACATGATTGTTCAGATTCCCAGTTCACACCTCTCAGCCACTTCACACATTTTGGATTTTCTATATTTGAGACTCACTGAAAGCTTCTTGGCTTCTAATGCTATTGAGCAGCAATCACATTGTCCTCTTCCCCACCCAGGATGTGACATCGACCAAGGGAAATGAATTTGAAGACTACTGCCTAAAGCGGGAGCTGCTTATGGGTATCTTTGAAATGGGATGGGAGAAACCGTCCCCTGTCCAGGTAAGTGGAGACATTGGTGCGTAGGGCCTTCTTGTTTAAGTGAAGTTGAGAGTAACACGGCAGCAGATTTTCCCTTCTGTCCCGTGGCTAAATAAAGACGCTGGGCCTGAAATCATAATCGACCAGTTTGGCTGTGGCGTAGTTGTTGGTTACTGTCTGTGCCGCAGTGAGCCGTCGTGTCGCACACGCGTGTGACTTTTCCCTGCCAAAGGACCTGCTGTATCTGAGACTCTCTACTGACCTCTTGTTGTCGTCTTTCGCTCCCTTTTTTTCGTTCTTGTCCCAGTCACGTGGGGAGTAATGAAATTAAATCTCATCCCGCGGGAATCCACTTCCCCTTCTGGGAATTATAAACTATAACTGAGCAAACTAAAATGTTCATATTTGAACTGGTTCCAGAGTTCTGTCACCTAAAAATGAGGGTAATCACTTCAGCGGTCACCTGCACTCCAAATGACCCCTTTCACAGCCACTGGTGATTGCGTGACCTGTTATTTACTTAAGCTTCAGTTATGTTTTACATAAGCATGTTGGTTCTTCCCTGTAGTTTGCCTTATTTTCAAATGTCACGTCGGTACTAATTTCCACTCATTTGTCTTGTCCGTCTACCCAAAGGAGGAAAGCATCCCCATCGCGCTGTCGGGCAGAGATATTTTGGCTCGGGCCAAGAATGGCACAGGAAAGAGTGGAGCCTACCTCATCCCCCTCCTGGAGAGGATAGACCTGAAGAAGGATCACATCCAGGGTGAGCTGCTGCCGCTGCATCTTCCTAATTAGCAGATGTCGTTAACTGGATATTTTCCTACTTTCAGCCGTATTAACATTTAAATGGTCATACAGTTCAATCAACAATATTTATTATTTTAAATATTAAAATATATTAGTTGTGCAAGCTCTGTTGCCCTGTGGGCCGCTGTCTCAGTCCGAGAAGAGATTAAATTCAAAAACCTTAATAGACGCGTCGAATGTTGACACGTTGAATGTCGCAATCACTCCCTGACGTTTTACCGATGCATCGACTTTAATGGAAGTTTTAGAGTAAAGATTTTTGAAATGTGCTAAACTAATGTTGTCATTCCAGCCATAGTCATGGTGCCAACAAGGGAGTTGGCCCTGCAGATGAGCCAGATCAGCATTCAGCTCAGCAAGCACCTCGGGGGTGTCAAGGTCATGGCTACCACGGGCGGCACCAATTTGAGGGATGACATCATGCGTCTTGACGAGACAGGTACTTCTGTTATTGAACCGAATGTGTTGATGCGCTTTGGTAGCTATTCCTTTAAAAAAAAAAAAAACTTTTAAAATAGATTTCCTCCTTTTTAAGCGACTGACTCTGAATCTTAAACTCTGTATCAACAGCACTTCTGCTTCTTGACACTGTGTTTGAAATAGGGCTGCAACAACGAATCGATAAAATTGATTATTAAAAGCGTTGGCAACGAATTTCATTATTGATTCGTTGTGTCGCGCGATTATTACGTCACTCAATGAGTTGTGGAGATGCGCGCGGAGCAAAAATAAAAATAAAGGCGGCGAGCCGCCGTAGAGGAAAGAGCAGCCGGCAGTTGTTGTGAGTCACATGACGCAGGGAGAGACGTCTGTTCGACTGGTCGTCTAAGGTGTGCGAGCGTGGGGGGTCCCGGTCCACGTGGTCCCGTTTTGACGTGAGGGACGTAACAAGCCTCCTGTTTACTCGTCATCCAGCTGATCAAGCTAGCGTTAGCTCGCTAATAACAGGAGTAAAGCAGTTAGCAAGACACGTTTTTATTTACTCGCCTCTTTTGGACCATTCATTTTTCAATGTGTTGTCTGATATTTTTTGTGCTTTGTCCCATATCGGTTATTGTTGACAAATATATTTGTGTGTGTTGTACTTTTTAATGCTGTCATATACGGTAGTCCAGTGCGCTTGCGCAGATACTGTGGGTTATACGGTAGTTGATGTTATGCCTGTAAAGGGAGACACATGGTGATCCATTAAATCAACTAAGAAGCCTCTAATGCATTTATTTACAAATGCCATTTTAAATTCATCTCATAGCACTTGGTTGTTTTTTAGCTGTATGCATTTACTTAACTTGCACTACAATGATGGTAATAATTTAATGAATATGCTTCAAGTGAACATGAGGGTGTGTTTGTGAGTGTAGTATAGAGAACTAGTTCTGACAAATTTGAGGTTCTGTTTTAGAATAAAGGGTTGGAAATGAAAGCTTTTTGATGCCGTTTTTTAAAAATTCGATTAATCGACGGATTAATCGATTATCAAAATTATTGTTAGTTGCAGCCCTAGTTTGAAATAGTTTAGGTTATGTGCTTGCTGCAGAACTCAACATGATTTGCTGTTTCCTTTGCTATTAGTGCATGTAGTGATCGCTACACCAGGCAGGATACTGGACCTCATCAAGAAGGGTGTGGCTAAAATGGATAAAGCCCAATTGATTGTGATGGACGAGGTAGGGTTCTCTCCATTTGTGAATTAACTTTGGATACAGTTGATTTAGTTTTTAATACCCTTTCCTTAAATATCTTCCCTCAGGCAGATAAGCTGCTCTCCCAGGACTTTGTGGTTCTGATTGAAGATATAATCAGCTTCATGCCAAAGGATCGTCAGATTCTGCTTTACTCGGCCACTTTCCCCATCAGTGTGCAGAAATTCATGGTGAGAACTCGTACAGCAGCGCTGTTGTGGAGTGAGACATAAATCTGGTTTAATGACCGTGTGAATGTCTCTTCCAGAGCAAGCATCTGAAGAAGCCGTATGAGATCAACCTGATGGAGGAGCTGACCTTGAAGGGCATCACTCAGTACTACGCCTACGTGACTGAGAGACAAAAGGTCCACTGTCTCAACACGCTGTTTTCGAGGGTGAGTGGCTACTAGTTTGAAGTTAAAAAGTTTAAGAATAACACCATGCCATAAAACACTTTTACTCATTCCTCGCTAAACATTTTGAGACTGATTGATTATTTCATTTATTTCTAACATAATTATTTTTGTTTTAAAAAATATGGGTTGGGACCAAGATTTAATCCATATGGTTAACTCCTAAATCCTTTTCTTTCTATCATTTAAGTGTGCAATGTTATATTATGGCAGTGATTTGGCATTCCATGTGTATAGAATTTAATTTAAAGACCTTGGAATAGAAACAGACGCTGACGTCTGGTTGTCTTTAAAATAAAACCAGCTAAAATGGCCCGTATGATACAGCCGTAAAAAAAAATACGACCATTTTCCTTCAGCCATCAATTTTCATGAGTTTATTCATTTCTATTTCAGCTTCAAATCAATCAGTCCATCATCTTTTGTAACTCGACCCAGAGGGTTGAACTTCTGGCCAAGAAAATCACCCAGCTGGGTTATTCGTGCTTCTACATTCATGCGAAGATGATGCAGGAATACAGGAACCGTGTGTTCCATGACTTCAGGAATGGATTGTGCAGAAACCTGGTCTGCACAGGTGGGTGACGAGGATTCACAGTTTAAATAAAGTGGAAATTGAAATAGTTTTTGTTCACTAAGTTGCACTTGCATTTTTTTTTTGCAGACCTGTTCACTCGGGGAATTGACATCCAGGCAGTAAATGTGGTTATCAACTTTGACTTCCCCAAAAATGCAGAGACCTACCTGCACCGCATTGGACGATCAGGTGAGATGAGCTCCTCTTTTAGGTTGTTTCACAGCTACCGCTCAGCTCCACTTCATCACGCTGAACTATGTCTCTTCTCTCGCAGGGCGTTTTGGTCATCTGGGTCTGGCTATCAACCTGATAACTTCAGAAGATCGCTACAACCTGAAGAACATTGAGGATCAACTGGTCACTGACATTAAGCCCATCCCCAGTAGCATTGACAAGAGCCTGTATGTGGCCGAGTTTCACTCTGTTGACCCAGATGCAGAGGACCACGACGAAGCTGGCGCAAAAAGCAAGGAACTGGGAGCGATCTGAATAAATGGTCAGTTTTCTGCTTGTGTTGCTCATCAATCGACTGAAAATCCCCCTAATGTATAAATGTTGGATAAGTCCAGTTAAACCGGTTTTATAATTAAGCATAAATCAGCTGATTGTGTAGGACGGTTAAATACTCACATTTCAGCAGCAGTTTTGGGTCCATCTGAGACCAAAATAAGTACATGGGCTCAGTGATGTAAAGCTGCCTCGACTGTGGCCAAACAAGCCGGCCAAGTTCTAGTTATTTACTCAACTGAATTCTTCTGCCAGTCGAGAGACGGACTGGAGTCCATGAACCGACTTTTTAAAAAGTCAAATGAATGAATTCAGAGGGAAATTTAACGTCCTGGTTCAGATTGCGTTTGCGCATTCTGGTGGCCATTTAAAGCAGTAAAGCCCAGTCGCACACGCCACTCTATCTCGGAGAAGTGCAATCTTGCTAATGGATAATATCCTCTTAACTGAAGTTTTAAGGATTTAAAGGGGGAGGGTTGTTGTCCTCAAACAGCAGTCACCATAGATTTGCACAGAGCCGATCAGCTCCGTCTGCTTCAGCGTAACTCGTTCACGCGGTGGCTTTCAGAAATGTCTCATTCTGCCCCTTTTTGTCTTGTTTTTCAGGAGAATCCCGGCGACTGGCATTCGTCACATAGTTTTGACAACGCATGACACAAGATTCCAAGGAAGAATTTCTGTTTCCCAGTTTTACACCAGAATGGTCTAATTTAGATTTAATTGTATTTCCCGTGTTGAGTTTACAATAATCTCCAGCTGTCATGTTGGTAAACTGGCATCTTCAATAAGTTCCCCCTTCTGCCAGAGATGGTCCCTGTACTGAAGGCCAGCCTCTCCACAATAGATGCGCATTGTCATCCTTTGTGTTTTTTTGCTGTAAGAATGAAAATGTGAAACCAAAGGTAGACTTACGGAATCGAGCGCAGCAAGAAACTCATCCTTTTTTTTTTAAATCTACACTCAGTGGTTACTTTATTAGATGCAGCTGAATGATGGCCTGAGATTAAAAAGCTTCTGGAAACATTCCCTCAGTTAGTAATCAAGGGCCCAAAGTGTGCCAACATGATGCAGTTAACCCCCTCGGCGCTCTCCGTCTGCACACCTCCGCTCCTCTTCGCCAGGCGCCGTCCTGTCGACTCGAGCCGGGCCGGCCGTTGTTCCATCGCAGCGCTTTAGCTGTAGCAGTCGCGGGTGCTTTGCTTTATTTTTTGCCTGGGAAATGGCTGAATGTCGGCACCAACAATCATTCCAGTCAAATTTTGGTCCCAATAGTTTTCTGTTTAGTAGCTATTTTTTGGTTTATATGAGCAGGTGCAAATAATGTGGCCACTGAGTAGTTATTTTTGTAACTTTTACCATCATTCCACATTTGTTATAAATTACCTTTTTTCTTTTGCAGCGGTGAAACTAGGCAGTTTGTGTACATATCCATCCTAGTTTAAAAGGGATCCACATTTGGAAGAGTTGACAAAGGGTTACAAAAGTAAATAGACGACTTCAGAAACCAATATGACCACTTTGCTCTTTGCCATGGTTAAAAAGGGGGTTCAATGTTGTCCCAGTAAAGCACCTGAAGCAGTGCTGCTGCTGGTGAAGTAGTTTCTTTTTTGTAGGTCTTGAAGTTGTCAGTAATTGACATGACTGGTTTGCGATGGGTCTCGGTTTACATGTTACAGGCCAGCGTGTTCCGGCTCGTCGGCGTAGATTCTGACCCGCTCCCCCTCCCAAAGTGCCTTTTAGTGTAACGTCAAACCTCTTCCTTTGCCCCGACTCCAGTCCCAACTTCATTGTAGGTAGAATGGCACCTAATCAATTCCCCATCAGTTTGTTTTGAAAGAAGCACATTTAAAATTCACAGGATATTGGTTTTCATTATTTATGAAACCACATGACCAGTCAGAATATCTTACAGCCTTGGACTTCTTGACTTAAGCACAATATAACAGATCATTTATTTTTAAATTCTAAATAATACTGTGAAATTTCCAGCTACTTTTATTTTTTTTTCCCCACCGTGTTGTATTTTGTTTCCCCAATTTCGTCCGGCTCAGTACAGGCTTCATTCATACAAAACCATTTCCGCAGTTGGTGGGTTCAGACTATTTTGGTGCATTACTCTGTATCCTTAACGAGTACCTTTAACTGATGACCAGATGCTTCAACTGCAAAGACCGACAGGCCACAATTTTCTGTAAAATGTGTCAATGCCAGCGCCTGAAATGCATTAAACTCCAACTGATTTGAGTCCTTCTCCTTTTTTTGTCTTCTTTGTAAACCTGGGTTGTGCTTCTTGTAACCGTCTGAGTTGGTTCTGTACGCTGCCGGTCACAAGTCTTTCTCTCAAAGCAGCACGTTAGTGTAAAATCCACATTTGCACAGTAGCTTTAGGTTAGACGTTCAGAGGCGGGTTACAGCTTGAAACTGCAAACCATATGTTTTTGATAACCACGTGTATATTCTCTAAAACACTCAAATGTTTCCCCGATGACTGTATATAATATTTAAACGTGGGCATGAACTATGACCCCTAAAGTAGGTGTACCCTTGGAATGTCATTCAGCAGGAGATCGGATGAATGTTGAGCGTATGCAGTGTGTGACGTCACCGAGAGGGCTACCCCCCAGCTGCACGTTCAGCCAATGACCTTTTGACATTAGATGCGCATTAGCCAATCGGCGGACGACTCACGGGGGAATGGGCGGGCTCTTGTCAACTGCGGTAACGGGCGTTGTGGTGAACTTTGCCGGTGTCGAGAGCTACCCCGGAGCCGAACGGTCAGCGTGAGTACCCGAAACGTCACCGTACGAGATTCATTTACCGAGCAGGAGACCCGCAGAGCGTGTCGAAAAGCCACACGTCGTCTTCTCCGTAACAGTAAATCCGCCACGAGGACGAAAGGATCTCGTGGTCGTCTCCACATGGCTAACGTCACACAGCCTGCTAGCTAGCGTTACCCAACCGACCCTGCTAACGTTAGCTCGCGTTGAGCCTTCACGGGTCAAACACCGCGAGCCGGGTCGTCTTACCCGGCGGCCGGCCTTTCTCTCGTCGTTACGAGCCGCAAGCTGCGCCTCAGCATTTCTCGTGATACCTATAAGCGTGTCGTACGCAGAGTCGGACCGAACTGGGCCTTCGGTCGATCCAATGGCGCTGCCGGTCCGCCAGCGTTCACGCCGGCCGGGCGGCCATGTGTGTACAGTGCGTGCGGGGTTGGATGCTGCGTGCTTGTGTGACATCGATAGAGTTGAATGATGAGTCTCTCTCTCTCTCTCCCCCTCCCTCCCCCCCTCAGTCTGTCTCAGGCTCAGAGATGGGCAGCGTGTTGGCGGCCGCCTCCCCCAGTCCTGCCCCGGCAGCCGCTGCAGGTAGTCAAGGGGTCCAAGGGTTGGTCTCGGTCCCTCCTGGCTTCACAATGCCTTCCGTCCCGTCAACATCTGGATCGGACCAGCAGACCGATGCAGACCCCCAGCTTCCGAACCCGGGCATGTACGAGGAGTGCCACCGCAAATGCAAAGGTTAGGGAACGGAGAGTCCCCTGTTGCATTGTGGGATAGTAGTTACTAAACTTTAAAGCTACATTAATTGTATTGTTATGCACACTTGTCTCTGTTTTCCTGTTCTAGAGGTGTTCCCTCTGCCGATGGAAGGGGTGCGGTTGGTGGTCAACAAAGGCCTGAGTAACCACTTCCAGGTCTGCCACACCGTTACACTCAGCACCCTCGGCGATTCTGGTTATCGATTTGGTTCCACCTACGTAGGCACCAAACAGACCGGACCGGCGGAGGTGATGCTCATTTTCCCACCCACCTTAAACGCAAAAAAAAATATATTTTATTGGTCACTGAAAGTTCTGCTAGATCATTCTAACAGCATGTGTTGTCTTTATCAAGGTGATAAAGACAACTGATGAACGTACCTACCTTTTTGTTTTTTCTTTTACAATGGAATCATGCAGCTGTCGAATGTAACTTTAAAACTGAGGGTGTGTTTGTTCCCGTAGTCTTTCCCAGTCATGGTTGGAGATATGGACAATACGGGTAGTCTGAATTCCCAAATCATCCACCAGCTCACATCTGCCGTGCGATCCAAAATAGCCATACAGGTGTGTGCACTTCTTAAAGATTCAGATACCGAATCTCTCATTCAGCGCTTACGTTTCAGGGACATTATAATTTCACTCTTTGAATGTTTGTTGTACTTTTTGTGCGCTGCAGACCCAGCAGCACAAGTTTGTGAACTGGCAGTGTGACATGGAGTGGCGCGGCGAAGACTTCACCGCCGCTGTGACGCTCGGGAATCCAGACGTACTGGTTGGATCTGGTACGATTTATTTTTAAAGGCCTTGTAAAAAGTTCTACTGAGTATTTCATTCGTCACCCTCTAATCTTCCACATGCTACTTGATATATGGATATGAAAAGTTTACCTTGTAAAATGCACACACATTGTTGCACTGCGGAGCTTCTTCGCTCTTTTAATCGAACCATGTTGGTTTTTCATCATTCAAACGTGTGTCAACAGATTTCGACTTTTTTTTTCAACAATTGTGAAGATTTTCCGTTTTTAGTTTTGTTTCGTATGATAATCAACTGAAAAGCTGATGGGTTTAAAATGTTAGTTGGAGAAATAAGCAATTTTTTGTCCGCATTTTCCCCTAGTCAAATAATTTAAAAAAACTACAAATAAAAATTATAACAGTTAGTTGCAGCCTTAAAATACTGCGGCATTCAGTATTTTACCTCTAGATGTCACACTTGACACAGCAGCTGCTCCGTTGCAACTCTGAGGAGCTGCTGAAACGAGAAGAGCTCGCGTTGTTGTGCAGATGTTCACCCTTGACCCCCACCCCTTCCTCACCCCTTCACTTACACAAGCACAACATGGGACCCTGGCTCCTTGTAGCAGTTATTCTCCAGCAGCCTGAAATAAATGTGGCCGAACAAAGAAAAGTAGAGTAAGTCGCAGGCGAAATAATAGTAAATGTGTAGTTTTTACGGTTACACTGACAGATTAGCAGTGCAGTTTTTTTTAGACGTTACGCCCAAGATGACAAAAATAAGCATAAATCAACCCCCAGCTTTATGCATTATAGTAGCATAATAGTCGGGAAGGGGGTAAGAACGTATTGCAGCGGCGGTGCGTGTGAGAAGGTGAACTCAATGTTTGCACACAATGTTTTTGATGTTGTGGAGACATCCAGCTTGAGACGGGGCCCCGCGGTAGATATCATTGTGGCTCTTTTACTACGCTCCCTCAGGCATTTTGGTGGGCCACTATCTGCAGTCCATCACACCAGCTCTGGCGATGGGGGGCGAGGTCGTGTACCACAGGAGACCAGGAGAGGAAGGCGCGGTCACCTCCCTGTTAGGCAGGTACACAGGTAAATCTCCACTCTTTATCGATGACTAATGCTTGGGTTTGTGTTTTTTGTTGACTTGTTTTTCATTTGTCATCAACATGAATTCTCTTTTCTGTTGTGTGAAGTGGATTTAGAGAAGTTGTTGCCTAATTTTAACTTGTTGCGTGTGATTGAAGGTAAATCCCTTTATTTCTCCTCAGGGGACAACTGCATTGCTACGTTGACTTTGGGTGGGGCAGGAGCTCATGCTACGTACTATCACAAAGCCAATGATCAGGTAAATAAGTGATAGAGTGAATGTATTTCTGTGTAGAAATCTGATGAAAACCTTTTTTAAAGGATAGCTTCATCTTTTCTCAAATAAATTAATAATAATTTCCCCTCTTTTGGTCACCTTTGTTGCTCCTCTTCATACTGCCCATCAAGGGATCCTTTCCTAAAGCTAAGCAACAGTGAGAAAAGCCCCAATCTATGTTTTGGAACAGTTAAAACTAATGAGGCCTCCAGTAATCTAAGTTTGGCATATCGAGTGGGTATGTTTCAAAGTTAAACTGTTAGCAGAACAAAACATTTTTCATTCTTACTTTCCCTCCGGTGCATAGCCTCTGTCCAAAACACACATTACACAGTAAGTTTTACATTGAATCGGAGTTCATTTCACGTCCAGGTGGGTATTGTGTTGGGATACGTTTGAATTGAATGTGAACCTTTTGAACTCTTGTCTTCTAATACAGTTGCAGGTAGGAGTTGAATTTGAAGCCAACACGAGGATGCAAGACACCTCGGCGTCCTTTGGTTACCAGTTGGACGTCCCCAAAGCGAACTTGCTCTTTAAAGGTAAATGGATGTAGTGTACACACCCGGGGCCACACTAAGTTGAGTGAATACTCATTTGAAAAAGGTTAAAAACGAAGGACTTTTCTCTCCGCAGGCACAGTTGACAGTAACTGGGTGGTTGGGGCGACCCTCGAAAAGAAGCTTTTGCCCCTCCCTCTCACACTGGCCCTGGGGGCTTCCCTCAACCACCGCAAGAACAAGTTCCAGTGTGGCTTCGGCGTCACCATTGGCTAGACGGGGGGGGGGAGGAGCCACAGCTCGAACCGGCACAGAGACACACAAGAACCTGGACTAAGTTTTAGTAATTTGATTCAGAGACTCTCACAACGGTGATTTCTGGGTGAGACGGAGAGACGAGGACGACTACAAAGGAGCCAGGACCTGCCATGCCTACATTCTGTAGCAAAAACGTCTTTCCTTTATGGTGTATTGGGTTCACCCAGAGGCTAGAGAGACGTGTATCAGAGAGCATCAGTGATGCATGAGAACATGTGATGTGAAAATCAAGTGGTTAGACATAATATATGGTGGTCATGTACGATGATTTAAATAAATGTGATAACGTTTTGTAAAAGTGGGTATTTTGATTGCATCAGAACTTACGGTTCCTTTGTTTGGCGTTTGGTGAATGGCAACGTGCATAAACATTTAGTCCAGGCAATCGCACAAATTTTCATTTTTATTGTTCCAATCGTCTTTGTGGGGATTACCTTGTCTTACCTTGTATTTTTTTTTCTCGCTTACTTGCACCCCTAAACGTAACATGTCTTTATAATATTCTAAGACTGATGGCGCTGCAGTAAATCGTTGAATATCTGCAAGATTTTGCCTATTTTCAGCGTTTTTGGAGTTGCAAAAGACCGAACTCTCAATTGAACCCGATTCTTCTCAAATTTGAGAAGAGTGATCTTGAGAGCATAAAGCTTGAAGAAAGATCATTTAATTAATTAAAAATCACCTTTTGCCCTGAAAATTGAAGTTGTTTTAAGACCATACATTATCTGCTCCATGTCATGACCTCCTTATTTTATACCGGCTCCTAGCAGATAAATTAGATTCCTATGAAATGTGAGAATATTCACAAGACTTGTGATTATAAGATAATGTTAATTACAAAGTTTTCACAGTGTCATTCGCGCCACGCGGTTACTAACGACGGGTTTCTTGTCCAACGGCCGCTTTTGTAGCCGCCCGGCCAGTGCGCCTGTGTGCTCAGAGTAGCGAGGACTCGTCCATTGCTGCTTTGATTTTTTTAGACTTTCTTTTAATGATATATTTTGAACTTATTTGGACTTTTTGTTAAATATTTTTCGACCATACGTTTTTTAGAATGATCTCGTATTTTGACCTTCTAAATTTTTCGTTTTCATTTAAAAGTGTTTGTTTTTTTTACCATATTTTTTTACTTGACTTTTTTTCAATACTCATTCCACTCATCTTTTGACCTTTCATATTCTTTTTTGGGGGGGCGTTGTTCCCAATTTTAACTTTTTCCAATACAGTTTATTAACCTAACATTTTTTCAGTTAATACCTTTTTACTTTTTTCCTATGACATATTTTTACGTCTTTTTTTTTTTTCTTCAATGACTTATTTCAACCTAATCTATTTGCTTTTTTTTCACCACAATATTTTTCGACCTAACATGACTTGACTCCTTCTTCCAAACAATATTGGCCTAAATTCATTATTATTATTCATTCATATTTTTCACCGTACATTTCTACATATTCTGACTTTTTCTTAAACATTTTTTTACTTAATATGTTGGGTTGAAAAATGTTTAGATATATTGAGTTTTTTTCTAAATATTTTTTGACCTAATCTTTTCCTTTTTTTCAAAACGTAAACATATTTTGACTTTTTATTCAAAACATTTTTGAATTAATATTTTTTTAACACTTCTCCCATGATGTTTATTGACCTAACTTTGTCATTTTCTTTTTCCACGTGATCGTACGATATGTAAAAACAGGCAAACTATAGTTTGATGTAAAAAGTCCTACTTGGTCTGTTAAAGAAAGTCCTGTATAGTGTGTCAAACAGTCGATAAAAAATGATAATACGTCTTTAATTCATTATTCGCAATAGTCATAAAAAATACCAGTACAAAATGTTAAATATTCATAGTAAGGCAATTAAAAAAAGTTAAAAAAGTAATTCAAAAGTTTAGTATATAAAATAAATGTGATAAAATCTTGGATTAAACTAATCGTAAAGTATATTGGAAAATGTCATATTAATAAACAAAAAAAGGAAATAATTCAACAAGAAAACATTTCTTTGTATAGTATATCGTACTTTTTTTTAAAGTGTTAACTTCATATTGTGATACAAAGTGTCAGTATAGTATAATATGTCATACAATTTCCCCAAAAACCTGGATTTGGTAGGAAGGTGGAGAGGATTATCCGTCCTCATTAAGTCTCAACCATTCAAATAAACCTGTTTTTCCTGATTGCATGCACCATTGCATCAGACGAGCAACCAGCTGTGGAATATAAATGTGAAATTAGTAGCTAAAAAGATTAGGATATTTATTTAGTAAAGAACAAATCCAATTACTGCTAAAGTTCCTCTTTATCTGTGTTCCATATTTGCTGGGTGTAGTGTTCCATTCACGTTGTTCTGTCAGGATTTTCTGGGAGTGACTCAAGAGAAAATCAAGGCTCCGTTCCTTGTTAAAAAAGGGCAGCTGTCTTCCTCATTGAAGGAGCGATATCAGTCAGATTAACGTTTTATAGGGAGACAGTTCTCAGACATCTCGAAGATCCGTTAGGACATCACAATGACGTCCTGTATGAGCGCCATTGATGCTGAAGACAAGGAATCATGTATTTACAAGAAGTCACACACTGTACATGTTTGTACAGTCTTGCGATCCAGAAACATCTGGAAAGCTGCATGTCGTGCTGTTGTTTTTTTGGTCCGTTGGTTTATTTGTCGCTTAATAAACTTTTGGATGTTTCACTGCTTCAACTGATCTAATGAACATATATAAATATATGTATTTATTTATATATATAATATATATGTATAAATACATACGTATATATGTATATATGTATATATATATATATATATATATAGGTATATATATATATATATATATATATGTATGTATCTATGTATATATATATGTATGTATATATATATATATTTATATATGTGTATATATGTATATATATATATGTATATATGTACAGTCCCTAAACTAAGTATAATCCTGTAGGTAGGCTGGAGGACGTCTGTTGTGCCTTGAGGGATATCTTGGCGTTGTTGTGCTCGTGGAGGCATCACTGTAATCACAATCATCATCATCATCATCAGTGTCCGGTGGGATGTCCAATATTTCTGGTGAGATCTTCTTGAAGAATGAAGCATTCCTGACGATGGAGTGTCCTTTTCTGGCTGCTGTGATCATGGATCCTTTGGCTTTGGTCACGGTGTATGGCTTACTGTTATATGGTGTGGTGAGCTTATTGTGCTTGGGTTGACGATGAAGCACAGTGTCACCTGGAGTGAGAGTGTGTGGTGTAGCACGACAATGAGAGTCTGCATGAGATTTCATTTTGGCTTTGGCCTTGCTGTCCTTTGCCCTCACTTCAGAGTCTGAACTGTTACTGACAGTGTGAGTGAATGAAGGAATCTTCGTGTACACCTTGCGTTGGAATAACAGCTCTGCAGGCGAGCTTTCTGTTGTACTGTGGGGTGTAGCTCGATACTCACGTAGAAAGATGTTCAGCTGTTGTTTCCAAGGAAGTCCCTGTGTTTCAGTCACACGAACAGCTTTGCCAAGTGTCCGCATGAACCGTTCAGCTATTGCATTAGCTTGAGGCCACAGCGGTGTTATTCGGCGGTGATGGAATCCTAGATGATCTGCGAACTGGGAGAACTGGTCACTGGTGAATGGGGGACCATTGTCAGTTTTTACAACTCTGGGGATTCCAAACATGGAGAAGACTTTGTCCATGACCGGAATGACTGTGTTTGCCGATGTCGACCGCACGCTCTCTACAACTGGGTAGCGTGTATACTCATCCACGATGACAAGCAAGTACTCTCCAGTCGGAAGCGGTCCATAGAAGTCTGCACTTACACTATGCCAAGGAACTTCTGGCAGAATTGACATTTTTAGCGGCTCCTTGTGTGTGACTGGTGTGTTAGCCTGACATGCAAGACAACTGCGTACTGCAACTTCTGCTTTGCGATCGATGTCTGGAAACCACACCTTGGTTCGGAGTAGTGCTTTTGTTTTGACAATGCCCTGGTGTCCCTCATGGGCTAGTTGTAACACTCTGTCTTGTAGGGCTTTGGGAATCACTATTCTAGTGCCCCGCAGTATAATGTCAGATGCATGTGATGTTGTTAGTTCACTGCTAACTTGTCTAAACTGCTTTAGTATGTCAGCATGTTGTGACTTTTTATGTCAGTTTTATGCCATGTGTTGTGTCTGATGTGAGCACCAACCTCTTGAAGCATTGGGTCTGCAAGTGTCTCTGCCTTGATCTCTGTGAGTGTCATTGCTTTAGGTGTAGCATGACTCGCAATGAAGTTCACATAATCCTCTGCCACTTTTGCTGCACGAGTGCTGTCACCTGTCTCAGACAACATGGGATGCCGAGACATGTAGTCAGCTGGGTTGTCAGCCCCCTTCCTGTATTCAACCTTGAAGTCGTAAGGCTGAAGCCTCAGTCCCCATCTCTCGATCCTGGCAGGTGGTTTGGACTTGGGATTGTTCCATATGATTTCCAGTGCCTTGTGATCCGTCACTAGAGTTAAAGGATGACCATAAATGTACAAGTGGAAATGTTCACAGCCCCACACTATGGCCAGTGCTTCTTTTTCCGTTTGAGAGTATCTCCTCTCTACATCGCTCAGGGACCGACTGGCATATGCAATCATGTACTTAGCCCCTTGCACATCTTTTTGACAGAGGATAGCACCCAGTCCAACAGGGCTAGCATCTACTATCAGTTCCGTTTCTCTGCCTGGGTAGAAATATGACATCGTAGTGTCGCTGGTTAGATTGTCTTTCAGTGTCTGTAATGCAACTTTCTGTTGTGGGCCCCATACCCAGGGTGTGTCTTGTCTGGTCAGCTTGCGCAGCGGTTCTGAGATTGAGGAGAAATCTTTGATGAACCGGGAGCAGTAATTAGCCATCCCCAGCAGACTCCTGATTTCTCCTGGATTTTGGGGGTCTGCAGCCTGCTGAACTGCAATCACCTTCTTGGGATCTGCTGAAACACCTCCTGCTGAGAAGATGAAACCAAAAAACTCAAGCCTTGACTTATTGAACTCACATTTTTCCCGATTGAGTGTGAGACCGCTTTCCCTGAGTCTCTGGAACAGTGCTCGGAGGTTGTTGTCATGGTCAGTCTGGGAGGCTCCGTATACAATGATGTCGTCGCTGAGGTTCTTCACACCAGAGAGACCTTGCAGTGTCTGGCATATAGCATTTTGAAATACTTCCGCAGCAGAGAATATACCAAAACTCAGTCTCTTGTAGCGCCTCAACCCAATGTGTGTGGTGAAGGTAGTGATGTACCTGCTGTCTGGATGAAGCTCTAGCTTGTGGTATCCAGCTCTCAAATCCAGTTTTGAAAACACTGTTGCTCCGTTTAGCTCATGTATCACGTCGTTCATGGTGGGAGTTATGTGCCGTTCTCTCTCTATAGCTGTGTTAGCTTGGCGCATATCAACACAAAGTCTGACTTTGTCAGGCTCTTTAGGCTTGGGAGGTGCAACGATAGGTGAGACCCACGGTGTCGGGCCATTGACCTCCTCAATGATGTCATCTGCCTCGAGTTTCTGAAGCTCATCTTCGACCTTCTGGCGAATGTGGAACGGTACACGTCGATGTGGTTGGCATGAAGGCTTGATGTCAGGATTTATGTGAAGCTTTACCTGAAAGTCCTTCAGTTTTCCGATCCCCTGAAACAGTTCCGGATGATTTTCCACCAGCTCATCTGCGACTGTGCGACGCTGTTGTGTGGACGACACTGCTGTGACTATTTTAGTCAGTCCCAGTGCTTTGGATGTTTTGTAGCTGAGCATGTTAAATCCATCCCCTTCAACTACAAAGAATGTGCACGTTGTGTTTTCCTGTCCTTTCTCCACACTGCACTTGAAACTACCTTTGAGTGGTAATGGAACTTTGGAGCGAAACGGGTAAATCTTGGTGCTGGTGTGGTTCAGTTGAGGACGTGGCATCAGTTTCTCGAAGCTTGTTTCGCTAACACAGTTTGCAGAGGCTCCTGAATCAATTAAAACAACCATGCTACTGCCATTTACCTTGATGTGTGTCTGTGGCAGCTCTGAGACCTTTTCAGCATCTACTACAAACACATAAGCGTCATCACTGCTGGAAGAGTTGCGTTCCTGTTCTTCAACTGGTGTCTTTGTTATGTGATGGACTTTTTTATGGTGTTGGTTTGCCTTGTACTGTGGTTGTTTTGCGCTAATGTCCTTGATTTTAGAGCGACATTGTTTAGCAAAGTGATTCAGCTTACCACAGTTTCTGCATTGTTTGCTTCTGGCAGGACATTCTCCTTCATGAGGATATTTACCTCCACAGTTCCTGCAGCTGTTGTCTGAACGTTGTTTTTCTGACCATCGTCTGCTGTTTGGATGCTTCTGCACGGTCTTTCGATCCAGCACGTTGACTGCAGCTGTTGTGCCTCTTTCTATGCCGGTTGCTTGCATTTCAGACAGCTCAAGTGTTCTTCCATGATCAAGAAGCTCTTCTAGGCCAAGTTCAGGTTCCCTTAGCGCTTTCCTGCGCAGCCTGGATGATGCACAGCTCTGTATGATTTGCGTTTTAATCTCTGCGTTGACATCTGCAAACTCACAGTTCCTAGCTAGCATCCATAGCCTCGTATGATAACTGTCCACATTTTCTCCTGGTTCCTGTACCATTTTTCTGAAGATGTATACTTGATACTGCACGTTTTTCTTAGGAGAAAAATATCCAGATAACTTCTGCTTCGTCTCTGCATACTTGTCATCTTCTGCTGATAATGTGTCGTAGATATCATGCACTCGTTCTCCTGCTATATGTAGCAATAATGCTTTGAGCCTAGCATCTCCAGTAATGTTCATTGCAGTGGTGTAATTTTCAAACCTTTGCACCCATTTATTCCAGCGAGGTCCAACAGAGCCATGGTCAGTTTCCGTGTCGAAAGGTGGGAGCGTAGCGGTGTTTCCTGCCATGCTTGCTGCGGCGCGCCGACTGCCATTCACGTTCGTCCGCGTTAGCTTAGCTAGCTTCTCACCCTCGTGTCCGTTTTCTTCCTCCCTCTTCTTTGTCCGCTCGCGAAACTAAGAAGGAAAACGCGGTGTCCGGGTCGATTCCGAGTGACTTTCCGGTTACTCCTCGTCGCCAATGTAGTGTTTGCGTTGTGTGGGTTTATACACCAGACCTAACACAGTTTGATTAATATCCACGGGCGTTTATTCTCCGGCTCTGGTTTACACGTTACCGTTCTCGTACTTCCTGCTCACGTGTCTTGCGCGTCTATCTCCGCAGGTGACGTGGTTACGTCATGAACATCACAGGTGGGTATGGTCAAAAATCCATATCATGATATTAAGATTGTTTGTTGTGTGTTATTTATTGTCGTTATGATGTTATATCCATGACTCAATCTCAAAACACGTAAGACAAGTAGCTCCGATCGCTGGGCGCTCCGCAATGACGTATCAAAATTAATTCTGTCGCCTGCCGAATAGCAACGTCAGTTGTTATGGCGTAACACCGGTATGAACGGTATGCGACAAATTCATACCGTAAATCATATATACCGTTTCAACCAGTGCTAAGGCAGTCCTCATGTTTACAACCAAGATGCTTGTATAAGCTAACACATCATCTTAAATGTCTCTATTCTATTGTACCCACGTTCAAACTCAACAATGTATAACCAACCATAGAGATGGCATTTTGTCTTGTGCTTAGGTCAGACTGTGTACGCCCATACAGGCGGTCCCTTTCTCCTTTCAAAAGCACAATTTTGTGAGAAGTATATTCACTTCCTTTCACCATCAACCTTTCAACCTGCTTTTTCCAGCTTAATCTTCCTCCAATATGGCCGACTTTAGCTTTTTTAAACTTGCACATTCACATTCAGTGAGTGTGGGCTGTGGCACTAATCACTGGTGTTGGTTTTCAAGGCCTGGTG